ATTTCAAAAGGATTAAAGTTAGTGTGATCATTATGAATAATCAGTATGCCAGATGTAAGAAATTCGTCATTTAAAATTAAACTGAATCAAACTTAGAGTCTAATTTTTAGCCTCAAATACTCGTGGAAGAATCTCAACAGAGTTATAGTGGAAGTGAAAACGGTGAAAATTTCGCATTGTATGATACTGCAGCAAATGAATCGATAACTTGTTCACCTGGCGAATCAGAGATTGACGCTCATTCTAGCAATTTATCGATCAGTGATGAATGTCGTTCAGGTTCACCAGCTATCATGCGTAGTTGTGTAATGCTACCTCATTCTCAAGAGAATTTCACGGGTACAGGATTTGGTGTAGGCCAACAATCAGCTCCATCTGTATCATCATCAGCTAATGCATCAACATCAACTGCACCACCTATTGTACCAAGACGAAATAAACCAGGTGCATCTCTAGTACCTCCAACATTACCACCCAAGCCCGATCAGACTATTTCAATTCGTCCGGTAAGTTGTACCATAGACAGTGACAATAAATCAGGTCGTAAATCAGTTGCTGATATGGCACGATTATTTTCATCTACTGATGCTCCGTTTAGTCGTCGTTCCTGAATCATTTGTTAAGTAATTTCGTTATTGCTTATCAGTTTTTCTTTTCAAATTACAACTGTAATATTTTTGTTAGTGTACGATAAGTCAGTCGTTTTTGTTGACTTCGTAGCTATCTGATTTTGGATATTTTAAATTTTAGTCATGTAAAATATTTAAAATTTTTAATCATGTAAATATTGCAAATTGGTTGATTGTACGTTTGCATATCATGAATAATTTTGTAAGTTGGCATAGTGAGAGAATGGTGCTCTTTTCAAACACTATTCTTTTTAATAAATTCTTTTGTGTATGTATTTGATGATAAATGCTCGTAGTATAAGCTGATTTTTCTCTCTCTTTTTTTAGTCTTGTTATGTCTATAATAAAACATTTATTTGTGTAATGCTTCTTCTGATCATTCATAATGTTTTATTATATATTGTGCAAAATGAGATCTAAACGGAATCAAATATATCATTTAGAAATTATTGAATTATATAATCTATATAGAATTAGTAAATAAGTTTTATTCATATAAATTTTGCTTATTCAGTTTGATTCTCGATTCAATATTGATCCAATGAGAAGTCCGTTTATTTCCCATATTTTCATATCATCTTCTAATGTAATGAATAGCTAATCTGGAAATATTTATGGTCCTAATTTTTTTTTTTTTGAGAAAAGAAATTAGAATTAGAGATTGATAAGAGCATAGACAACTAAGGTTATTCTAGTGTTTGTTTTTATTACAGCGAGAATAGCAACACAGCAAAATTTGTAATCTGCAAAAAGTAGAAGGAAAGAGTGACAGAATGAAGTGAAAGAGATGTAGTGATAAAGAATTGTTTTCATTTTTTCATTATTGGTCAAATGATTTCAAAACAAATAGGAGAAGAGGAAAATTAATTATTATATAAGAGATAGGAAGGGAGAATAATGGGAAAAAGATTAGGTGAGAGGAGAGGGAGAGAGAGAGAGAGAGAGAGATAGGGTTAATTTGATAAGGAAATTGAATGATGTGATTTGTTCAGTATGTTTATCATCATTATTTGCAATTTATTTTATTTTCTTCTTAGAATAACTGTTAAATGTTGGATACATATGAGGTAAGAACTTTGATCACCGAAGTTATTTGACTTTTTATTTCCAATGAAACAACATTTTTTCATCTTCGGAATTCACACTTGTTTTTTTTTTTTTCCTGATGATTAATGTAGACAATGTGATAAATGTTGTTGACTTTCAAGTTATTGATACAATTTTGTTTTAAAGTTAAAAATTTTTAATTGATATGGACCAGTTTATATTATCTAGTTATCATTTTTATTTCTTCTGAATTTTTGCAAAAAAAGTAATTATGTTGATTGAGTTTCACCATAACTTTGCAAACGAAACGATGACGTAAGAGTTGTTGAATAATAAGAAGAAATAATTGGTAACTATAGTAATAATTGATTGGTAACTAGAAGGAATTGGTAATTAAAATTGGTAAGAAGTTCTATTTTTTTTTTTTCTTTTATGTTGAAATAAATTGGATATTTTTTATTGATTTACTTGTTGATTTATACTGTCACTCCATTTGTTCGCTGTTATTATTTTAACTGTTATCATTAATTATCTTTCTTTTTCTTATTACTATTATTGTTAATTATTTTTATTACATTTTCTATTTTATGCTTATTAAATTTCATCTTGCATATCCCTGTATTAGAGAAATTTAATGTTGCATGATTGAGGTATTATGACATCCTGAAGTATTGAATTATTGTTATAAATAGATTAAGATCATCTATCCATAATTGTTTACGAGTCAGGCTATATTTTAATTTCCATCCTGATATTAATAAAAGAAAGTGATTCATTTTTTTTTTTTTTTTTTGAAAAAAAAAATTCCAAATAAGTTGATGAATTTAGTCATCTGTTTAAATAAATGATAAAAAAGTTTATAATTTTTTTTAGAGAAAAGCAAATAGCAGATGGAAATTTAATACCGTCCTATTTGATGATACTTGATGGTATTTTTGATATTTTATGTTTTGTGTGCATGAAAAATTTCATATGGATTTTTGGATTTAATATTTGTAGAATATTTAGGATATTATTTAAAAAATTGACAAATGTAACAGTGAAATAATAGCTGTGAGATATTTGCTAATTTGAAATTATGACAAATTTTATATTATTTTTGAAATAGTGCCTATTTGAATTTTTTTTCCCCATCTTTCACTGAATTTTTTTTTTTTTGATTTTTTATTTTTTGGGTCCAATTATCCTCCTTATCAAGTGCTATTTTTCATTTCTCTTCTTTGTACCTTTTCCTATTTCACTTTAACTACCATCTATAATATCGTAATGTTTACCACTTTATCAAATAAGCTCATCAATGATTGATGTCTCTTTTTTTTTTTCCTTTTGTTAATTTTGCTATTATTATCATTCTCTTCTTTTTTTTTTTTTTTTTCATCCAAATCACTTTATTTGTCTCATTCTTTTCTTTTTTATTACATTATTTAATAGTTTGATTATATTAGAAATTTCAGTCAAAAAAAGAAAAAAAAAAGTGTTTACATATCGTAAAGTATTTTCTGTAAATAAAGTTTTTGTAATGGCAATTCTGCTGTGATTGAAAAGTTAAATGCTTGCAGAAAAAAAAAAAAAAAATATTTTGATAACAAATATCAACAAAAGGTATATATTTTATTTCTTTCTTTCTTTTTTTCTTTTGAAAAAGATGAAGAAAAGGAGAGAAAATTGGAAATTAAAGGGAACTGATAAACTTATTAGTGATAAACGAGATTTATATTATTTGTGTAGATATATGTAGATAGATGTAAGGCAAATAATTAAATTTCTTACTAAAGGAAAATGATTTCGGAGAGAAAGGGAAGATTGTGAAAATGTAAGTTTAAGTTTAGAAAGAAATGAATTAGTAGTCGTACTTTTAGTAATCAGTATGTTGTTAAATGATGTCAGTAATGAAAAAAAAGGAAAAAAAAAAAAATTGAATGTAAGAATTTTGACTCAATTGATTATTCCATTCATTTTCAGGGATAAATTTCAGGATAAACAGAGTAATAATCATTGTTTGTATTTTTTACAGATTTATTTGCAAGAATGAAGTGAAATTGAGTAATTTTTGATTTGATGCCAGTCAATCATCATTAATTATTTTTGTTTTCATTATCGTAATTAATTAATTAATTAATTAGCTATGACAGTATTGCTACTTCTTTTTTTTCCACCCCGCCCCCCCCCCCCCCTTTTTTTTTTTTTTATTATAATCTACAAAATATAAGCTTATGTTAAATGAATATAGAATAGAAGGAGCAATTGAAACGGAAATAATAAGGATTAAGTTATATATTTTAGTAGCTAACTTTTTATGTGAAAAATTAAGCTCATAAAATATATTTGATTTATTTTGTTATTTTAACATCCTTTCTTTAGTTCTATTTATCTTTAATCTAGGTTTTTTGCTTTTATTATTTATTTTTTTTTAATTTTCAAAAAAAAAAAAGTTAAAACCATCATAAGTTTATCGATTTTTCCTCCTCTTCTTTCACCTTTTTTTCTTCCCCTTCCTTTTCCGATGTAATTTTGATAAAATGAATTCTTTTTTCTTTTTTTTTTTCTTTTTCTATAACTTGTGCATTATAGCAGATATAATTATCCATATTCTTCTCTCTCTCTCTCTCTCCCTCTCTCTCCTCTCCTCTCCTCATTTGCCTTTCTTTTTCAATCTCTCCATCCTTTCACTTTTTTTTTTCAGAATTTCTAGAGATGAGGCAAAAGTTCATTTTATTAGTGTGAAATGAGATAGAAAGGAAGAATGCAAGATGATAGTATATAATTTGCTTTGAAATGAATTGAATAGTTTGTGTGTATGTTAGCTAGTTAGTGTGCAAATAGCTACTTCAGCAATAGCTATTTTTAGTTTTTAGTTTTTTTAACGAGAGCTGACAATGATAGTTAAACTAAACCTCTATTCATTTTCATCTTTTCCATTCATTTGCTTTTTTTTTTTTTTTTTCTTTTTTTCAACTTTAATTTTATTTTTAGATAGATTGGAAATTTATTTGTTATATTTTATATTTTATTAGAGTTATTTACTTCATTACAAATATTAAAGAAACTTTAAAGGAAATATTAGAAATTAGTAAAATTTGATTTAAAAAAAAAGAAAAATTTGTTAACAATTACTGAAACAGCATCCGGTTAGGATATTGCTTTTTTTTAAAAAAAAAACAAAAATAAGAGAGATGAAATGAATTTCCTGAAGGATTAATGATAAAAGTTTAAAAGTGTGTGTTTAGTTGATTAGTGGTTAGAATGAAAAAAATTGCATGGATTATATTTATTTTGAATTATTTAAAATTTAAATCAAATGAAGGAAAAGTTATCTTTCATTTTATGCGCGTTAGTTTCGCTGAAATCATTGTTTGGTTTCATATAACTGATTTCATTTATTACAGGTGAACTGGTTGTTTTTATTGCTCAAGTGATTTTTTTCACATTGAAATCGGAGCAACGAGTTATTCTTGATTATAAATATTAGGCCTACTGCTTAATAGGGGCTGTTATTCATACTAGCATTAAGGGAGTGCGAAGTCGTTACGACCTCGGTCCAGATACGCTGCAGGGTTCGAGCGTGTGTGGACTTTGATTTTGGCTTGGAAGCCCGAAAAAACCTTGAAAATTTCGTCAGAAGAGTACACAGACGGTTCATCACCGCCTTCAAGTCGAATTTCTCAATCGGTTAGTTTATTTTGTTTTCTTTTCAAATCTAAAATTTTATATTGTTAAAATATTGTGTGCTATTTAACTAGCAGATAAATTCATCTTCTGTTTTATTTTTTTAGATTATTCGAGAGCTCTGCATCGCTCTATTATCTGCGGATCCTGTCCCGCGCCCAGGCAGCACTCAGATTAAGCTTGACGTAAACGCAGAGCCTCCGTGGGATCCTGATCCACTTTGCTAACACCGTAAGTGCTATAATTCATTTATGTGTATAAGAGCTCATTAATTTAATAACATAGAGTGATACAAAGATTTACATGATTAAAACATAAATTTTTAATTATCTTTTAGACAAATTTTATAATGTTGCATCATACAAAATTTCTCTTTCAGCATTTCTTGGATTTTACCAAAGTGTTTGTATTTTGCTAAAACACTCGAAAATTTCTTCACTTGATTACGCTTACGGAATAGTTCACCCCTCAGTTTCGGCTCTTCCGCCGGAAAAACCGTGCCACTGGACCGAAGTTGTTAAACGTCGTACATTTTGCGTCCGTTTGTATAGGCCACCCTAATTCGGCTGAACTTTAAAAAGTACATAAATACTGTTTCTTTGTCTTATTTCGTTTTCTGGAAATTTTTTGTAATTCGAATTCTTTTTTTTCTAGACTTTTTAACCTTATGATTTTTCTTATCTTGACGTAACTTTCTTTTTTTTACTTATTCAGTCCCATTTTATCGGATCATGGCACCAGTACCTTCTTTGGATATCTACAATAGTTACAATTGCGACGAAGCTTATCGTTCTGCAGATATAGTTAAGCAGTGCGATTTAAAAACTATCAATGATTTCGACTGTTTTGACTCGATTCGAAAATTGATAATAGCAAATGTCGCTAAGGTATATGAAATGTTTTTCTCATACGACTTTTAGTTTTATTTTCTTCAAAAAGAAAGAGAAAAAGGAGATTGTCAGTTAATCTTCTAAATGGATATACATAATGTGCGGATGATCTTATAAATTTCTGGAAAATTTACTGTCAGTTAATAAAATATCTCAAGATCAAGTGGAAATGAGATGAACTATCATCCTATAATCTGATTTTTGTTAACATTTTGGTAATTCGTTTCTTTTTTTTTTCAACTTGCATTTCTTTACATTTATAATCAACTTAATTACAGGGTGACTGTGATCCATTTTTTGTAATGAACGTGGAACTTGTCGATGATATTCTGGAAAACTGGTTCAAGAAAATGCCGGATATTAAGCCTTACTATGCGTTGCGATGCAATTCAGACAATGTTCTATTGAAATTACTCACTCGAAATACCAACATGGGTTTATGCTGCAGCAATCGATATGAAGTTGAAATGGTTTCTTTTTTCTTATTTCTAAATTTAAAATATTATATGAGAAAATAACAGTTTCAGTATCATCAACGGAATGATTCATCTGAATTTGACAGCTAGCCTATATTAGTAACTTATTTGAAAATTTTTTTATCATATAACATTCTTTTGATGTTCTTGCATGTAAATTTTTCTTTATAAAATTATATGGAAGATAAATATAGTGTTAATCAGTGTTATCTAAGTGAAGGATCAGTGAAAGATTCGTCGAAGATGCTAACATAATATACTGTTATTGCTTTAGGCAATGAAATTTGTCAATGTGGATCGAATTATTTATCGAAATCCACTATGGACACGTGGCAGTATTCGTCATGCTAAAGAATGTGACATTCAAACAGTCATCATTGAAACAGAAGATGATTTGAAACGTTTTGCAATGTATTATCCTGAAGCAGACATAATTTTACGTGTAACAATGGATCGGAAGATAATTAGCGATCCTCTTATGGAGGACAATTTAGATATTGAGAAAGCGATTCATTTGCTTCGCACTGCAAAGAATTCATCAGTGAGAATAAGAGGCATTAGGTATGCAAGTTAATTTATTTTATTTTTTTATTTTATGATTAAAATCAATAATAAAATAAAAGGTCATGAGCATAAGAATTGAATTGGTTAATAGCTAATAAGTCTTTTTTTTTTTCAAAAAGAAGTAGGAATTTAATGAAGTAATAAAATTTAATTTTTATTTTAACTTATCTATACTAATAATTTTCTTGAAATAATATTTGTTTAATTAAAATTGTTTTAGTCTTTCTGTACGCTTAGTTTGTGCAACACCAATGTTATATTCATATGCAATTGCACAGTGTCGACGATTGTTTGATATTGGGCTTGAAGTAGGCCATAAAATGGATATTTTGGATGTAGGTGATGGATTTCCATGTATGACTACTGTCGATGGTTTATCATTTGATCAGATTGCTAAATCACTGAATGTTGCATTAGCACACTTTTTTCCATCAAAATTTTTCAAAGATCTGAAAATAATCGCTGAACCAAGTTATTATTTTGCGGCTTTTCCTTTTTCTCTGATTACACGTGTTATCAACAAACGTTTCATTGATGGAAGTTTTCTTACCAATGACGGTATGTTTGTATGAATGTTTATGGAAATAATATCAAATAATTCATATTTAATTTTGTAGATTTTTGTTTTGATAAAGAAATAATTTAAGCTTTATTTAACATAAATATGTGATGTGTTTCCAAAAATAGAGAGTTCTTTTTTTCTTTCTTCTTTTTTTTTTTTTTTTTAGGAAATATATCAATGGAATTATTACAAAAAAAAAAAAAAAAAAAAAAATGAAAAACAAAAAGAAAACTGTTGTGAAGTGAAATAGAATTGGAATTGTAGTTATCAGTTGCAGAATCAGACGCTGGTGCAGTTGGCTACATTTATCAGATCAACGAAGGATTTTATGGTGCATTTGGTTGTAAACTTTTGACTCATCGTAATCCTACCTGCTCGCCTTTAATTTTTTTCGGTGAAAAAAGGAATACACATGCAGCAATTATTGGTCCTGAATCATGTGATACAGATGTCATCCTGTCGCTAACAAGACTTCCACCTCTGCAGGTCATACACTTATAAATTTTCGCTAAATACTACATAAGCAGAATTCATAATCAGTTTATTCCATCATATTTATGTATTTATTAAAATACAACATCTCGTAATGTTTGATATGGGAAAAAAATTTTTTCTTTTTCTTTTTAACAACAATTATTCATTCATTCAATTTGAAAATATTTTTAGGTGGGTGATTGGCTAATTTGGCATCATATGGGAGCTTATACGATTGGTAACCATGATACAACGGAACAGAATGACTCTCCATTGGTTATTCACTATTATTATAAAGGCGAAAAAATGTAATGAAATATTCAGTTTATAATTTTATCTATTATATGTATGTAGTTTTACTGAAATTTGCAGAAGCTCTTATTAATGATGAAACATGGACGTGATAGTGCATTGAATTTAACATTCTCGAGATTTTTTCTGTTTTAGTAGATATATTTGAAGTATTTTCAGTTTGCTCATTAGCTGAACATTAACTGAATCAAATAGGACAATTTATTGCTCTTTACCTGATATTTGGAATATCGTGATAAGTAGAAATATGTTCAGTCAATAGTTTTTTATTTTTATTATGCGTTCTTGTAACAGTATTGCTATCCATGCTTAAGTAATTCTCACATAAGGTTAGTCTAACAAATTTTAGGACTGTTTTTCCGGATCCAGAAACGCTACCAAATGAAATAAGCTATCCTTCAAGTAACTGTATACGCGATACTTCGGAATCCGTATCTTCCAGTTACATAGATGCTGTTGATGATGTTGCTAAGCAATAGCTTCTTCTGAGTTTGGCATACTTCAGATGGTATGAGCTACTGAGGGGTGAACTTTTTATAATTTGAAAAGATTTGTTATTGAAATGAAACTATCCTTATTACTGCCTATTTTTATCTTTTGAAAATATTTATGAATATCATTAACTGTGAAATTTTCCTAGTCGTTTATGTATTAATTGATGAAATTTATTGGATTTATATGTTTATGGTTTACTAGTTAGTGTACTTGACTAAACTAATTATTATCATTTTTGTTGTGAAATTCATTAAGGGATAAAATGCTATCAGATTTTATTGTAACTTTTTATTTAAATGATTAGCATATCTCGGTGAGTTTTTATATAATCATTTTCTGTAAGAATATATCGTAAATTTTTTCCTTTGAAATGCTCACCTGTACCACATTTTATTCTAGAAATTGCTTAAATATTAAGCTATATCAATTCGTTTATTATGATAAATTACATTGAATTACATTTTATGGTCAAATTAAAACAAACGAATATCTTTCGCATTGTTCCTATCCCTTAACTGTCTTTTTTTTTTTTTTTTTTTTTTTTTTTTACATTTTTGTTAAGGATCATTTTTTTTTTCTCTCTCTCACTCTCTCTCTCTTCGTTGTTGGAATCATTTTTGGTTCATAATTCAGTTTACATACTTAATATTGAAATTATTTTGAGATATATAATTTACTAAAATATAGTTAGATATAAAAATTAAAATGGATATATAATTCATAAAATAATATTGTATTTCTTCGAGGTTTTATTGCAGAACAAATAAATAGTGAATGTTGGTTATGTTTGGATTTCATGTTGCAACATAATAGTTAAATTAAACAAAAGAACATAAAGCATAGCAAATTTACGGATCGTTTTATTCAACATTAAATTATTGGATTAATAAATAAATCTGAATTTTGATGGTTTCTTTTTCAATAATTCAATTTCGAATGTTACAGTGTTTTAAATTTTAATTATCAACCCATGATATGAATGTTTTAAATTTTAATTATCAACCCATGATAAAATTTATGATCCTTAATAATTGGGTAAGATATCGAGTTGAGAGAAAGGAGGAACTAAGATAAATATGTGAAATAAAATAGTTTTTATCTTACATAAATTTATTTGAAACCATCATGAAATAGAGGGAAGTTGTATAGTAATGTATTTTCTTTTTCCCTTTTTAAATATTAAGAAATTAGGTGTAAAAGTATTTCGTGGAAAAAATGATGAAATAACAACTATTTATTAAAGATACAAGAATTCTTATCTCTGTAAGATGTCAAATTTCCTTTTTTTCCTTTGCTTTTTCTAAATATAAAATAGCATTTCTTTTCTTTTTATGCTTTAGTACCGCACTGTCTTCAAATTAATTTAATAGATTTATCCCTAAACTGCGATTTATCATTTAAAAAAAAAAGAACAAACGAGGATAAAAGTTTTGGCTAAAGATAATTTTAAAAAAATATGATCATTTGTAACAGCTTTATACGTAATCAAGTAGACATTTATTACTTTATAACAAACATATAATTAAATTACAATTAAATAACCTACAAATGCAAAGCTAAACATGAAATTATATCATAATTTCAATCTTTTAAAATGTATAAAAATTTTGAAATGTATTTGAAATATATAATTGATATGTTGATGGCATTAACAATGGCAAATTATTATTCGGTCATGTCATTTTCTGAATGTTCGCATGATTTCGCTTCAATATCAGTGCATTTATTATCATTGTCATCATCACTGCTATCTTTGTTCTCATTTGATAACTGCAAAATTTTAAAAAAAAAAAATTAAAAAGTTTTATGGAATCAATAAATTAGATTGATTATTTTTTTTTTGATGGATGTAATTTTTTTTTTTTTCGTTATTTCTTTTTAAAAAGAAGAAAAATGATAAATTTCATTAATTCAAATATTATCCTCACAACAGTAATTCTTTCTGTGCAAATTAGTCCAGAAAAAAAAATAGTAAATAAATCAAAATTCGCAATTGAAACAAACTCAAAACATATGTGATTTAAACAAAATAAACAAGTATGTCATTTTGTAAAAGAACATTTTATCTTAATATTAAATTAATGCCTTATGTTTACATGAATATAATTTAGTTATTAGAATATGTACAAAAAAAAAATTTTTCGTTACAAAGTAATTGACGGATGACTTTTAGTCAATGAACTTGTTTGAAAATAAATTATCTAAAAATTAACTCAAAAATGATTATTATTATTATTTTTTTTTGAAATGAACATACAAATTTGACTGATGCACCAAATGGTCTATTTCCTTGATTACACAGTTCCCGAAAATCGTAATCATCAACAAGAACATCATTTGATATTTCAGCCGTACCGGTGTGACGTTTTAGTGCAAGATCAAGAACTAGTGGAATGGAATTCGAGAGAAGACATAAATAAAGTGGTGGATCCAATGCGAAACACTGCAAAAATGCAAGAAAATAGAATATTTATTGATAGGCTACTTTGTGCAATTAATTATTAAAAAATCTTTCATCAATAATTTTAGCATCCAAATTAAACTTCTTTCTTATTCATTTTGGAGTTTTTCATTTCTATTTGTATTGAAGTAAATCAATAAATAAAAGCAGATTGTAACAATCAAAAAACATTTACTTCAATTGATCACTGATTAAAAAAGAAAAAAAAAATAATTTGCTTCGAACTTAATGAATTAATAATTAATTGATTTATAAGTTTCACAAATGCCTTGTTTTTCAAATAGTAAAAATAAGAAATTATACATCTCTTTTAAATTTAACAAACTTTACTACCGTCATCTTATCGAGATCATCGTCCTTATCAATCATCAATCCTGCACGACAGAATAGTACATTATCAAATTGTTGCAACAAACGGTCAGCGAATATATTAATAGCCATAAGATAATCGTAAATATTATAACATAAAATATTCTAAAAATAATTAATTATTGCACGCATTGTACATATCACTATTACTATTACATGTTGCATGAAGTTATACTGCATGATAATTTGAAAGTATGAAGAGTAATGTATTCTGAAGTACTATTAACGTATTTTGTAAATTGAAAATTCTCTTTTTTAATTTTATTCCTTTTTAATTTCACAACAATTATATATAAAAGAGAGATAACTAAAGATGGCGTATTAAGTCAAGTCTAATTTAAATTTAATAAAATTAATATCAATAAGTTACCTCGACTTCTGCAAAATCCATCGTGTGATTATTGCAAAAAAAACTTTCGTCATAAATACTATATGAAGTCAAATAAGTAAAATGAATTGAGCGCTTATTACAAAATGATGCCAAAAACCAGGGAGCATAAGGCAATGTATACAGTTTGGTTTTCAGTATTACTCGAGTTGGAATGTTGGTTTCAGAATCAATCTTTGCATTAGGATCACAATTAAGCGCTAAAAATTCATCTTTTTTTTTTTCCTTTTTTGAAATTAGTCAAAAAAAAGGGTAAAAAATTTTCTTTAATTCCACGGAAACACACATTTTAAGATGTTTAATTCCATTATGTTACAAGAAATAGCAGATATAGGAGCATTCTACAATATTCTTAAATCTAGAATCGTTTATAAAATCTGTAATATCAATTAGATGGTTAATGTCAATATCAAATTATATAATCAGGATTAAAACCTAATAACTGACCGATAATCAAGTATTTTATGAGAAGAATAAGCAATTAATTAGACATAAAATAGTGACCTTCTGCCGTATTTGGAAGGAAAATGTAAATAATGTGACTTGGAGATATATCAATTATTTCGTTGATATCAATATCACCTGTTGGCTGATTTGCAATGATAATATCTTCTTTCTGCATTGATTCTGGCAGATATCTTTTCTGAAATCACTGCTTACAATAAAAATTATTTCTCATTCATTATAAAGAGAAAAATTTTCACATATAAATTTAAAAAAAATTTCCACATATAAACTAATATATTTCTTTTATATTTTAATAGAAGAAAAATATACTAACCTTATTCTCGATTAATCTACTAAGACGTTTCAAGGCGAAATCAGTACCATAAATAAGAATTTTATGTGTACTAGCACTATTCATTTCATTCTGCTGATTTTCATTTTTATCAATTATTTCACGCATTCCTTAAATGCAAGAGCATAACGATAAGTAAAAATGAAATCGTTTAAAAAGCCGTCTGAGAAATTTTAATAAACTTTTTTTTTAACTATTAAAATGCATAATTTAAACCATCTGATTGCAAAATTTTGGCTTTCCAAAACAATTCAACTTCAGCTTTCGTCGACGGCATTGTCAGTGGTGAAATATTGATTTTATCGCTTGAAATTTCGCCCCTTTTAAGCTGAAATTATTATTATTATTTTACAAACAAAAACGGGCAAATATGTAAATTTATACAAACAGAATAGTGTAATTCGTTGAAACTGCAACTGGCTACTGAATGGTTTACCAATCACAATAAGTTCAAAAGAAATAAAAAAACTTTCCAGCATTGAAATGAAAAACATTTATTCATATTTCCCCATAAAAATTAAAAACTAAACCTTTGGAATAAGTTGGAGAAAATCAGGAGAACAATCACATTCACCTCCAATGTTATAAACTTCACCAATCCGTCCGTGTTCTAACGCAGATCCTATGCCAACCACAGCATCTCGAATGTGTAACAAACCAACAGTTCCACTTTTTCCATTATCATCAACTGCAAAAGTTTAAATTTGTTTAAATGTTCAAATTTTTGGGAGAAATTTAAGGAAAAAAAAAAAACAAAGTTTAAATTTGAGAGAAATTTTTTGACTATAAATAACCATTCATGGCAGAAATGATGATAAATGAAAGTTTTATTAGCTATGAGATTTACTAATTTATGTATTATTTAATATTTCACGATATATTTTATAAGCATTAATATATTTTACCCTGATTTAATTGCAGTAATAAATTATCATCCATTAATCCACCATAGATAACTGCTGATAATCGTACAATAACAGCAGGTAAACGATAACTAGTAAGATAAGAACGAAGCATCATTTCACATGCATTAATTGCTGCTCCTTTAAGTGAACATGGTTTTGTTGCTATTGTCTCCAGTTTTACTGTTTGCTTTCCATAAACCTAAACTTAACATTATTTAACTAAAAATATAGAAAATTTACTTTTTTCTTACTGCCATAAAGTAGAGATTAGAAAACAAAAATAAATGTCAAAAAAAAAAAAAGTTTTATATAAAAATATTTTTTATTTAGTAAAAAATAAATTTTGCATTTTCATATTTTATTATAACTAAGTAATCAGAAATTAGAGATCAACAAATGTTAAATAAATAAAACAATAATACTACATAGAAATGATTTATATGAAATATTACAGAAATTTTTTACTTCAATATAATTGCTTACTTCTTCCGAACTAATAAGAATGAATTTTGTTAAATTCTCATGGCATCGTAAAATTTCCAAAAATTGTGTCATACAGGATAATGTTTTGCGAAAACATCCTGGATGATCATTTTTGGTAGTAATATCATTAACATCATCATTCCAAATGTTGTATAATACATTATTGATCTGTAACAAAAAATAAATTAAAAAAAAAAAAAAAACAAATCATCATAAGTAGCAAAATGTTTCTTTTCTTTTGATTTTTGGCTGAATTATCGAAATTTTAAACTGATAAGAATATTGATTTTTTTTTTTTTTTTTTTGTGAAATACAGCCACTATGAAACTGTTCACAATTATGCATTATCAGTTAAAATTTTTGATAATTTCGCAAGAATAAATTATACTAATTCAATTAAATTTCATAAAAATTTCAAATTTTCGATTAAGATTCAGCAAGTTTTAAAATTGAAGTTTTAAATAATGATATTAATATTTATGTAAAGTCTTTAAAATACTATATCAATCTAAAAATATATATATATCAAATACAATATCAATCAAATTAGATCAGTGAATATTCTTCTTATGTATTATTTAAAAATTTGCAAGTTTTATCAAGATATAATATACTGTCTGATTTGATTAAAAAAAATAATACAGCATTAATTAATTTAAAATTATCCATTTGGATAATTGTTCGAATAATGGATAACTGAAATAAAATAATTAAAATTTTACCATTACTTCTAGTTAGATTATGGATGCAAACAATAAAATAGATTAATAATGATTATTCCGATAAATTTCAATAAATTGATGTAACAATTATCATTTTATATTAGTGCAATAAAAATTACTTTTACCTTATGTTCCTTTAATAGTTTTTTTACCAATTCACTATTACCAGGACTACCAATGGCAATAATGCATTGTTGGCGATAATTTTCAACTTTCTTTAAAATTTCATTTGTACAAGCTGTGTTCGATGATAAATCAAGAATTGTTAGTTTAATATTTGGATATTTCTCCAATAAATATTCCATAATGTGTAAGCCAATATAGCTGAGACCACCAACGATTAAAAAATTTAACTCATCAGCCATTTGAATAATATGCTGGAAGAAAAAACAAAAATGGAGATTAATTATATATGCAATTGATAAAAGCTAAAATTCAAAGAATTTAAAAAATTCTCCAAAAATTTTTTTCACAATTTAATAAAAAATTGAGTTTAAATGGTCATCGTATGTAGATATTGTAATTCAAGGAAAAGATACTGTAATAAATTCAAGTTATTATTGCTATTATTGCTACTGTTATTGTTATTATTATTAATATTATATTATTATTGTCTATTACTATTATTATTGTTGTTCTTGTCGTTGATATTACTATTATTTATTATTATTACTATTACTATTACCATTATTATCATTAATATTAATTGTAATAGTAATTAATAGTAGTAATAGCAGTACTGGTATTCATAGTATCCGACTAAAATCATGAAATAAAGAATTCGGGAAGGAAATAAACGTTAATGAATAATAATAATAATAAATGAATAATAGTAAATATACTTAATTGAATAATATAATAATAATAAAATATATACTTAATTCCTCTATGAATAATAAAATATACTTAATTCAACTCTTCATGTAAAATTTGATTGAAATTTCTTTCAATATCCATTATCAAAATCTAAAATTCATCACATCCAATGCTGAATCAATTATAATTAAAAAAAAAAAAAAAAAAAAGAGAACAGCTATACATAAAATAATTGATAATACATGATAGCAGTAAAATTCATTTTCATTTTCCTTCAAAGCAATTGAAGTTACAAATTATAAATGGAAATTTTAAATTGTATAGAATATTGCAAAATATAACTGCTAAAAAAAATAATATTTAAAAATATCCAAAAATGAATAAAAGTAAGCATTAATTTACAAAATAATTTAGTTAAAGTATTAAATTTTAATCAATTATTTAAGAACTAACTTTATGCCATTCTAAGTAAAAACTAATTCCTACATATTTGTTTTACTTCGCCAAAGCAAACTATTATACCACCATCATAAAGCCATCTTAGCTACAGGAAATAACAATTTGCATTTCGCAAATTGTATAATTATGCTTCCATCGGTTTAACGTCAGAATGCGATTTTGTTTTATAACTGATTTTTCTTATCCCATTTTTTTCATCCCTTATATTGGTTGTTATTTTAGCAAATTCATTAAATTTTAATTCAAAAACTCACCTTGACACTTTTTTTCTTAGTTTTATGATGAACAAATATTATTTCATGTATGTTTGAAAAGGAAAAAAATGAAATGAATTAAAGATTATAAGAAGAATTTTTGGAACAAACATAAAATGATCACTTGTTGAAATTAAAAGCTACGAATAATAATCGAGCATATCTCTTTTCTTAATAAGTTTAAAAATAGGGATAAAAAGACATGTGGAATTTGTTATGATCGAATTTTTTTAAACTCTTTTTTTTAATTATCGGTACACTGATTAGCAAGCATGTGGCATTTGTTAATGATTTTTCAGCGTAAGCAGTTTGATGATTAATTTTGATGATGCATTGGTATTCTCGTATACAGATGTATGAATAGAATAGTTTCAAAAAATCTAAGTAAATTTTAATTTTACAACTTAAGACTTGTGGGTGTACATTTGTTTTTTTTATTTTATAGCAAATAAATGATGAAGTTGCCATTAATTAACAAGCAGTTTTGAGTAAGGAATTTTCAGAATGGCTGACTGGGCAGATGTTGCTGATCTTTTGGGTGAATTGAGCGATAGTGATGATAATGATGAGGAGAAAAAGTCGGATGCAAAAGAGAGTTGCGCCGAAAATGAGGCATCAGTATCAGAAGTAAAAGTGGCTAGTTTCATTTTTTTCAATTCATTAATTATCTGTTTGTGCATCATATAATGATGAATAATTAATATATATTTCTGTACTCAAAAAAACGGTTTTTATATTTCTATTTCATTTTTCTGCAGAAAGTATTTAGTTAGCAATCTTCATTTACCGATGATTTACAAGTTATCTCCTGAAGTCATGATTTGAATACTTGAAAAGATCATTATTAATATTACGTGAGATTTATTAAATCTGTAATAATTATTAAATCTCGTAGCAGATTGCCTCAATTATCTTTTTGTTTTATATTTGTCTGTTCTACAAAGCAAATGGTTTTAATGTTTTTTTTTTTTTTTTTTTTTTTTCATTATTGTATAAAATTTTTAGCAGTCATCGAGTGTGAAAAGAAAATCTGATAATGATATTGGTACAGATGGTATACCGGTTAAAACTAGCAAGGGAGAGCTACCTCTTCATGCAATCGAATTACTGGACGATCCGCTATTTGGTTTAGTATGAATTATAACAATTGCTGTTTTGGGGAGAGGGAAATGTTAAAGGATTTGGAAGAGTAGTAAGTCAAATGTTGTTAGATCGAAAGCAAATAATAAAGTTATTATAAAAGGCATTTGATAATAAAGATACATTTTAACGTTTCAGTTAGACCCTGCAGATTTTACTACAATGGATGCTGTATCGAAGAATTCATCTCTAGCCTCTTCTTCTGCAGCAGGTTCATCAAACTTAAAGAGTGGATTGAATGTCCATTTTGCAGAAAATGTTAGAGATAATGAAAAGACAGGCATTAAGGATGCATCAGTAAGTAGTCTAATTGCTACTTTATTTTGATGTCGTTAAAAATATTTTATCAAAGTGATTTTTATTTTTATTATTGCGGAAAGCATGAAAGATGATGATGAAGTGTGTTATAGAAAATGAAGGAAGATGAAAATAATATTAAAGAAAAATAGAAAAAAAAAATTCATCAAAGCTGGATCATCACGTCATTTCAGTCGTGGCAACAATGATACATAAATTGCAGAGAGCAGGACCGAGTAGAGGGAATTCTCCTGAAACCGAAAATTCCGATGACGAGCAAAATGAAGCTGCTTTGCAGCCGAGAAAATTAAGTAGACAAGATGAAATCTTGCGTCAAAAAATGCAGTAATTATAGATAACAATTTTATTTATTTTATTCCTCAATCTTCGATCCATATAACGATTTTAAGAAAGTGATTCAAGCACATCATTTTCCAAAAGGAATAAAACACGGTAGTAAGGTTACCTTTGATCCAACTATCTCTTTCTTCCACATGCTGTAGTAATTATTCTTTGTGATTATTTGTAGGATATTGGTAGCTAATTTTTCGTCTGAACAGTTGGCACGTTACGAATGCTTCCGACGTTCATCTTTTCCGAAAAGTGCAATTCGAAAAGTGCATTTTTCTTCTATCAAAAATTTTATTAAATTTTATTTTTATCAGAAATATTAATTCATTTATTTTATTATCACGAATTCATTCAAATTTTATATTTATAATATTCCTATGGTCTTATAATATCCCTTTTTATAATATTACTTTATCCAAAAATTTTATCGCTTATATAAAAAGAAAGCAATTTGGAAAAAATTTCTTTAATTATTTTGCGTAATAAATAGTAAAAGGAAAAGTTTAGCTTATTCATCAAGCAACGGGTGTCACACCTGGACATAATGTTATAATAGCTGTCGCGGGACTTGCCAAAGTATTCGCTGGGGAACTTGTCGAAGAAGGTTCTATTGTTTTTTTTTTTTTGAAAAAATATTTGTTCCATTGCTTTTTTTCTATTGCTTTTTTTTTTTTTTTTTTTGAATATTTTTCCCATTGTTTTGAATGTGCGTTTTAATTATTCGTGGATTTTTTACTAAATTTAGTTGGGTTTTATAATCTTTATCTTTGATATCTGTGTACTTTCTAATTTTCAAAAGCCAAAGTCTTAAGATGGTAATATTTTAGCATTAGACATTCGCGAACGGATGGGAGAAGAGGGTGAGCCATTGAAGCCACATCACATTCAAATAGCATATGATCAATTGAGAGAAAAGGGCAAACTTTTTCCGCCTTATGGATCTCGCCGAAATCCTTTCATATAATTTTGTTATGTATCATATCGTTTTATATAGGCAATGAGATGTCGCTTTTTATTTATTTTTTTGCCGATTTTTTTTTTTTCCTTTTTGGTGAAACTGTTTAATGTCAGGAAGCTAATTGATTGTCACTCCGTTTAATTGCTTGATTCTGATTCTTTTCTGATGTAAATCTAGGGTTTTTTCCTTTTTTTTTTCTCAAAAATCTTGAAAAATCAGAATCCTGTTCAGTAATTTTCTTAGTAGTATGCGGTAAACATGAAATATCAATTACTACATATTCATCGCTTCTCATTTTGCTCCATTTTTACTTCGTGTTATTCCTGTTTGATTCTAATTAGCAATAATATTGAATGAATAAAAGTCGAAATTTTGATCATTTCTTGCTTTGCACAATCTGATTGCAATGACAAATAATGGTAAATTATGGGAAAATTTTTTATTTGAATTACGATATGACGCTATAAATTTTCTACTTCTATAAAATAGTGTTAAAAGAAATTAGATTTATGCTTTTAATTTATTTCTAAATTACTAAACTACTTATAACTAATAACTTATTGACGAATTATTTCAAATGTAACTTCAGTTTCAGTTTGAATATACACTGCAAGAAAGGTAATTTTAAATATGTGTTAATTCTTAAATCATTTTTTTATTTCTAAATTAGTAATTTGACACTTTTCAGTCATTAATACTTAAATTCAAACTATTTACTTATTATTGAAATATACCTGTACCACTGTCATGCACTAAGCATTAGTTTTTCAGGATTTTCAGTCAACTGTAATGGATGGGAATTCTGATGGAAACATAATTCAATGAGGTATATTTTATCTATAAATTTTAAAGCTTATTTATACATAACAGCTTAAAACTTACAAAATTATAATACAATTATGTAAAGTCATATGATTGTCTTATTGTATACTTTTATAATCTTTACAGCTAGCAACCAAAATATTAAACCCTTATTTTTTATCACATCTTTTTTTTTTTTTTTTTTTTTAAAAAAAAATTTTTTTTTTTTTTTGTTTAGGATAAATTTTATCCCTCGAAATATTACTTGAATTTTTCTTCTATCATTTTATCTGTTGATATCGATTAACATGCTGTCAACTATTATCTTTTAATGACACACACACATTTAATCCAGTTTCAAAGATTTCACTCTTTCATTTATAATTCTTTTTACATGCATACATAATTAGTTGCATACATGCATACATGTATACATACATACATACATAAATACATACACACACACATACACACATACCTACATACATGTACACACAAAAAAAAAGAAAAGGGATACATCAATTAATAATAGTTGTTAGTAATTCAAGTGAAATGGTAAAAAAAATCTTTTTGTTAATCAGAAGCATATTTAAATGTCAAATGGATCTTAAATAATGGAGAAAAAGAAGATGAAAGGGATAGTTAAACAATTAACATGCATATTGAATTCTTTCTTAATTTTACAATAAGAAATTTCATAAATTTTCTTTCATAAAAAATAAGAAGGTTGTTTTTTCTAATTAAGAAAGATTTACAGTTTTTTTCTTTTTTTTATTTGAATTAATATTATTCTTTTTTATTTTTCCAAACAAATTATAACAATTTATTCGTATAAGATAAGTGAAAAAAAAAAAGGGAAAAAAAACGAAAACAGAGAAAATGTAGCAATTAGTTTTTTTTTTTTTTTTATTTTCTGAATAATTTGTTATAATTTGTTAGATTACTTTTGTACTACTTCTTTAAATCATAGAGAATTTTAAGTATTCATTATGCAAATATTTATATTTGCGAATTACGTTAGTGTTGTGGTGAATAGCTCAAATTTATATAGTTTAGCTTTTTAATTTATTCCACATCAAAAATTAATTCCTCAAGTATCCATTTATGATTTATTCTTACTTAAATAGTTTTTATATGTTCACATATTTATTTAATCAAATTTTCTCTCATTCTTTGCTATTACATCATTGCTTATTCATTGTACTTTTTATCAGCATTAATGTAATGAGTAAACAATATTTTATTAATGTAATTAAATTTTAAATACTTACCTTATTCTATGGAAAAACATAGGAGATATTTATATTCTATGAAAATTTTCGTTTATTATTAAAAAAAATGCAACCAATCTATGAGAACTTTATTCATTATCATCAAAATGAAATGAAATGGAAAATGCGACATTTGGTTTAGAAGCAAATTGAATTAATTCACTGAATACGGCAGATTTATCTATCTTCTAAATGTTTACATTTTGCTATTTCGTATAATCCTATATTCACTTTCTTTAAATACCATTCAATTTTAGCTACTCATTAATTATACAAAAGATCCGCGATTATTATTCGTGGATTTTTAACCAAAAATTTAAATTCATCTTCGAGATTTAAACAGAAATTAAGATAAAAATAAAATGAAATGATGAGAAAAATGATGAATAAGTTTTTTTTTTTTGACTTTTTTGTGATTTTTCTTTTCCTTAATTTGAATTGGTTGATTTTATTTTATTGCTTCTATTCTTTGTTTCATTTCTTAATAGTTTAGACATTTTTTTTTTTTTTTTTTAGTAAATTTTATTTTCTATATTTTACATTAAATGAATGAATATTTGTCACTGAATGATTTCGACGATTATATGTTGAGACCTAATTTATTTGTTTGTTTCCTTCATTTGTTTCATTCGATGATCCATCTTCTCGTTGAATTCTAATTATCATCTCTCTTCTCTACATACTCCATTTCTTTGTTTCTTTACTACCTTCACTTTTTTATAACAATTATTGGTGTTTTTTATTACTATTGTTATTATCATTATTAATTATTATTGGTTTTATTGTTATTATTATTACTGTAAGTCATAAATTAGTTATGCTTCTTCAAGTTGTTAGCAAAATTAGTTTGATTTTAATTTTAGGAGATTTTTTTTTATTTTTTATGGTAGCAAAACAGATTAAATGAACGGAAAGGTGAAAATTTTTTAATGTTTTATACCATACTGAAATTTCTGTTTTAGTTTAATGAAATTTTATAATAAAAATTCTTCCGTTGCTATCTCATCTTTTTTTCATCTTTAATAACTGATAACTGATATTTAATCTTGCTCATTTCAATTACTATAAAATATTATTGGAAAAAGCAATTTTTCTATAAAGTAATCTTTCATTTCTTTTTTTTAACTTTTTGTGAGATTCACATTTATAAATAAAAAATGATTCTTTTAATATTTATTAAATTGCACTTTATTTTATGTTTATTATCATAACTTGCTCTTGATCATTTTACAGATATTCATTTTAAATATCAATTGTACCGAGATATCACTGAAATTGAGGCAAATTATAGCAATTATACAGTTTGATAAATTAATTGATATATTTGTTCCAAATTTATAATCAAATTCGAAATTGCTTTGTGTCTATTTGTATTTTAAATTTATTGTTACTATTAATTTTTTTTTTTTTATCTTTATTATTAATTATTACTTTTCTTACTAATTATTATCCATTGTTTTTATTGATTATTAGTGTTATGTGATGACAAATAGTTATTATCATTACCACACATGCTACCATATTCATGATACTATGGTTATTAATGATCAGTAAAAATTTTCGGTATTTTTGGAATTTACTTTTCTTTCGTTTTTTTTTTTTTTTTTTTGTCATCCTTCTTCCATTTTCATTCTTCTTCTACGACTCTTTACTTCTACTTCGATTTCCGCTATACCATCCATCACCATTTCTACTATTTGATTTGCTGGTTTTTCTTTTTCTCATCAGATGTTTTGTTAAAACATTTGAAAATAAGCTTTTTTCTTAACTCACCGGTTTTTCTTCATTTTTTCTCTCTCCTTATTTTGAATTACTACCATATTGCTATTACTCATATTATTTTCTATTATTATTTTGCTGTTGTTATTAATATTAATTATTATTTATTATTAATTATTGTTATCATTAATTACTATTGTTATTCTTATTATTGTTATTATTACTATATGTTATCATTAATTATTAATTGTTATAATTGTTATTTTTATTAAATCTAATGCGGAATTCTTATGCTTAATTAAATTTTATATGAAAAAAACTTCTATCATTTTAATTGATCTTTAAGTTGATTTTGAAGTCTTTTTTTTTCTCTTCAGATATTAGTTAATTTAAATTTAATGTTACAATTGGTTATTTAAACTTATTTTTATCGCGTTTATAGCATATTTTATGATTTATTTATTTATTTATAATAATTTAAACAATCGTATTGTTTAAATTAATTTTTAAATTATATTTAATAATATTCATAGTTTTCATTCATTCCCAAATGTATTTATCCATCTAAACATGATGCATACGTTATTTACTTCTGAATACATACAGGATGAATATTATAGTAATATATTTATTAAATTCTTGAAATAATATATTTAATCTAAATTTATACATTAACTTTATATGTTATATATACAATCCCAAAGGATGTTTCGTTACATTTGCTTTAGCTGATTAAATTATCAAATGCACTTTACCATGGAAAATTTTATTTTCAAATATTTTTCCTTCATTTCCGATAATTATTTAATCAAATATTTAATTCTTAATTTTAATGTAACTTTTAGACTCTTTTTAAACCTTTGTGATAAACATTCTTATCTTTTTCTTTTTGATTTCTTTTTCATATATGTTTTTTTTTTTATTAAAATCTCATATTTACGCAAGAAATAACAAAAAAAAAAAAAAAAAACATTCCAATTTATGCTTGATTGACAATTGTTTCAAAAATTTTTCTCAAAAACCAATTTTTTATTTTTTGCATTTGGCTTCAGCTAACTGAATGAATGAATAACTTACAAGCATTTGTTCATTTTTTTTTTTTTTTTGTTTGATTTTCAAGATTAATCTGTCTGCTGGTGTGATATAAAAAAAATTTTTCAAATTTTACTCAATCAATCAGATTAAAACTATCATGATTATAACAGGTTTTTTCTTTTTCTTTTTTTATGAAGTTCGAATAAAAGCTTACCGAAAAGACCTGTTGCATTGATAGCAATTTTTTTTTTTTTTTTCTTTCTTTTCTTTTACGTCCATAAGAATATTTTCGCTGTTTTTTTTTTTTCTTTTTTTAAAAATTATTTTACTTTAGTGAGTGATAGGAAGCAAGAAGGCATTCTTTATTTTTTTTTTCTTTTACATTTATATTTCTACGAATATTTTGATAAAATGCATCTGCTGATATTACTTATTGCAATGACTATAGGTTTGTGAAATTCTTTTTTCTTTTGTAAATTTTATTTTATTTTCTTAATATTATTATATTTGATGAGACATTTGCTGAATAAGGAAAAAAGAAATTTTTTTTTTTTTTGAATATTTTAAAAATTATCCAAAAGTTATTAATATTATTTAGCAAAGAGTAACTTAATTAATTTGGCCAATTTTTTTATATGAATGCAAGAAATTACTTCATTTTATATATTTTAAGGGTAATTATAATATTAAGTACAAGTGCGCCAAAATGATGGAAGCTAAATGAATTGTAAAATAGCAAAATAGATTTTAGCTGATGAAAAATTGAATGAAATTACTGTTTAATTCTAGCAATTGATTAAATATTGATGAAAATGAAAAAAAAAATTAGTTATATTTATTAGAAATAACAAAAAATAAAATTAAAATAAAAAAAAAATTTTTTTTTATTTAAAGTACTAATGAATTGTCGAGAAATTGGCCATCATACATCTGTGGCAATTATTGGTGAAGGTTCATCTGGAGTATCATCAGCTTTAGCGCTAATTGAACGTGATCCAAGTCTTAATATAACCGTCTTTCATAATGTGCCATTTGAGCAAACTGTTAGTTTTGGTCCTGCTGGCTTATTTCGAATTGATACATTTCAAAACAGGTTTGTTACTATATGATTCCTTTTTTTTTTTTTTTTTTTAAAAGCAAGAATTGTTCAATATCTCAACTAAAATCTTTAAATAATAACCATTGATTTAAAACTTTGATTATTATATCTTTCATTCCATGTTTTTTTTTTTTTTGCTTTTATTTTTATCTATTATTATAAATTATTCAATTAATTAATTCCATTTATTAATGACTATTTTTATTGCATAATGTGAATGTTTTCATTCTTTTTTATTTCTTTCTTTACATAATAATGCATTGAAATAGTTAATGAATTATGTATAATTGAGATAATTAGGTGAATCTATTTTATTTTACTAGTACTAGTTCCGATCGTATCATTAATAAAGGAAGATGATAAATAAACAGTATTTTAAATGAATTTTAATGTTCATACGAATTTAGTTAGAAAATTCACTTTTATCTAATCATTAGAATAGTTTAAGCAATTGCAATTAATTATGCAATATTTACCTATCTCTATGAAAGGTGTGAATTTTGAGTGAAAATTTAAAAGATTTAATAAAAATTTTTGAATTTTTTCTATTAAATAATGGTAAGATGTTATTTATTTTGTTAAATCGATTTGCAATCAAAAATATTACAACAAATTAGAAAAAAAAAAAAAGAAAAATAGCGAAAAAAGATTAAAGTTTGTGATCTGTAGAATATATATATATGTCAGATTGATAGAAGGGATTTTGTTCCTTTATTCCTGATATGATTCTTTAGTAAAAGGGAGAAATACTTGCAGTAAAATTCTATTTCAAATGATTTTACAATTCAATAATTTACGAACTCTTTTGATGCATCTCATGTATTGAAATATTTTGAATTCCATTCGTTGTTTATTTTCATTTTAAGCTTTATCTAAATCATTTTATTATTTCTAATAAATTATAGTTAGTATATTAAATAATGAATTATATTCACTATTTTTAGCAATTAAAAAAAAAAAAATTATAAATTTGTTTTTTTCGAAATAAAAGTTCATCACTTTCTATGTTCCTTCTTGTTTGTTTTTAATTTTTAATTTTTTTTTTTTTCTTTTTCAGAGCTTATGGAAAACGTTCATTTAATCGTTATGCTAAATTATTTCGAGAATATGGTGGTGAAATCTCTGGTGTTAATTTGTTATCCGGATATATTTTATCAACAAATTTGACAGAACTTGTTGAACAAGTTCTATAATTTAATTTTTTTTTTTCCTATAAAATTTATTTTTGATTTGTGGAATTCGCCAAAATTAATGCTTAATTTTTTAGATTGCACCAAAATTATGCTTTTTTTTAAAAGAATATATCAAAAATTATTGTTTTTTTTTTCTTTTTTTGAAATATATCAAAATTAATGAGTTTTTAAAACCAAATTAGTGCTCTATGTTTATTTGTTTTTTCCTAAAGTATGTCAAAATTTATCAAAATAAATTTTGCTAAAATTATATTGAAATTATTTTAAAGGATGAAATTTATGGTGATATTGTTTACAATTTTCGTTATCTTCGTGAGAATGAAATGCAACAATTTGCTAATCAAGGTGAAATTGATCGTGTTTTTGCGATACATTTTACAACATATACAACAGAAGGTGGTAAATATATACCATGGATGAAGAAGCAGTTATTAGCAAAAGGTGTACGATTTATACAACGTCACATTAATACAGTTAAAGATGTAAGTTTACATTTGTATTTTTAATTTATACTACCAATCATTTTAAATATTCAATTATTATTATTATTATTATTATTATTATTATTATTATTATTATTATTATTATTGTTAGATCAAATTAATGATTAAAATAAATTGAAAATTTTTTAATTTGATGGTTTTTGAAAACAAAAGTATTGATGAAATGATATCTGAGCTAAAATAAGACAAGTAATTATTAGGACTTTATTTATTATGACTAAAAAATTAAAGTTATTCTTTTTTCTAAATAATAGTATTCAAAATTTTAATTAAAATTTAAATAATATGATCAAAGTTTTTCATTCTTTTTATGGTATATGACTTATTTTAGTGTAGTATTATTTTTCTCTATTATTTATTATTTTTAGCACTAATTATTTTTGCCTTATTTATTATGATTAAGAAATGTGGTTGAAAATAATCAAAGCATCATATACTTATAAAAATAATAATGCACATTAGAATAATTCCTAAAAGATTAGGTTTTTATCTTATTTTAATCTTGAACTGATTAAAATGTTATGATAATAACACTGTAGAAATGTTTTTAAATAGTATTATATTATTTTAAATTAGATAAATGTTGTATTATTTTAAATTAAATGAATAATATTATGCTATTTTAAATTAGGTAAATAATATTAGATTATTTATAGCTATTTGATGAATTCGATATTATTGTGAATTGTGCAGGTTTAAATGGTGGTAAAGTAGCAGGTGATGGTGATGATAAGAATATGTTTCCAATACGAGGCATTATATTTGAAGTAATATTTGATAGCATATTTCTAAATAAATTAGTTCATATTTAAAATAAATTAATTTATAATTCATTTTGAAATGAAATGGTAAGATTATACGTGAGCTAATAATGAATTGACGGAGGAGTTTGTTTTGTAAATATTTCGTTTTTAGTTTTCATTTTTAGTACGTCATTTTAAATGATTTGCACTTTGCTTTTGATCACATTTTTTCTTTTTTTTAATTAGCTTAAATATTTTGAAAATCTGTTATAGTTATATTATTATCACACTCATATCATATTTTAGTTATAAAATTAAATTTTAATAATTGAATAAACAATTTGTGTGAACAATGGGATGTTCTCATGTCATATGCTCCCTCTTTCTGTTTTTATGAAAAAAAAAATCAATTTTTTTTAATAGAATGACTTAATGATATATCCAATTATATTCTTCTATATTTATGATTGTTAAATTTCTTTCTTCGTTTTTTTTTTTTTTTTTTATTTCATCTAAATAATCTTACATTACAGAAATTTAATGTATTATTAATTAAGGTTAATGCAACATGGCATAAGCATTTCCTGTACAAAAGATTTGATACATTTTCTATACCAACGTTAGTTTTTTAATTTTTCATTTATTATTATCTTTTTTAAAATTATTCTGATATCAAAATTGCATTTTATATATATATACATTTTTTTTTTCAGTACAGATAAAGTGTTTATCGGTTCTGTGAAGCAAAATGGTAGATATGATCTTGAAATTACACCTGCTGATCGGAATGATATCCTTAATCGATACTATCGATTGCAGCCAGCAATTAAAGTATGTATAAAATGTGGTAACGGCATTCAAATTTTAATAATTGGAAATTTAATAAAGCATTAATTAGTTCGTCAAATATTTTCTAGATGTGACATTTTTTCTGCTTTTTTTTTTCCTTTTTTTTAAAAAAAAAAATTGAAATTATTAATACAGACACATTTTAAAGTTTGTGCATTTCTTTTTTTGTAAATGTGAGTCTTAGAAGAGAAATGTAACTGATATCCTATTAACTTTACCTGATGAGAAAATTTAGTTGACATATTTGATACACTTACTTTGTCTGTCACATTTAACTCTAACTGATCCACTGTAACTCATTATTAAACTATATATTAAGGCAAAAAAATATTGTTGAATTTAGTGTACTTAATTTAGGCCATAAAATAATAGTTACAGTAGTAAGACAAATTACAAAATTAAGTTTTGTTGATTCAGAATTATCGATTTCTTTATAGTTTAATATCCAATTTAAAAAAAATGCAAAATTAATTAACAGTTGATGAATAAATGTCATTTCATAGGGTGCAGCTATTTTGAATGAATGGTCTGGTTTAAGACCGGGTCGTAAGGGAGGTATTCGACTGGAAATGACAACAATTCGTTTCCCAGCTCCAAAATTCAAGGAAACTTCTAATGAGAAAATTGTTAAAGTTTGTTATTTTATTATCATCAATAGCTAAGTAAAGTTTGTTTTAAATAAGCATATTGGTTGTTTCTTGATCGTTATTATTCAGTTCTTGAAGACATATGAAATATAATAATCATTCAGCTTAATGACATCTAATTCATGATAATATATTCTACAAAAAAATTGTCACTTTGTAATCAATATGAAGTAATCATTTTAAGAAATTAATTTACTGTTTATTTTAATTATTAGTCTACATGTATTGAATTATCATTATGCTAAAAAATTTAGGATCGTGCATTTATCCTAAAATTTAGAATTTTGATGGTTATTTTGATAACTTAATTCCTTTATTTTGTTTTGTTTGTTTGTTTACTTTTTATTTTTAAAGCATTTTTTATTCTTTTTTTTTTTTTTAGATTGTACATAATTATGGTCATGGTGGACATGGTTTGACATTAGGTTGGGGTTGCGCTGAAACAGTTGCTGATCTTATCACAGGCAGTGGTATCAGTAGTAAGAATATTAATCATGAATAAGAAATATTAATCGATGATGTTTGTATATTGTGTATTGTTATTGTTACTGTTGTAGTAGTATGATGAGATGAGTTGTTTAAAAGTTGAAAGATTTTTAAACCATTAAAAAAAAGCTAATGAAAAAAAGATGATATGAGAATGAGAGAAGAAGGAAAAATAAATGATTATTGATTACAAACTTTTTTTTTTTCCATTAATTGTCTTGTTATATTTCATATGTGTGCAAAAATGTTTGACAGATAATTAGCTAATAATAAGTATTACTATTAGCTAATAATGAAAAGATGAAAAATGTGAAGATAAAAATCAAAAAGAAAAAGTAATTACTTTAAGATTAAAGTAAAAGAAAGAAACATAAAGATGGTAAAAGTTTTGGAGAAAAAATCATTAGACTCATTAAATTTCTGTATATTTGATAAGTGTATTTGTGATAATCATGCTCAGAAAATAACGCCTCCATGTCTTTCTTTTTTTTTTTTTTTTTAATTCTTAATTTATTATATAGTTTTTGATGATGATAATAAAATAATGATTTCATTGGTTTTGCATAAATATGCTTTGCATATTTTTTTTCCTCATTCATAGATGATATTGATATGATATGTTGGTATGATTGAAAATATCAAATTAATATTTCCAAAGATTTATAACAATTTTTTTCTTTTTTTTTTTTGACATTTCTTTTACTAATTTGCTATTTCTAAAAAAAAAAAATCATTTATGTTAGGCAAACAATAAGTATTATCTTTTAATTTTTCAATATTATGTTTTAAATTTTTACTAAACTGATTAAATTGTTCTTTTAGGATCATTGGTAGAATACATGGTGGTTAAATGGTTAAATTGCAAAAAATATTATTATTATTGTTAATATCAATATCATTACTGTTATTGTTATTATTAATTATTATTCCTATTAATTAATTAATCAGTTATCAATCTGTTAAATTATACTGGGTTTTGCTTGGTTTTTTTTTTTCTCTTTAAGAGGAAATTTCTAATTAATTTGAATGATGAATTGGATATAATTAATCATAAAAATTGTATTTTGTCAATAATATATAATAATTTTTGCAGCAATGGATAAGGTGGACGAGATATATCCGGTAAACAAACGGTATAGTTTTAATGAAACGACAAAATTAAATTATATGAAGGAATCAATTGATCAGGTTTTATTATAATATTTTTTGGGGAAAATAAAATTACAAGGAATGGTTGATTTTATTTTAAGTGAAAAAAAAGTGCGTGTGTTTAAAAATTACGATCAATTTACCAATTAATTGTGCATCATATTTTGTCTCCAATAAAAAAAAAAAAAATGGGTTGGTCTATTTGATTTATACTTTATAATATTAGATGAAAGGTATCACTCAGGTAGAGACGAATGAGAGTTCTAGTTACGTGGCTTTTAATTTCGCTAACATTTGATCTTTGAATAACCAATTAAATATAGTTCTCTGTATTAATACCATATGACAATTATAATTCTTAAAATCTGTCATTGTTTTAGGATGTCATGAAAGAATTAAGTGGTTTGTTGTGAAAATTTTTACAAATTTATTTAACAATATATCATTTGAAAACAGGAAGAGGTTTATTATGATTTTTTGGTTTCTTTTTTTTGAAAGAAAATAGCAAGGTCCTAAGGTTCATCTTTTCTTTCAGGAGGTAAAATTTTGTGACACAGAAATAGCAAAAAGAAACGAAGAGATCGAAAGTTACAGAAAATTACAAAAGCATCTCGAGGAACTTCCAAAGAAGCTTACACATAATGTTAATGTAGGAAATTTTTTTTTCCATATTTTTTATTTGAATAATATTTTATTGTAACTTTTCATTTCCATCAGATTATGTAATATTTTTACCTTTTGGTGTTGGTTTAATATAATATTTGTTCATAAAAGTATGAATACAATAAAGTATGATATATTAATTTTACTGTTTTTGTAATTGGTTCTAAGTTTAAATCATGTATTGGTTTTTTTTTTTTTTCTAATTTCAGGTTCCGCTGGGTAAAGTTGGTTTTATGCGTGGTCGCCTTGTACATACCAATGAAGTAATGGTTTTACTTGGTGATAATTATTTTGCGGTGTGTTCATGCTTTCATGCATGTGAAATTATTGAGCGTCGAATATCTTGTAAGTTTATTTCTCTTAAAATTAACCATGGTTGGTAAAATGATTTTTAAATCTTACTTTTTCATGAGTTACTTTTATAATTACTTATTATGTGATACAAATTAAATTGTAAGATTTATAAATTTGAGAAGAAAATAGAACGATATAATAGTAATTAGTTAATATGCTAAAAGTTAAATTTTGTATTTGCTGTAGTAAAATAAAATGCATTAGATGTGATTTGCATGTAATAAGAATTCATTTTCAGTTATTCAAAAGATTATTAACGACTTTGAAGAACAGAAGAAACGTGCTTTAGCACAAATGAAATTTGGTAGTGAATTATTTAATTTGGTGAGTTATTTTTAAAATATATCTTAACGTGAAGTACTTTATAAAAATTTTTACATAGTCATATGGACAGTACTTTATAATGATCACCGAAATTTTAACAGTTCTGTTTCTAATAGGATTATCAAAAGTTTGATATTTTTAGAATCTGATAATAATGTTTGTATGCGATAATGAAATCTTGTAATATAGCAGTTCTTAATATTTCGAAAACTCTTTTTTTTGTTTGTAATTTATGATATTTGTAAAAATTGGATATCATAATGATTTGTAATTTGTTTATAGGAAAGCGAACAAGTTGAAATACGAGAACCACTTGATGAAGCAAAATATGAGGAAGAAAAGAAGTGTAAGTTTCTCATCGATTTTAATAATAATTGCGCCTAAATATTATTTTATTAATAAATGCCTAAATGTTGATCTACTTTTTCATATGAAATTAAAAATTTTGTTCATACCAGAAATGATTATTCTATAATTACTTTCCTTTTTTGCTATAACGTATGGTTTTAGTGAAATGGATGCGCAAAAGTTATCATTTACAAGCAGAGGAACATAAAGAAGAATGTAATAATGAAGTGAGTAATTTGCTTACTTTAAGAACAAGTTGGAATGTAAAATTTAAAATATATTTGTAATTGTTAGCAAAATAATTTTGAAGTTTTTTTTTATTCTGCACAACTTAAATAATTGAGAAAATTTCTAACTTCAGGAAGATCTTAACGAAAAAGACAAAAAATTGATTGAAATGAATGATATAAGTGAGACAGTCAATGATTTAACGAAGTAAATGTTTACAAATTTGTTGTTTCTTTTTTTTCCATTATGAAATTTAAGCTGTTTTCTACTATCTTATATTAATTTGTATTATTTTTTCTTTTCTTAAATCTTTTTAATTGATAGATATACAATACGCTTCATTTAATTGGAGCTTTCTTTTAGCAGTTTAATTATGAGTGATTTTGTTTCTTTGTTCTTTATTTATTTTTTCTTCTTTTTTGTTTTAGTAATTATCAATATTTGTGCACAAAACCAAATGAAGAATTGATTGAAGCTGGTGATTATAACAAAAAAATAACTGACGAAGAATTTGATGAAGAAATCAAGAATTTTCCGACGGTTAGAGTAAAATTTTTTTTTATCATCTACATGTATTATTTATGTGTGAATTGGATATAAGAGTTTTGTTTTCAGTAGCTTTTATAGAATTATCAGGATATTTTTCTTCTTTTAAAGAGTGATTGTTTTTTTTTTTTCATTTTTTAAAAAATTTCAAGTTTAGGATTATCAAAAATTGCTAGCAAGATTGGATGAGCTTGAAAGGCAAGAAGAGGAAGAAGGTGAATTAGAAAGCGATTATTGGTGAGCTATTTATAAATTCAGATAATGATAGTATATTTTAATTGTTCTACAATCATTTTTATTCTGAATGAATGCTTAATCGTATTACATAATTATGTTAGAATAATTGCGCTTTTTTAATTGTAATGCAAGAAATATGCAATGAAAGCTTGCATTAATGCAGCTTACATGCATTGTTATTAAAGATTTATTCATTAGGGAATATAGCTTTCAGTTTTGTTTTCTATCTATTAAGTTTTAATTAATAGTAATGCTACTTGTGCATCATTACTAATTCCCAAATGAGTAACATACACATATCTATCGTAATAGTTTATCAAAAAGAAGAAAAAAATAAAACAGAGATATTTAATTTTTTGTAGTTTAGTTTAAATCATTTAAATTTTTCAATTGTTTCGTAATTTTTTTTTTTTTTTTTTTTTTTTTTTCATTATAATACAGTAATATTTTATTTAGACTAAAATAATTTAGTAGATCATTGAATTTATTAACTATATTTATATATTAATTTTAAATTACTTTGAACTGTAATTAATTTGATAACAATTTTAGTAGCAGTCTTGATTCGGATGATTTTCCATTGAAAAATAAGGACGATACAATTAGTAGCAATTTATTGGACAAGAAAAAAGAAGAGAAAACAATGGAAGCGATGAATGATGAAACAGGAAGTATTTCTCAGGTGATATTAAATGAAGCAAATGATGAATCACAAAAAATACGACGTACAGTACGTTTCAAGAGTGAAGATGAAGCTTATTCAGCTAATGTAACACCAATTTCATCACCAGATTCAGGGACAACATTTCATGAAAATGAACCAAAAATGGTAAATATTGTTATGTTTATGTTTATACTATTTTATTTATTTATTTGTTTTTTGAAATTATTTTATTAATTAAATTGAGTAAATATTTCAATGAATAAATTCATTATATCTTGTTTGTGTAATAATATTGGAAGACGAAATAGTATTAATATATTATTATAAGTTTTTAGAGTTTTTTTATTACTAAAATTGTTGAAATGATTGCAGATTATCAATGAAGATCCATGTTTCTCGTGTCCTTTGCCACGTTCGATTTTGCGTAATTTTAATGAAAAATCACCAGTTGATATTGATGCTTTAGCTGCTACTGAACCAGAAAATCGAAAAGAGATTGTATCGATTTCTGAACAAGTAAATATGTCATCATTATAGTATTTAAAATAATTTTTAGATTTATAGTGATTTTTTTTTAAGTAAATCTAGTATTATTGGTCATTATGTAACGAAGTTTATCATATTGATATTGTTTATAAGGAAATTACTTTCATATAAATTTTTAGTATGCTTTAAAATGTTTACTTTATTATTTTAGGTATTTACGGGTAAAGTATTAGAAAGGCATCCACCGAATAATGATACTAGCATCGAATCAATGCCAGTTATAATGCCTTCGAAGGATGATTCACCTCGACGGATTTCACGTTTTAAGATGTCACGTGCACGTCTTGATTAGCTTTATCATTTTATTAGTTGCATAATAGATCTCTGCAACTGTTTGTTTTCTAATATGTTAGTTAAATTGAACTTCTTTTTTCTTTCTTTTTTCTTTTTTAGTTCATACTGGAAATTATTTATAAAATTATATTCCTATTCATGAATATAAAAACTTAGAATGTTAGTTTAATACTCATTGTTGAAAGAACTAATTGATTTATTGGATAGAATTTCTAATTTTTGCTCGTTAATTTTCATCATATATTCTGAAACATTTTACTATTGCATAGATTTTTATTTTGTTCCATTTATTTTCAAGAACATGTAATTTTGATATATGAAAATTGATATCGAAATGTAAGCTTTAGCATCAGGAAAAAAATTTGTATTCAAAATTTCTTTTACATGATGACTTCGATTTATATATATATATATATATGTTATACTAATGAAACATGAATTACTGGGATTGATTTTCTTTAATATTTTTATATTTAAATATATTACTATCGCATATCTCACCATAGTTGTTTGATAAAGACATTATCAGATATTTTCAAGACAAAATTTCCAATCATCCTATTTTATTCATCGTACTGATTGTTGTAATCTTAGATTGCATATTTTATTTTATATTTGAGTTCTTTTTTTTTGTTTGTTTGTTTATTTGTTTAATATTTACACTTAGTATTTGAGTTTTTTTCCTCTTTATGTATATTTAATGTTTGAGTTTTTTTTTTTTCTTTTTTTTTCAATGTAGGAGAATATTTAATCTGTTGGTTCAATTTGAATATCGCTTTAATTACTTTTGATTACGTACTTTTTTTTTTTACATCTGTATTTTATTATTTCATATTAAGATATGATAATTTTCACTTGTCTATTAAATTACTATCATTAACATTAAGTAGTAACATTTGTTCGAGTTTAACATGCAGAATTTAATTTCATTAATGAATTCAATTTACCAATGCACTTGAATTCTCTGTATCACGTAATGCATGCATCTATGTGTACAGATGTATTTTAGATTATGTAAATTTGATGGATAGAATATGATCAGCAATACACGTACGTATGGTAAAATCAAAAGAAAAAAAAAAAAAAAAAACAAAGAAAAAACAATAATTGAAATAGAAATAACAGTAAGAAAAGAGGAAATTATGTAAATAGCGATATAAAAAGAAATATTTTTTTTAAAAAAAAAAGAAGAAAGAACATTTGAAAATACTTTACCAAAGATATCATTTTATTTACATTATGGAAGAGTTAGATGATATGATGATATATTTTCATTATCTGATGACTATCGATTTTTTTTATTTTTAAAAAAAAAAATAGCTAAATTTCTTTTTGTCAATTAAATTTGCCAAAATTCTATTAATTCATTTCAAAAGAAAAATCATCAAGCACTTTTTATATTTTCTGATGCAATATTTTCTCGATATTTATATATGATTTCAATGAATATAATACTTAAACAATTTTTTTTCTAGTTTTTTTTCTTCTTTTTTAATTTAGAAAAAAATAGATATGTGAATTTGAGAATAAATACCACTTATTCGGAAGGAATTACTATCACTAATTATTGTAATTTAAATTGGAAATTGAAAGAAAAAAGGAGAGAAATGATTGGTAATTCCTGGATATGTGTGAATTTTTTTTTTTTTTTTTTTAAATTGAAAGATTTTAACCTAGGACATATATATATATATATATATATATATATTTCATAAATTAATAATAAAACTTATGAAAGCTTATAGGGAATGAAAGAAGAAAGAATGATAGGAATGATTATGAGTGATTAGAATAGTGATAAGATTAGCAGTAGGAACAATAGGAAGAGGTTGTATCAGCGTCCAAAATAATACCTTTACTATCACCAAGTGGCATTCGTGTATGCTTTACGGATTGTTGAATTCGTTGCATAACTAAATCCAATAAACAATCTACTGATTTTTCGACATTTGTTGATGAATAGGCGCTTGTCTCAAAATATGGCAAACTGAAATGAAATTTTATGGCTTCTTTCTATTAGTATTTGCTTTTTTTTTCTTTCAATAATAATATTAAGTAATATTATTTTTATATATTTTAATACTAATCATAATTTTTATACATATAATTTTAAAATTTTTATATATTTTAATACTAATCATAATTTTTATACATATAATTTTAAAATTTTTATATATTTTAATACTAATCATAATTTTTATACATATAATTTTAAAATTTTTATATATTTTAATACTAATCATAATTTTTATACATATAATTTTAAAATTTTTATATATTTTAATATTAATCATAATTTTTATACATATATTTTTAAAATTTTTATATATTTTAATACTAATCATAATTTTTATACATATATTTTTAAAATTTTTATATATTTTAATACTAATCATAATTTCATTTCCATTTTCATCAATTTTTACATCTACACCATTTCAATTTAATTCATAAAATTTTTGATCCAATATTAACTTTAACTGAATATTAAGCATTCAAATAATATAATTACAAATAAATAGATAACAAAAAAAAAATTTTTTTTTTTAATGCCAAATGAGAATAAAATTTGGAATGAATAATTAGCTAACTCTTCGTTGTTTATTAGTAAATGATGTTTTTTTATGGCATAAAAAAAGAAAGGATGGTAACATAATTTTAGTTGAATAATTAATTAGTTAATTATTCAGTGAATGTTTTTTTTTTTTTATTTTACATTTTAATAAATTTGAATGAACTTAATAACATATCAATCAAAATTTTGGCAAAATGTTGTATATTGGAAAATGAAAAACGAAATGGAATATAGCAAAGTAATAGAAAAGTTATTTAATGAGTTGATCTAATATTTATTTAATATTAAAGTGAAAATAAAATTAAAATTGAAGAATGAGAGGAGACAGAATTGTCATTTAATTATACTAACATCATCTATTCTATGAAGAAAAAAAGGGAAAAAAGAATAAATATTATAGAATAAAAATGTTTAAAATTTGAAAAAGAAAATTTTCTATAAAATAGAAATGTCCAAAAATTCTAAAATTTGAAATGAATATGTATAAAATCTAAAATTTGAATTGTTGCTTTCCTTTTTTTCTGATGAAAAAATAAAGTTATGACAAATATTTAAATTAGAAAAAATTTTGTTAAATATTGTTTGATACTTCTTCTTCTAGTAAACAACTTTATTTTTTAAATTTATAAGTCAATGAATGAAAAACTATAGATTTAATTAAACTTTTTCTTTTGTTTTGCATTTCTTCTATTTAATTTAAATGATTAATTGTCATGTATGATTGATTTATATATGATTGACAATGTATAATTTAAGATTAATAAAATTTAATATGCAAAAAAAAGTAAAAAAAAAAAAAAAAGATGTTTATATGAATACCCCAATTGATCAGCTAATTGCTTAGCTCTTGCCGTACTAACTTGTCGTCGATTTTCCAAATCTGATTTATTACCACAAATAATTATATCAGGTGTTTCACAATATGCATGAATCTACAAAAAAAAAAAAAAGAATAAAAAATAATTTTTGGAATTTTAAAATTAAAAATAATTAATATAAATTTTTTAGAGAAAAAAAAATAGGAAAAAAGAAATGATATTATAATTCAAAAACAAATTTCCTTGTTGCTAACAATGTAAGTTTATCAAATTATTGCGAAAATATAATTAAAGTAAGAAATAAAAATTAAATTAAATATGTACTTTTAATTGTGATAACCAATCTCTAATATTTAGGAATGATTGTTCGTTTGTAATATCAAATATAAGTATAAAACCCATTGCATCACGAAAAAAAGCTGTCGTAAGACTACGAAACCTAAAAAAAAAAAAAGGCAAAAAAGAACAAAATTCATTACTTTTTTTTTTAAAAAAAAAGAGAAAAGAAAAAGAAAATTTATTTTTAAATTATTTCTTTTTATCACTTTAAAGAAAAAGAAAAAATTTTTACTGATAAGTTAACATTTATAGTTAAATTTTATTTTATTCATGAAAAAATTCTAAAAATTAAACAAAGCAAAATATTTTAACAATCAAGTAAAAAAAAAAATCAACTTAATTCTTATGAGAATATGAAAATGAATAGAATGATAAGATTATAAATTTTATGAAAAATAATAAATAAATTAAAATAAATTAAAAAAACCTTTCTTGTCCAGCTGTATCCCATAACTGTAATAAAACACGTTGTCCCCTTCCACCATAGCCACCACGACCACTTTTATAAACCTAAACATAATTTATTAGAATTTAAGCCTAAGCCTAAGTATAGGCCTAAGCCTAAGTCTAAGTATAAGCCTAAGCCTAAGCTTTTTTTAAAATTATTTATAATTTTATTATAAAATGATAAAATAACATACAACTTTCTTTTCTTTGAAATCAATTCCAACAGTTGATATGAATTGACCAGTAAATGTATTATCCGTGTAACGATGCTACAATAAAATAAAATGAATAAATGTGATAATCAAAATTTATCAAAAATCATTTTTGTAATAATAAAATATAGAGCAAATTATTTTTGTAATAATGAAATTTTGTGAAAAATTATTTTTGTAATACATTTTTCTTTTTTTTTTTTTCTGCAATTTAAAAATAGTGAGAGAATATTTGTGATAGATGATAATATTATCAAATGATATTGTTATATTAAATATTAAGAATAGAAAATAAAAAATAAATAAATAAATATTAGGAATAGGAAAACAATGAAAATCTGTTTGCAATAAATTATAGTAATAGAAATGGTGATAATTGTGATAAAAATGATAAGTTAAAAAATTTTAGTAAAAGAATAAAAAAATGAAAAATATGTGATTTTTAGTTCAACAGTTTTTCATCTTTCTTTTCTTGCTTTTTTTTTTGTTGTTTAAATTACGAAGAAAAGTTTTAAAATGCAATTTAAACATAAAGATTTACAAGATTTAAATTAAATAAACAATAAAAAAAAAACAGAATGCATATATATTTTTAATGATAAATGATAAGAAAAAAAGAGATAAAACAAACCAAAAAGGATGTTTTGCCAACACCAGAATCACCCAAAGCCAAAAATTTGATCAAATAATCGTAATCACCCATTACCGCTTTATTGAGCTAACAAAACAACAACAACAATAACAATAATATTAATAGCAATAACAACGCTAATGTAATACACTAATGATGATGAATTAAAAAATGGAAACAAATTAATATAATTAATTATTAAATTTTATAAAAAGGAAAATATATAAAAATGATAAAATAAACTATGATTAAGTAAATAAGTAAATCAGTAAAATGAATAATTTTTTTTTTTTTTTTTTTTTTTTTTAATAAAATATTTATTAATGGATCGATTTGTTAAAGTGACGATATTCTTAGCTAGCAAAACTATAGTATCCATTTTCTAGTCGTTTCTATCGATGCTTTTGAAAATGCTAGCTAGCTATTTAAGCATAGGCTAAGTTAGCAACAACAACATCACACTAAGTCTTTTCTATAGACATAACTCTTACTCTTTCTCTTCCCTTAGTCACTTTCAATTTTGTTTTTTCCCCTTTTTTTTCCTTCTAAGCCTAGCTAGGCTTAGGCTTATTTTGCAACCATCCTAAGCTTCATTCTTGATTAATTCTCACTCATTCAAGTACATACATACACATACACATATACATTCATACACACACACACACACACACACACACAAATACATCCATACATGTATGCATTCATTACTTATTGCCCCATATCAGGCAATATTACAGTTCTAGGCTCGTTAATTGAAGGCTTAAAATGTTTCTTTTTTTGAAATTAACACAAGAGTGACAGCGACAACATATATTAATTATAATAGTACAGTGACAATAGTTATTATTATTATTATTATTATTATTATTATTATTATTATTATTATTATTATTATTATTATTATTATTATTATTATTATTATTATTATTATTATTATTATTATTATTATTATTATTATTATTATTATTATTATTATTATTATTATTATTATTATTATTATTATTATTATTATTATTATTATTATTATTATTATTATTATTATTATTATTATTATTATTATTATTATTATTATTATTATTATTATTATTATTATTATTATTATTATTATTATTATTATTATTATTATTATTATTATTATTATTATTATTATTATTATTATTATTATTATTATTATTATTATTATTATCATAACAATAATAATAATAACAATATTTATTACCGATAATGTGCATTATTATTACTATTACTATTATTATTATCATTATTACTATATTATTATTTTTGTTATCTTTATTGTTATTATTATTATTATTATTATTATTATTATTATTATCATTATTATTATTAACTACTGCTATTGTTATTGTTATTATTATATTAATTATCAATTGTAATTATTCGAGGAAAGATAAATAATCTAAAATAAAGTGTGAGAATTGTTGCTCCCTTGTTGAAATTGCACATAAAAAGTGAGCCATTCAGCTTTGACATAGTATGATGAAATTTAATTATCCATCTGCTTCCAACTACATCATACCATCATCACATCATCAACCCAGAAATTTTCCTTTAAATAAAGGAAAAATAATCCTTTCTTTTTTTTCTTTTGGTTTCTTCTACTTTTTTTTTTTTTTACAACAAATAAATTTTCTCCCTTTTTTGTTTCTTAATAATTTTTTAATAAATAAAGTTGGAATGCTATTCATTTATAAATAAATAACATCACAACTTATCAGCATTCTCATCATAAATAAGCACTCTTAAGCAAATTTCAAAAACAATACACATTTTTTTTTTTTTTTTGTATTAAGAAGTACTTATGGAAGGGAAAGAAAAATAAATACATTATTCTATAAAAACAAAAAAAAACAAAAAAAAAGCTTCAAAATTTTCAGAACTTTTGGAGAAAATAGAAAATTTTTTCACCGCTTGAATAAAAATAAATAAATAAAATGGAAATCTTAAATGGATAATGTGATGATATGATGTCTGAGTAATGCATGATATTATTTTGTTGCTAGTTGCAGAAGAAATACTGATAATTATGTTTATCTCTATCAAATAATATTTATAGCTATAATCATAAGATTCCTACTAGTATGATATCTCTATTGATATACAATCATACTTGGGAAATAAAAGCACTCCATTGAATTGTTCGATAATGTTTATATAATAGATATTATTAATGAATAAAGTCCTTTTCGTGCTTTGTAAAATTGTAATTAAAAATTATTATTGCATTTTTATTATTAATACAATGTTACTACGCAGAAGGCTTTTATTTTCTTTTAGATTAATCTGCTGAATGCTTCAAATAGATCATTTATTTACATTTGCATATACATTACAGGTAAAAATTAATTCTCATGATAAAATGATAACAATGTGTCAGCAGCCGAATAATGAACGTTTAATGATTAACAGTTATTAATTAATACGAATTAATCATGTATTAACAATTATCTTGATGATTAGCTCCTAGTAATTACAATTATTTCATTCAAATTATGTTATAAATTATATAGTTACTAGCACAAATTAAGCAAGACATACAATTAGTTAACAATTAGTATTATACAAAAATATCACCCTTGGAATTTTTTACTGAGCATTTTAAAGTAAAAGGATAGAAAATTAGTAACTGCGCGGCACTAATTATCGAAGTTGTCAAGCAAACGACATAAAACATGCCATCAATGAGTTTCACACTTGGCAGATTGCTCGTTTGGTATTCCTAAATTATTTCAAAAAATGAGAAAAAATTTTATACATTCTTGAAATAATGAAAGCAATATATTTGCTTGCTTATATTTTGTTACATTTAAATCAATAAATAATGTCGAAATGAATTTAAAAAAGTACAGAATGCATTGTACTTTCATTAGCTCATTAAAATTGTTCAGCATTTGCACCTGCTCAACATATCTATCTTGCACTTATATGTTACTTCTGAACAATAGAAGCATGCTAACAACGTCGTACTTTATCAGCAATTTATATTGAAACTTTAATTATTGATATGAATGTTTTAATATATAAATAATCCAATGCTTTTATTAAAAAATTTTAATAGTAACCTTATAACCAAAATGAGTAAGAATCATTACGATAATAAAGGGAGCAATAGATTGAGCTGGCCTGACTAACAGAGCAGCTAAGCTATATATAATAGTAGAAATTGGTTTCCTGAAACATGTATCGATCAAAAACCAAATATTTTGCTTCTCAATGGTTTACAACTATCAACAACTAAATTGTTTCATAACAAATTATTTTTTAAAAATTCTGTGGTAGACGAAAATTTTTAGTTACAAAAATTTGACGTAGCAATGCATATTGTCTGCTTTCATCCTTCAACTTTATGGTTAAATTGTGAAAAATGAAAAATTTGCCACTTACTGTCTTGAAAAGAAAACCATATCTTCGTCAACATAATCAGCTAATAAAACTTGATATAATGGAGCTATTGAATGAACTGATATACTGAAAGCAAATTAAATCGATATGATTTTGAAATATTGATATTGGAACCTAAATTGTTACAGAAGAAATAATTTAGCAGACCATTACTTAATAATCTATTCCTGATGAATTAAAAAAAAGAAAATAGATATTTCCATGTATTAAATACAGTATATTGCAGTGATAAAGTATGCTAACATCTCGAACTACGTGAAAAATGACAAGTGATAATATCATGCACTTCCAAACAATATTTATTGTTTGTTGAAATTTGTTGAAAATACCTGTCAAAAAACATAAATAAAATGATCAAATATGGACGATTATATCCAGAAGTTAGAAGTAATACAGAAGCAATTATTGAAGCTATGAATGATTTCATAATAACTGACGCAACACCAATTCTAATGATTATTTTACCGCTTAATATCACAAACAGCTGCAATTTCAATACATTTTAAAGTTATATTAAATATATTTTAAAGATATTTTAAAGAAAAACTAGTGTATTTTAAAGAGAAACTCTTCCACACATAACATTCCTGATTTTTTAAATTCAAAGATTAAATTTATTGCAAAAGGAAAAAATGAATAACAACCTGAGGAGTGAGTGTACATGCCGCATAGAAAAGAGTCATTTTCCAAGATCCCTTTACCATAACTTGCTGTGGGATGAATATTTCAGTGGCAACTGCAGCAAAGTTCAAATGAGCAGTTGACCTAGATAAATGCATCAGTGTCAGCTTGAAAATAAAAAATAAAAAACTAAGATGGCAGTTGAACCGATCAATTTTGTTTGTGCAGATTCAAAACTTGAAACATTCGATAAAATTTTCAACATAAAAAAAAAACTTTAGAAAAAGCAAAAAAGAAAGATAAACCTGCACGTGTGAAGAAAATAGGTTATAGTAATAGTTCGAAAATCACGTCTTGTTAGTATTTGCTTCGTTATTTTGAAAACATTCAAAAATTTTTCCTTAGATTCATCCTGCATCAATGTTGCTGAAGAAGATAAATCCTCATGTAGCAATTTGTTTTGATAATGCAATGATCCGGTGATTTTGAAACAAAATACTGCTAACACCGCGATAAAAATACTAATGCATTGGAAAATTCGGAAATCCTAAAAACCATGCTACTTTATATTACAATAAAAACTTCTCTAAATTCATTAATTATACAATATAATTTCAAAGAATTAAGTTATATTTCTGGATATATACTTCATTAATTTATAAGAGCTCCTTTCTATCTTTTATATTTGGAACTTTATTATTATGAATAAGAAAGTTATCCATGACCTGAAATGCATATTACAATGTATTTCAAATGCACAAAATCAAAATTAAAAACAAAATATCAAGACCTAAAGATAAGGGAGGATGAAATAAAACATACATTTAGTCCATTTGTTAGCTTCTCAGTAACTGGTACAATATTCACAGATAGCAGAATTGCAAATTGGGAAAATTTTAAGGCTAAAATACGCTCAGATTTGTTGCACGTCGTTTCCGCAAACAAAGCACTCCATGCAACATTTACACAACTGCAATAACTTGAAAATTAAGCAATGATTGAAATTGAAAAACATTAATCAATTCACTAAATTAAGCATAATTTTCAGTAAGAAATCTAAACAAATACGAGAAAATCACCATTTATTTATTCAATTATGAAGGAAAAAAAAAAAAAAAACATAAAATAAAAAGACCAAAAGCGACAGAGAGAGATACCTGTAGAAGGTATCATAGAATAAAAGGCCAAAAACCAAATGACATCCGACAATGTACGATGGTGATGACCCATCCATGCTATTCCATGGAAACCATAGAAGCAAAAATGATATCGATAAACACGGTCCTAAGATTGATATTACTTTTGTGCGGCAGTGAAACCATGTAGTACTAACATCCTGAAAGCAAAATAAAAAAAAAAAATTAATTGGAAATATAGAATTATTAGAACCTTATTGCACCCACTATTATTATTCCAATAAATATATATATATATATCATTTTGTACTGTGTTCATTAAACAGCATTTATTAATTGGATAATCTTTAAAAAAAAAATAATTTAATAAACCATCAGTTAATCATTATTGAGAAATTTTTGATATTTCGTGTATGAGGTAGCATTTTTATTCCAGCACAATCATTTTTTAAAATAAATTGATGCTTTACTAGCTTAATTTTTTGTTTTTGTTTTTTGTTTTTTTTTTTGTTTTTTGTTTTTTTTTTTGTTTTTTTGTCTTTTTATATTCTTATGGCATTTACTGAAATGAATTAATTTCTAACCTGAGCATAACCAAATAATGGATCGTTAATAGCATTCCAAATAGCAAATAACATTTGCGCCATACCAAACCAAAATTGATCAATTTTATAAATATTCAAGAATATTTTGACATAATAAAACATGAAGAATGTTTGCATCAAACTCATCGCCAACTGACCACAGCACAAAGCACCATTCACAGTTACATTCATTTTCACTTATCGCTTATCACATTGTCATAATCAATCTGATATATGCATTCAATAAAAATAAGACAGATGAAACAATAATTAATTCATCCTTTAATAAATCTCTGGAAATAAAATGAAATATTATATTAGTAAGAATGCTATTTTGGACTGGAATGTTTGTCGTAAAAATAAAAATAACTATTAAATATGCTTATGCAATTATGAAAAAAAACAACATTGCTTTACTTATATATGAAAACGGTTGCATATGAATTACAGAAAATACAAAAATTATAGAAAATGTAGGAAGAATGAAGAGGAAAGGAAAACTAGGCAAAAATTAAACAAAAGAAAAGAAAAAGATAAGAAAATAAGGTGATAAGGTGGAAAAGAGAAAAGGATAAGAAGTGGAAACGCTAAGGAATATAAACAAAAGCAACAAAAGATGTAAATTAAAAGTACAGAAGAAAAGTAAACAAAAGTGTAGCATTTATTTGGATGGGGATGGGGTGGAGGATCTTGAAATTTGCGTCGGCCATTGCTTTCGGCTGCGTTATTTTCAGGCGATTTTTTTGGCCACTATTGAATATTTGGTAGTTTGTTTCGTGGATTTTAGCAAGTCTGGAAGTTTAATTTTTGTGCCTAATAACATTTTAATTCGAATTTTTTTGAAAGAAATTTAGTAGATATTTGAAAATTTTCAAACATATGTGCTACTGGTGTCACATAACTTAGTTTTTCTTTTTATATTTGCTTACTATGCTGTATTTTCATTCCTGTTTAACATATCATTCACTTTTTGCTTTTCCTAAATGTTAGTATTATTTTAATCTGTTGCATTCGAAAATTACCACTTCATTTAGTTTTCTTTGCGTTATTTGTTTTAGGTGTATTATATGATTGTAATTTTATTTAGCTTGTTAGTTTATTTTCATATGCATATTGATTTCAGTATTCGTAATTTTAAATTAATATTATATAGGTGTATCATTGGTTGTTTCATCATGAAGGGATTATTTGATATCGGTACGGCTAGCGCAACGGTGCGTCGACTGGTAGCAATGATTCGGGAAAAGCCTCTTAGTGAAGAGACAACCAACATTGAGGTTGTAAGCTGTAAATATTTATTTGCCTCAGTGATTTTAGGATCGTAGGTCAAAAGAAATTTACATCGAGTAGGCGTGAGTGAATTTGAACTGTATTAGACTGAATGGATTTGCTTTTAATATACAAAGTCACTCTTAAATAAAACCAAAGTTAAATAAAAATTTATCGAAAGTGAATTATAATGGACTTAATAAAATGAGTTAATTTAAACGGGATTAATTTGAAAGTAATTATGTACAAATGAAATGAACTTGCGTAGGAATGGATTAGGTTAGATTTGAATTAGATGGATATCTATCTGCAAGAAAGAGCCAATAGATTGAAATTAAATGTTGAATGAATTGAGCTTTGCTAAAATGTATGCTAGACTTAATTCTTTTTAAGTACAACTCTCTTGATTCAGCTTCATCAAATTTATTTCTAAGAACTTCCTCGATTCTTTTCTGATTTTAACTAAATTTGCAATTATCTAGCTTTTAATTTAGTTTAATGTCATCTAAATTCACTTCTTTAGATCAACTCTAATCTAGTTCGGCAAAGTCAGAATGAATCAAGTTAAGTAGAAGTAAGCAAAAGGTTAATAAATTTATTTAAATTGAATAATATTGAAATATAAGTGAAACGAATGTAAATAAATGGTTTCTTGCACTAAAGGATGAACATTGGCCCGAGAAAGCGGTGAAAAGTTTGGTAAAGAAACTCAAGAAATCGAAAGCTATCGATGAACTGGAAAAAGCGATTTCGACAGAAGATCCAAATACTGATTGTGTTTGTATCCCACGGTAACATCTTTCTTGCGTTTTTGTTCCTTCGCGGTTGGTTTATATTGCTAACATTAACATTTCAGTTTTCTATAAGTGTACTAAGAGGCTTGGATTGTTGAGAAATGCAAGTTGTTTATCTTAAATAACTTACTTCGTGCTGTTTACAAGTTCCTGATCAAAATTTTTGACGAGATACTATTCTCTGCCTGATATTTACCAAACTTCTGCTATGATTATTATCTATCATGATAGATATATCTTTTGCTGCTAACAAAAATAGATCAATTAGGATTGAGCCAAATAATCCATGACTTCATCCAAACAGACGTTGAAAATAAATCTGATACAGGTTTCTCAGGAACTCATCCATTTTCTTTGACTTTTAAATTTCTTTTCAAATTTCTTTGTTATTCACCAGATCGTTTTTAGGTCGTTGGACGGCCGATTGCAGGTGTCACAGCGTAAATGTTTGCCTCATGTGATCTATTGTCGAATGTGGCGTTATCCAGAACTTGCTTCATCTCATCAATTGAAATCTGTCCCACATTGTCGTTTTCCATATAGTAAAAAGCTGGAATCAGTTTGTGTCAATCCTTATCATTATGAAAAAATCGAGAATCCTCGTATGTTTTATTCTGCTATTTTCGACAAAACTTTCAGCATCTCACAGAATTCAAACCAATTTCTATGCATTGCATTTCTGAAATCGTATTCCTCAGATTTTTCCTAAGCTGAGGGCGTGGCGCTACTTATACTGGATCATAAGTTGAATCTCGATTAGATAAGTGGAATCCAAACTACAATGGATACCAGTGGGGTTTCGTATTTACTGCGTTAAGTGGGTTTTATTTTCTCATCCTCTAAGATATTGTTTAGAATCAGTTTCCATTAATTTTTATTTTTATAAAAAAAGTAGCATTTTAGCGCTGCCTGCTATTCTTATACCTCGCAATGACAATTTGAATGGAATTGGCAGCTTTTCCAATGTTGGTGATCTTTCGAAAGCACTCCGAACCGTTTATCCCACAGTGGATACTAATGAGGTTGCATATTTACTATGTCAGTCAATAATGCATTGCACTGTAATCATTACAGGATTTCTGTGCTATATTGAAAAGACTTTTTTTATTTCATTTTATATAACTTATTGATAAATTATTATATTGCATAGTCTTTTAAATTATTTATAGATGGTGACACAGGGTATTCCGAACCGTATTGTAACTAATGGTGATCAAATAGGATGGCATAATAGTCGTAATTCTCCAACACTTTCATCACCAAATATGAACAGTCCTAGCGGAATTCATGCTATTAGTCTTATGCCGTTATCACCTACTGAGAATACTATGGAAAATCGCTTATTCTCTATCAAAACTGAAGGCTTGTTTTCGGAGATATAAACTAAATAATTTAAAAAATCGAGTTTTTTTATACAAATTTATTGATTTTCATTTTTTTTTTTTTAATTATTAGAATTCTGATAGGAAATTCATTATTTCAGCAATTTCTCCGCGTGGTTATATAAGTGAAGATTTGGAAATGGACGAGAGTCAGAGTCCGGATTCATCGCAAGTACTTTCACCTACTTGTGATTCCTCGGTTACTGAACGAGCCAATAATTGTAATTTTTGTTTAGTTTTGAGTTCGATTTCTATTTTTAAGGAAAAAAACACAAATAGTTCTTTTCTTAGTTATTTCGTTCATTTTTTTTTCTGTTTTTGTTTTTTTAAATATTTCTTTGAAAAGCAATTTTCTGACAAATGAGCAAAAAAAAAAAAATCTTTTTTGAGAAGTTTTCATAAATTATTAGAGAAATATACCTCACGTCCATTTATGATATGTTTAGTGAATTTAATCGCTGTCGAATATTGTGAACCACCGTTTTGGTGTTCCGTATCATATTATGAGCTGTCAGAACGAGTTGGTGAAACATTTCATGCATCACAGCCATCTTTGATTGTTGACGGATATACGGCACCTTCTGATGCAGAACGTTTTTGCCTTGGTCAACTTTCTAATGTTAACCGTACTGCTAGCGTTATGGAAGCTCGAAAACATATTGGTAAAATTCATACCATTGTTTTATGTTTTAGAATGTATTTCATCTTTAAAAAAAAAAAAACAAAAAATAGTAATAATGAGCTGCTCTTTTATATTACGTCATCTCGTTTTTATATTTCTTGTATGAAATTTGAAAATTTGGTACTTTTTGAATAAACATTTCATAATGCATTTTGTGCTCTTCCACTTTATGTAAAAAATCGATGTAAAATTGATTTTTTTTTTTTTTTTTTTTTATTGCTGATTTGTTTTTCCTTGTAGTTATCGTAATTTTTTACATGATTTAAGTATATATATATATATATATATATATATATATATATATATATATATATATATATATATATATAATTAAAACAAATGGCTTACGTATCCAATATGAATTATTTTAGACAGCTCATATAATTTTACAACATTCTAATCTCTTAATTATTTCTTAATCAGTACATTTTTAATAGTTTTCTTTATGTTCAGGTCGTGGTGCACGTTTCTATTATATAGGTAGTGAGGTGTTTTGTGAGTGCTTAAGTGATTCGGCAATATTTGTACAAAGTCCAAATTGTAATCAGCGGCATGGTTGGCATCCGGCTACAGTTTGTAAAATTCCACCGAGTAAGTGAATTCTACTTTAATCAGAGATTCCCAAATTTTTATCCCGATCTTCTAAGATTTAGGATATCCTTAATCTTTCATCTTGTAATTATGAGAATCTAAAGTTTTAACCTCAGCTTTATTGAATTTTTCCAATACTGTTAGAAGGGAAGGGAAAAATCAAATTTGGATTTTATCGCAGTTTTTTACCATGTTTTTTTCAGTGAACTATTCGCATATGTATAATATTTTTTGTCATTCCAGATTGCAACTTAAAGATTTTTAACAATGCCGAATTTGCTGCACTGCTAGCTGCATCAGTTCCGCAAGGTTTTGAAGCTGTTTATGCTCTTACTCGAATGTGTACTATTCGAGTATCTTTCGTAAAAGGTTGGGGTGCAGAGTACCGTCGTCAAACGATCACCGCTACACCATGTTGGATCGAAGCATATCTTAATGGTCCATTACAATGGCTGGATAGTGTTTTGAAGCAGATGGGCAGTCCACCAAATCGGTGTACAAGCTTTACGTAGTTAATAGTTTTTACGTTTCAGATTTTTTATGTGAGCAAGAGAATGAAGCGCTTCGCACTAATGAAGTTGCATAATCTTTTTATTTTTTGAATTTAAATTTGAAATTAGAATTTTCAAGGAAAAAAAAAAAAGCTATACGACGGTCTTTATAGTTTCAAATAATAAATTATGTACCTGACAAATATTGTTTAATATCTTGCTCTGTTTATATATTTTAATTAGCTTGAAAGAGTTGACAATTTCAACTGCTATATTTGTCCCTGTAATAAGAATTCTCGATCAGAACTGCACTGTTTCTGCTTTTTTGCTTTTTTTTTAAAAAATTATCTCATCAGGATTTTTATATTCTATTCATTATTGTCACATTTTTGCTGCTTTTGATTCGCTTTGCTTTGCTGTGAAATGAAAAGTAAGATTTTATGTTATTTTATTTTAATATTATTTTTTTTGTTGATAAAATCAACAATAAGTTATTGTACTTCTATTGAATATTGTCCACAATTGATGATTTTGTTATAGTCTAATCACATCTGGTACTAAAATTTTTTTTCAGTATTTTCATTTGATTTCTTTTGTATCTAATTTCTTTAAAATTTGGGGTAGAGCTAATCGTTCGATCCTAATTCTTTTGAGGTGAAAATAATTGTATAGTATCGCTTTATTCGCAAGTGTAAAAACTTTATTCGCTATGTATATTTTATTATTTGTATGTATTTATAGTTTTCTAAAGCATTGATGTTCGTCTATTCTCAATACTTTAATGCCTATTGTGATACTTTTTCTTTTTATATTACTATTTCTGATTTATAATTTACCGGTTATTCTTATTTTAGTATGATTTTTCGTTAAAGTTTTACGTAATCTTTAGGCTGAAATTGCTGCTGAAATTTGCGAAGACTTCATAATAGATCATTTTCATGTAAGGATCCGATCAAAATTCTGATAATGTTTTTCAGTCTTATATATTGACCAATTTCCTCATTCTTTTCTATTTGCACAGCGATTCTTCTGCTATCGCTTATTTACTCTTTCTGATTTCTAAATTGAATCTAATTCACTACCAAGTTACAATTTTTATCCAGATTTTAGCAAAAGATTCGAGTATTAACTCAGATATATTGCTTACTTCAAATATGTGAATGTTTTTGTTTCACCAGTGAAAGCATTATTCAAGACGATTTACATGTAGACAAAAATTTGTCATGCAAAAAAAAAAATCTTTTTATTAATACTAAAGATTCTATTGGAATTTTTTGTTTTTTGACAAATTTTCGTTTTTATGGTCGTTTTTAATTCTTATATGCTTAATTTATTGCAGTAAAATTTACAATAAAATTTTTGGATTGCATAAAATATTATTTTTAGAAAGAAATCATGTTGATCATTTCAAACTTTCTTTTTTGCAACTCGTATGGCAGTGCTGCAAAATAATTTTTTTTTTTTCGAAAACTGCAATGAATTGTGAAAGATCATGCGTACAAATATATGCCTAAGCTCATATTATATGTTGTAATATATAAAAAAGAAGAAATTCAATAATTCTGAATGTTTTCGGAGCATAGTTGCCATATGTTTTGGGTATAAAATGTTTTACTTCGGATCTAACAATTGCGATTTGCGTCTGTTTCAGAAATGCACATTGCTGCAAAGAATAAAAGTTAAAATTGAAGGGGAAAAGCATCGAGTTGTACTTTATAAGTTAAATACTTAACTGTCAAAAAGTGATAACAGTTTCAATAATTGATTTAATAAAATAGCAAAAAATGAATTAAGGAAATTGGAACAAAAAAGATAAGATGAAAAATGAATTACTAAGTTGAGAAATTATGTTGTAATCGACTAATTTAATAATGTTTTATTTTTTTCTTTGTTCTTGAACTGAATCAAGAGTTGGTACCTGGTCTTGTGATTGGTCTAAGCTTATTGAATAGTGAATGGAGAAAACTGAGGTTAGATGTAGGATAAGCAAATAACTTAGAGACTAGGAATTTGAAAAAAAAAATAGGCCATTCTGAAATCTGGTGCAAATCATTGAATCGTTGAATTCATTCCATAATTTTTGGAGTATATTTTTAAATTAATAGAGTTCATAGATTTAAGAAATTTTTGAAAGTTTTGGAATTTTTAATTTTCCTGAACACTTGATTTTTTTTTAATTTATCAAATTTTTGAAACTTTTTTGATCTCTGAATTTTTTTCAGAATTTATTATTTTTGGTTTTTATTCATTTCAGTGTTTGTGTTTCTCCAATTTTTTTAATCGAATGTTTTTGAATGCAATTTATCTAATTACAAACCATTGTTAATTGTGTTTCTGCATACATTTTTCTATTTCCACTAACTGTCTTGTCTTCATGCACTTTTTTATGCATATTGGTTGTATATGTTTTTTATGGCTTCGTTACTTGCAGTTTTACTAGTTGCATGCTTTTTAGTGGATTTCTTACTGAATATTAATTACAATAATCACAATAATCAATTGAAATTATCTATTTTTTTTTTGCCGTTTTCATTTTTTGCATACATTCTTGTATTTCCACTACTGCATGCTTTTTTTTTCTGCATTTTATTAACTCTTTTGAATATTATTAACAGCATGCTTTTTTTTAAAAATAATCTTCACTTATATGGTGGATTAGTTGTATTTTTCTATTTTATTAACTGCATACTTTTTTTTTAATTATCTTTAATTATCTTATATGGGGAATTAGTTCTATTTTTATATTTTATTATCTGCATTTCATTAACTTTTTTGAATTGTATTAACAGCATGCTTTATTTTTCAAATTACCTTCACTTATATTTGGGATTAGTTGTATTTTTCTATTTTATTAACTGCATGTTTTTTTTTTTTTGCATGCCTTTTAATTTTGGTCATCATGTACTTATATTTGTTCTGCATGTTTTCTATGCATTCATCACTTGCATGTTTTTTTGTACCTTTACTACTTGTATGCTTATCTTAATCATTTTCTCTTCATTCCCTTTGTAGATAAATTGTTTTTAACAAGACTTGAATTCTTTGTAATTTTTTTTTTTTTAATTTTTCAATGTCGGAAAATTGGAAAAAGTTTTTCACCTAAGCGGAAATTTGTCGCCTAATTGAGCAAATATTTTCAGGAGAAATTTTGTTTCTCACATTTAGGTTTTCACAGATATTGAATGCATAAGTGAATGATAGCCTTATTATGGTGAACAAATTTTTATTCATTATAAATTTAATATACTCTCAACCGTGATAAATATGATAAATTAGTGACAAACAGTAATGAGAATAATAATAAAACATCAAAAATTCTAGCTTTAAAACAAGATTATCAACTGACCACAAAAATTTCTTAGATGCTTCTTTGTTCAGCCAAAATAAATGAATAGTCACAGTGTGGCTAAGCGGATATCCTTCAAGGATGAGAAAAACTATCAATTTGGCCTAGAGAGCAATGAGCTATTATATTCTCAATTGATATTTTAAAAGCTTGCTGATGTATTACTGAAGCGCTACTGTCACCACTGTAAACACCTTTTTCAAATGATATGGTTACAGAAAATTGCATATTTTATTGGAGTGGATGGACATTTGTTGTTCTTTTTGATTCTGATGATAAATGCTGATTTTGTCGTTTTCTGCATTATATGTGAAACAGTAACTTCCATATAGAAAAGTAATGATGTTTGTCGCGAATTATAATTTTGCAAAAACATCTATCTAAAATAATAAAAAAAAATTTAATAAAAACTATCATAAACTAACTTCTTATAAAATTAGATTCTTAAGATTTAAAACCAATAAAAACAAATCAATCATTTTTAAATAGTAAACAATCTTGCAATATCATAACTTATCTCTCATTAAATCAAGCTTCTTATGATTTATTACTCATGAGATTTTAAATAAAATTTATTGTAAACGCTTCCAATTCTTAACGCGTATGATTTTATCTCAGACACGCCCAATCCTCACTTATATAAATTCAATTCTAATAAACAAAATTCTTCATTGTCATTATTGTCGAATGCTACTCTGTTAACTAATACCAATTCCTCCGGTCTTCTTTATTATAAATTTCTTCTGTCTTTTTATTGCTCGGTTTATTAATACTAGATTTTCGAAAAATAAAGGTTTATTAATCTTTCTACTGTATTACAACTATTCGAATATCAACCAGACAAACCCTTTGCGACAAATTTATTGCTTCCCCTTCTTCTCTTCTTTTCATCGTGACGATTTGTTGAGTATATGTGAACCATTTATCATTGATAGATTCAAGCGTAGTTACGCATAATTGGATTCTTCGAAGTTTATCTTCTAATACTCTTTTTCTTATTACATAAAGATCTTTTTTTCTTCTATTGTCATACTTGGTTCTGGAGATTTGATCTCCAGTTGATTTACTTCTTTAAGAAGATTGCCTAACCTTTCCTTTGTCGGTTGAAAGCTCGCAATAATGTAGCTTGATATGTCCCGGCTCGTGGCACCATTAAATTTGTCGCAAAGGGTTTGTCTGGTTGATATTCGAATAGATGTAATACAGTAGAAAGATTAATAAATCTTTATTTTTCGAAAATGTAGTATTAATAAACCCAGCAATAAAAAGAGAGAAGAAATTTATAATAAAGAAGACCGGAGGAATTGGTATTAGTTAACAGAGTAGCATTCGACAATTTTGTTTATTAGAATTGAATTTATATAAGTGAGGATTGGGCGTGTCTGAGATAAAATCATACGCGTTAAGAATTGGAAGCGTTTACAATAAATTTTATTTAATATCTCATGAGTAATAAATCATAAGAAGCTTGATTTAATGAGAGATAAGTTATGATATTGCAAGATTGTTTACTATTTAAAAATGATTGATTTGTTTTTATTGGTTTTAAATCTTAAGAATCTAATTTTATAAGAAGTTAGTTTATGATATTATGAAACTAAAAATGATTAATTAGTTTTTATTAAATTTTTTTTATTATTTATTATTATTATTATTTATTATTTTAGACAGATGTTTTCGCGAAATTATAATTCGCGACAATGTTTTTGAGATCCTAAATCTTTGATGTTTCTCCACATTCACTTTTCAACGGTTCACTTACAAAATTTTTTAGTGTCAGATACCCTAGAAAGTTTTTTCACTTAAACGGAATATCCGCCATTTATTCTGCTTTAAGGTTTAGATTAAATTACAGATGCTAGTTTATTTCTTTTCTTATAATGCCATTTTTTGGTTAAAACCACTTTGCCTAATTTTGTTATAAATTATTAAAGGAATACTTTCCTCTCACTTATGATGCTTTTTTACGTTAGCTTTTTGCACAACAAATTGTGTATTTCAGTTGTGAGCGCATTTTGTTTACTCGAATGCTTGCCTTCGAATTTTAAGTTTCATAGTCAACTGATCCGTTTATGCGATTTATATGAAATTATAGGAAATAAAGAACATAAAGATAAAACAGGAAAAATTCTAATGATAAAATGAAATTATAAAATAGTCGCTTCATTCTGATACCTTGAAAACGCCCGATTGCTATGCGCCTTCCCTGTCTCATTTTTGAGAAGAATGTCCAGATTGTGCCTTGCTTTCTGGAATGAAATTTTTTAGTCGTTTTATAGCGCGAAAAGAAATGATCAGAAGTTCGTCGCAGTTGGCTTTGCGGATAGAATGATATGCTTTTCTGCACGAATTAAAAAAACAAAGCAGCACTGTCAATATTGTTAACATCTTTTTAAGCAGTTAGTTCTTACGCCAGCTGCTGCGCATTGAGTGCGCGATATGAAATATGTCACATTTAATGAGTGCTTTAAATGAATTTTGTATTGTGATTTAGTGGTCACAAGTGTTTCATAATACATTTCACACCCATTCTATTTCAAGCTGACATAAATTTTATTAACTTTGCAAAACTAACGAGGAGCTTTGGAGCATAACTTCTTGTGAGATTTCAGTGTGGTCACAGAGGAAAAGAGTTTGCCACAGTACGCGCACTGAAGATGAGTTTGATGCGTTTGTTTGTGAGCGCAAAATGATGGTATACAATCGAATGTCTGTCCACAACCGGGCACTTTGCATTCATAGATGAAGGGTTGACCGTGTGTTTTTCTATGTGCTAAATATTCGTTATAACCTTTCGCGATTACAGCACACCCGGGATAATAACATTCGTAGCTTTGTTCGCCTAAAAAATTATTTGTTTTTGCAATTGGTATTCTGTTGTGGTGTTTGGCAGTAATTAATTAATCTGATAAACCATGAAAATATCACTCCTATGAAATAATCTTACCACATTCTATTTCAAATAATTTAGATCACAAGAAGTTGCTTATTTTCGAGTATAGTTGCAACAAAAAGTGCAATTGAGAATTTTTCATTGTATTGTCACTCAGTACAATTTCATTTCACAGGTACTATTTCAAGCTGACATATCTGTTTAAAATTCCGCTAAATTTGCAAACTAACGAAGTGTTGTTGGGCAGAACTTCTTATGACAATTCAGTAGCTTCCTGGTGGCGAAGAGTTTGCCACAGCACTCGCACGAGGGATGAGGTTCATGAGTTTGTTTGTGACTGTAAAGTGATCCTACAATATCGTATGTCCGCCCACAACCGGGCACTTTGCATTCATAGATGAATGGTTGACCGTGTGTTTTCCCATGTGCTCTATATTCGTTGAGACTTTTCGTGGTCATAGTACACCCGGGATAAAGGCATTCAAAGCTTCGTTTGTCTGAAAAACTCTTATGACATTGATCTTATCAATTATTAATCCATGTGAGAAATAATCATAAAAATGCATAAAATAATCTTAACACATCTCATTTCAAATTACTTAGATCACAAGAATCTGTTTAAATATCTTCTCATATGTTTAAAGCAAAACTTTTAATATTGTTTCTTTGTGATGTTATTTCTAATGGAAGGACCTCACACAATAGATGACTATTATTTTTCTGTTATAGCTAAATGAGTTTCAGTTTCAATTTTCTTCACTGTTTATACTCCTAACTTCATGTAATCGAGTAATGACAAATAATTTATTAGGAAAAAAGATGATAAATCTTCGAGATATTAGAGCATCAGTTGCTATAATTTGCTAATGTTTGCCGTCTGTCTTTTGTCGTACGCAAAACAAATTGAGATTAGAAAAATGTCGCAGTATTTTCTGAATAACACCATGTCACCGATGTATCGAAATGAACGTTTTTAAAAAAACTTTTTCAAAGGAAATTTTTTTGATTTTTAGAAGTTAAATTTATAAAACTAACGAGGTGAGCCGTAGTACATGTTATGAAATTGCAGTGCGTTCTTCCTGCTAAAGAGTTTGTCTCTATCTCCGTATTGTTTAGGTTGATGCGTTTGCTTGTGACTGACAAATGATGATTTATGGTCGAATGTTCGGCCACAACCGGGCTCTTTACATTCATAGATGAATGGCTGACCGTGTGTTTTCTTATGTATTAGATATTCGTTGTAATTTTTCGTGATCATAGCACACCCGCGATAATGACAATTATAATTTCTCTTATCTGAAAAATTCGTGTTAAGGCACTTATTTTTGCCTCTGAAAAATGAAATGAGTTTTGGTTTCTGATTTGTTATTAATTCTATCTTCAATTTCACGTTGTTGATAAAGTAAAGAACTATAAAAGATAGAACAAAAAGTCGTTATGCAATTTATCATCACCTGCTTCTGATTTTCCATCAGTATTTCCCCTGTGATCTAGGATATTTAAACCATCCGAGAAGTGTTTGTTGTCGATGTTGCTCTGTTCAGCATTTCCATGTTGGCTGGATGTGTCATCCGAGGAAAAATAGATCGGAATGGGATTTTGTAAACCAGGATAATGAATATAGGCGATAACGTTGCTGGTGTTGGATTTAGGTAAATAGGAAGTATCACTTTCAGCAACTGAATACTTTTGATTTAAATTAGATTACAGAACTGTTACTTCTAATGGAAAGATTTCACGCAAATAATTATGAATTTTCCGTTGTGGTAAGATTTTTTGGTTTTCGATTCTTCATTGTTTATGTAATCAATGTCATGTTGTTGATAAAAGTAATGAACTATAAAAGATAGAACGAAAAGTCGTTATACAATTTATCATCACCTGTTTCTGATTCTCCACCAGTATTTCCCCTGTGGTTATCGATGTTGCTCTGTTCAGCAGCTCCATGTTGACCGGATGTGTCGTCCGAGGAAAGAGTAAATTGGTCAAAATAGATCGGAATAGCATTTTGCTGTGAATGAGGAAAGTGCATATATGTGACAATGTCATCGCTGTTGAGATTAGGTGGCGAAGAAGTTCTACTTTCAGCATCTAAATAACTTAGATTACAAGATGCTGTTTATTAGTCTTTCGCATATTTGAAGCAAAAATCTCACCTCTAATAGAAAGATGTCGCACTTTATCATCATTCGTTTTTATTTCTCCATTACCCTCTCTCCACACATTCCTGTATGAATCCATATCTGAGCCAAGTGATGACTCCGAATTAGTGTGGCCGATGAAATCATAGCTATGTGAAAAGCCAGGATAAGAAGTATCTGTGATCTGATCAGCTTCGCGTTTTGATTCTTTACTGCTTATATCCTCAATTTCACTCAACTGAGCGAAATCAATGAACTGCGAAGGATCAAACGAAAATTCTGGACCAAACAATGGCTCAAAATTGTTGTAATCAAGGGTATCGAAATTGTCTGAGATGCTAGAATAACTATTATTTGTGAAGATTTCATCACCGGTGTCGAGATTAAGTAGATGGAAAGTTTCATTTTTATCAGAAGCGATGCAATGTAGAAGATTGAGCCAAATAATGGCTATCATAGATACGGTGAAGAACATGGTGGAACACAATTTTGTAAAATGACAGAAATGCTCAAATGGAAGCTTTTTATTTCGGATTGTTGGAATTAAAAACCATAGGTTTAAACAGTTTTTAATCTGTCCATTGTTTGTCATATTTTTTCCCCTACATTTTCTCTTTCCTCACTTCCAACTGGATAGTTCATAAATATTCTTTTGAATCCCGAAGTAAGCGCCACAGTAGCGTGTTCTGTCATTTCAGTAATAATAATTAATTTATAAACCAAATAACATCATGAAAAATGAGATTCTGATTCCAATTTGGTACATTTAATAAAGTGATATGTTACATGCCTACTGATAATATTACTGATTGAAGTTCTTCATATTAACGCATCACTTGAAATTTGATAATTATTGCTTTTGACATACATCCATAGCTATCGCTGCTATTATGAAAAAGATCAACATAAGCTGAAACGATGTTTGAAAGGATGGGACAAATTTTAATAGTTGAAACAATGGAGTAATATTTGCATAAAGGAAGCTGGTGAATAGTGAAATTAAATGTCACTGCATAATGAAATATTTAATCTGTAAGTAGCAAATAATCCTGCCTGCTTTATTTAATAAAATATTGTATGGTGAGTGGTAAATAATATATTCAATGAATTATTTGTATATTGTAAAAATTTTAGATTTTAAATTTTGGTGACATCAATTAATTGACAACTGGAAATATATTGGTTTATTTCCGATGTCTATTCTTAGGTACTGCTTCCCATCTTAATCAATAACTGATCGAACTGTAGTGGACATAATTTCCAGAGCAGCCAAAAATGGAAAACGGCTCACAATGAATTGACCGGAGATAAGCAAAAATTTTAATGTGATAAAAAAAAAAAATTCTGATTTAGTAATTTAAAGCACCATTCTTTCAGCAATATAACTCATTTTAATCTCTGCCTTCTTTTTGCCGATCCTGAATGTTAAAATAACTATTGTCGTGGAAGATTTGATAATTTGATTCATTATTTTGTGAGAGGTCGTTAATCGTAAGGAGATTCGTTGGAGTAAATATGTGGGGTAACTTACTACTGCTTCTTATGGAATAGGTGATGGGTTAGCAAGCGAAGAGTCATCAAATCACTCAAGGGCTCGTCTTTATTCCGTCTGGAATAATACCACATTGATATGCTATCACCTGATATGCTATCGTTGTTGCCGTTATCACTCCGAGGTGTTTTTTCTCACCTCACTTCTATCTTTTGAGTTAGCGCCATATATAAAATGGAGGACATTTTGGTGCGCATTAATAAGAACGCTTGCTTGCTTAATTTTCCTCCCTAATTTTTGTCTGGGTAAACTGCTTTATGACTCAATCAATGCCAATCACCCATCTCTTCTCGTATGCTCAATCAAGACAATGCCTGTTTATCATATTATATTAGATGTTTATCATATGTGTCTGTTTATCAGTGAATTTTTCCCGAAATAGTATAAATTGCTGAGAACTCTGAAAGTTAATCTAATTAGGAAAACGAAATGACAATACGACTCGATGACGCAGTATACCACTCTTCCGCCCATTCTCCGCACTCTTATATATATAGTTAGGGTAAATGCGCAAAGGAGAGAGAGAGGAGGGACCAGAGGAAGAGAAAGTGATCCACCAGCAATTTAATTCTCAGTTGTACAAAGAATGTTCCGTCATAGATATGCTTTCTTTTTCGTCTTGTAATTCACTGCTTTTTTTTCTTTTTAGTTTAAGCACTTTACCCTCCCTCACTTAATCGTATATTATTAGTGTGTCAGGCAAGTTTTCGCCCCTTCTTCTCTCTTTCTTCGTTATCGTTTTCTCTCTGGAATAATTGCTCCCTTTGTCTCTCTCAGTTGCTTCTACATTCCTTCGGTCTTTCACTTGTTGATGGCTAATGTACATCGAGTGAGTGCTGTATGTCCTTACTTTCATCATTGTGAGACAAAAGGTTATCGAATTATACTGACTGCCTCTAATATTCTCTTAGATGAGAACTCAAATTACTTTATGAAACAAATTTTGCAAGCACATTGTTTGGTTAATCACTTATGGTGTTTTTTCATGCAAATAAATTTAATTCCTGACAGATGCCCAATGCAAGTGAAGGTATTTGGCCAAATGTAAATTGCAGCGTTATATGTCCTCGAGATATGATGGGTAAGGGAAAGGCATCCAGATTGGGTTCGCTCGCAAGATATGATGAGTAAGAGAATGAAAGTGAAATGTTGACATTGTAATGAGTCGATGGAAGCGATGATCGGACTCTGTATTAGCTGAGTCTAATTGTGATGATAGCTCTTTTTTCCGTAAAAGAAAAAATCTACAAATCAAAAACATTCTCAGAGTTCGCGTTCATCACCAAGGAATGATGATCATGTTCTGAAACAACTTGAAATAATACAGGGTCATTTTAAAATAAAATCATGAAATCAAAATTCTTTGGAGATATGAGCATTTGACCAAAGTATTTGCAAGAGACATGGCGGGAGATTTTATTTTGTTCAACGATGAAGTAACTGTAGCTAACTGATAGACGTAAACTAGAGTCATGGGTAGTCGGTCGTATTAGAAATTTGCTTGGGACTGCTTCAGATTGTCGTTCGATAGAGAACAGTAGGTTGTAGAGGAGTATTAAGCCGAGACAACAGGTTATATAGTGGACATTGGCTTGTAACAAATCACTTTACAGATGACTGATGAACAAGCAGAATGCATGCAAGATTAGTTGCAGTTTAGTTTGGAAGATAAAGTTATATAATTATTTATGACACAATTTTAAATGGAATAATCATTGATGTTAGGAATAACAATCTTTATTCCATAAAATTTCCGTCTTATAGATTGGTTACAAATTGTTTCGACATGTTACAAAATCACTTCGATTAATTAGTTAAACTGTCGTAAACTTTGTAATGAAAGATTGGTTGTAGAACGGATATTTAGCATTTGTTTTACATTTTGACTACATGTTATTAACTTTAATTTCCTAATCATTTTCAAGTTTTATCGTTGGTAGTGCATAAAAACCATAGAAGAATTTTTTGCCGAGGAATTCCTGGTAACAAAAATATTTTTTTTTTCAAATTATTAATTAATTTTTCAATATGATTCTCCCTTTCGTTATTTTTTCCGGTCTCACTTCATACTATTATTTATTGTCAGTGCTTTTGCCGTTTGGTGTCTAGGACTTCTTTCACTGCATTATATAATTTTATGAAAATTAAAGTGATCTTTTAATTGGTACCTAAATATTTTAATTTGATGACGGCAGAATGCCGGCCTATCAATTGGCTGTTTTAAAATATACGCTGAAGTAGGCTATTTCAGACTTTCAGAAAGAAATATTTGTTCATATTTATAAATATTTTTGGGGTCTCTCTGAGATTTGGAATGTGCTCTCTAATCGAAAAGACCTATCAATTGGTTTAATGAAAACTATTTTATAATTTACAATAAATTGGCATATTGTGATTCATAGAATATCTTTTATAACTTGAGACGAAACGTGCAAATACACTTTCATGTATTTTCGAACTTGTTGCTTCACCCTCAGTTATCATTAATTCTAGTAAGTATTTAGCACCTTAGAAGTTTTATTTTGAATAAAAAATTTCAGAAGGTAGATGAACAGACATTTGGTTTAATGTGACAATACTTTGACCATATTACGTATTTTTTTGGTTAGAAATAAGTTACATAGATGAAACTAGATTTGAATTTTATTCTGTTGTCTAACGATAGAGTATTAAAAGAAGAGAAATATTGATTTCTTGAGTGAGTTAATTTTCCTTCAAATTATTAACTAATTTTTCTTAAATTATTAATTGATGTAGCGAAAATGTCCAAATTGTGTACCGCTTTTTGGAATGAAGATTTTTTAGATGTTGTTTTATTATGCCAAAAGCAGTTCGTCGCATTTTGGCTTTGTGGACGGAACGAATGTTTTTCTTCATATCTTTCACAATTCAGAAAAACAATAGCAATTTTGCCAAGAGTGCAATGAAGTATTCCTTTCTCTATTACTACCATATTATCACTGAAGCGTTATTGTCACCACTGTCAACACATTTTGGTCCATTAATAAGTATAGGTATAAGTATCTTCCTAGGCTTAAAATGTAAGTGTTATCCTGATCCTTTTCTATATGATATACTTAGTTGAAAATTGCATATTTTATTGGAGTGGATGCACATTTGTACTAGGTGAATACTTTTCTCTCACTTATGATTTTTTTTTTTTATATTAGCTCTTGCACAACAAATTGTTTATTTCAGTTGTTATCGTGAAAGGTTTGTCGTTTGATACTCGAATAATTGTAATACAGCAGAAAGATTAATAAATATTTTTTATTTAACGTATTATCAGTAACCTGAACAGTAGAAATAGACTTTATAAAATTGGAAGAAATTTAGATTGGTTATGAGAGATTATAGTCGACAATAATGACAATCAATTTTATTTTTTTATTAGAATTGAATTTATATGAGTGAGGATTGGGCGTGTCTAAGATAAAAAACACATGTGTGAAGAGTTAGAAGTGTTTACAAAGAAGAGATTAAAATGAAAGCTAATTTCAATTTTACATACAATTACGTGAGTAATAAATCTTAAGAAGCCAAATTTATGAAGAGATGATTTTTGAAACCGTAATATTGTTTACAATTTTAAAAGGAGAGATAATTTATGATATTATGAAATTGGTTAAAAGTTTTCGCGAAATTGAAATTCGCGACAGTTGTAAGCGCATTTTATATATTTAAACGCTCGTCTTCAAAAATTTACTGTCTATACATTCCTGTATGTTTATACATTCCTGTGATATTATGATATTATACTAAATAAAGAAAATATTATAAAATCCAATGATAAAATGAAATTATAAAATGTTCACTGCATTCTGATGCCACGAAAACGTCTGATTGCTACTCTCATGTTTGCGAAGAATGCCCAAATTGTGTCCCATTTTCTAGAATGGAAATTTTTACTTGTTTTCTTGCTTTTTTTTACTTGCTCAAAAAGAAATGATCAGAAGTTCGTCGGAGCTTGGTTTTTTGAATGGAATGGTATGCTTTTCTGCACAAATTAGAAAAACAAAGTGTTACTGTCAATATTGTCAACATCTTTTTAAGCAGTTAGTTCTTACGCCAGCTGCTGCGCATTAAGTGCGCGATATGAAATATGTCGCATCTAATGTGAGTCTAGTGAATTTTTGTATTATTATTCTGCGGTCAGAGATGTTCTGTAATATATTTCAAGTCTGATATAAATTTTGTTAACTTTGCAAAACTAACGAGGAGCTTTGGAGCACAACTTCTTGTGAGATTTCAATGTAGTCACATAGGAAAAGGATTTGCCACAGTACTCGCATTGAAGACGAGGTTGATGCGTTTTCTTGTGACGTCGTAATGATGAATCATGGTTGAATGTCCGCCCACAACCGGGCACTTTGCATTCATAAATGAAGGGTTGATCGTGTGTTTTTTTATGTGCTAAATATTCGTTATAAGTTTTCGCGATCACAGCACACCCGACATAAAGACATTCGTAGCTTTTGCCTAAAAAGCTTTGCTTAAAAAACCCTTGTGATATTTGTTTTTGCAATTGGTATTCTATTGTGGTGTATGGCAGCTAATTAATTAATCTGATAAACCATGAAAATATCACTCCTATGAAATATTCTTACCACATTACATTTCAAATAATTTAGATCACAAGAACTTGCTTAATTATTCCATTGTATTGTCACTCAGCACAATTTCATTTCACAGGCACTATTTCAAGCTGACATATCTGTTTAAAATTCCGCTAAATTTGCAAACTAACGAAGTGTTGTTGGGCAGAACTTCTTATGACAATTTAATCGCTTCCTGGTAGCGAAGAGTTTACCACAGCACTCGCACGAGTGATGAGGTTCATGAGTTTGCTTGTGATAGTAAAGTGATCCTACAATATCGTATGTCCGCCCACAACCGGGCACTTTGCATTCATAGATGAATGGTTGACCGTGTGTTTTCTTATGTATTAGATATTCGTTGTAATTTTTCGTGATCATAGCACACCCGCGATAATGACAATTATAATTTCTCTTATCTGAAAAATTCGTGTTAAGGCACTAATTTTTGCCTCTGAAAAATGAAATGAGTTTTGGTTTCTGATTTGTTATTAATTCTATCTTCAATTTCACGTTGTTGATAAAGTAAAGAACTATAAAAGATAGAACGAAAAGTCGTTATGCAATTTATCATCACCTGTTTCTGATTCTCCACCAGTATTTCCCCTGTGGTTATCGATGTTGCTCTGTTCAGCATTTCCATGTTGGCTGGATGTGTCATCCGAGGAAAAATAGATCGGAATGGGATTTTGTAAACCAGGATAATGAATATAGGCGATAACGTTGCTGGTGTTGGATTTAGGTAAATAGGAAGTATCACTTTCAGCAACTGAATACTTTTGATTTAAATTAGATTACAGAACTGTTACTTCTAATGGAAAGATTTCACGCAAATAATTATGAATTTTCCGTTGTGGTAAGATTTTTTGGTTTTCGATTCTTCATTGTTTATGTAATCAATGTCATGTTGTTGATAAAAGTAATGAACTATAAAAGATAGAACGAAAAGTCGTTATGCAATTTATCATCACCTGTTTCTGATTCTCCACCAGTATTTCCCCTGTGGTTATCGATGTTGCTCTGTTCAGCAGCTCCATGTTGACCGGATGTGTCGTCCGAGGAAAGAGTAAGTTGGTCAAAATAGATCGGAATAGCATTTTGCTGTGAATGAGGAAAGTGCATATATGTGACAATGTCATCGCTGTTGAGATTAGGTGGCGAAGAAGTTCTACTTTCAGCATCTAAATAACTTAGATTACAAGATGCTGTTTATTAGTCTTTCGCATATTTGAAGCAAAAATCTCACCTCTAATAGAAAGATGTCGCACTTTATCATCATTCGTTTTTATTTCTCCATTACCCTCTCTCCACACATTCCTGTATGAATCCATATCTGAGCCAAGTGATGACTCCGAATTAGTGTGGCCGATGAAATCATAGCTATGTGAAAAGCCAGGATAAGAAGTATCTGTGATCTGATCAGCTTCGCGTTTTGATTCTTTACTGCTTATATCCTCAATTTCACTCAACTGAGCGAAATCAATGAACTGCGAAGGATCAAACGAAAATTCTGGACCAAACAATGGCTCAAAATTGTTGTAATCAAGGGTATCGAAATTGTCTGAGATGCTAGAATAACTATTATTTGTGAAGATTTCATCACCGGTGTCGAGATTAAGTAGATGGAAAGTTTCATTTTTATCAGAAGCGATGCAATGTAGAAGATTGAGCCAAATAATGGCTATCATAGATACGGTGAAGAACATGGTGGAACACAATTTTGTAAAATGACAGAAATGCTCAAATGGAAGCTTTTTATTTCGGATTGTTGGAATTAAAAACCATAGGTTTAAACAGTTTTTAATCTGTCCATTGTTTGTCATATTTTTTCCCCTACATTTTCTCTTTCCTCACTTCCAACTGGATAGTTCATAAATATTCTTTTGAATCCCGAAGTAAGCGCCACAGTAGCGTGTTCTGTCATTTCAGTAATAATAATTAATTTATAAACCAAATAACATCATGAAAAATGAGATTCTGATTCCAATTTGGTACATTTAATAAAGTGATATGTTACATGCCTACTGATAATATTACTGATTGAAGTTCTTCATATTAACGCATCACTTGAAATTTGATAATTATTGCTTTTGACATACATCCATAGCTATCGCTGCTATTATGAAAAAGATCAACATAAGCTGAAACGATGTTTGAAAGGATGGGACAAATTTTAATAGTTGAAACAATGGAGTAATATTTGCATAAAGGAAGCTGGTGAATAGTGAAATTAAATGTCACTGCATAATGAAATATTTAATCTGTAAGTAGCAAATAATCCTGCCTGCTTTATTTAATAAAATATTGTATGGTGAGTGGTAAATAATATATTCAATGAATTATTTGTATATTGTAAAAATTTTAGATTTTAAATTTTGGTGACATCAATTAATTGACAACTGGAAATATATTGGTTTATTTCCGATGTCTATTCTTAGGTACTGCTTCCCATCTTAATCAATAACTGATCGAACTGTAGTGGACATAATTTCCAGAGCAGCCAAAAATGGAAAACGGCTCACAATGAATTGACCGGAGATAAGCAAAAATTTTAATGTGATAAAAAAAAAAAATTCTGATTTAGTAATTTAAAGCACCATTCTTTCAGCAATATAACTCATTTTAATCTCTGCCTTCTTTTTGCCGATCCTGAATGTTAAAATAACTATTGTCGTGGAAGATTTGATAATTTGATTCATTATTTTGTGAGAGGTCGTTAATCGTAAGGAGATTCGTTGGAGTAAATATGTGGGGTAACTTACTACTGCTTCTTATGGAATAGGTGATGGGTTAGCAAGCGAAGAGTCATCAAATCACTCAAGGGCTCGTCTTTATTCCGTCTGGAATAATACCACATTGATATGCTATCACCTGATATGCTATCGTTGTTGCCGTTATCACTCCGAGGTGTTTTTTCTCACCTCACTTCTATCTTTTGAGTTAGCGCCATATATAAAATGGAGGACATTTTGGTGCGCATTAATAAGAACGCTTGCTTGCTTAATTTTCCTCCCTAATTTTTGTCTGGGTAAACTGCTTTATGACTCAATCAATGCCAATCACCCATCTCTTCTCGTATGCTCAATCAAGACAATGCCTGTTTATCATATTATATTAGATGTTTATCATATGTGTCTGTTTATCAGTGAATTTTTCCCGAAATAGTATAAATTGCTGAGAACTCTGAAAGTTAATCTAATTAGGAAAACGAAATGACAATACGACTCGATGACGCAGTATACCACTCTTCCGCCCATTCTCCGCACTCTTATATATATAGTTAGGGTAAATGCGCAAAGGAGAGAGAGAGGAGGGACCAGAGGAAGAGAAAGTGATCCACCAGCAATTTAATTCTCAGTTGTACAAAGAATGTTCCGTCATAGATATGCTTTCTTTTTCGTCTTGTAATTCACTGCTTTTTTTTTCTTTTTAGTTTAAGCACTTTACCCTCCCTCACTTAATCGTATATTATTAGTGTGTCAGGCAAGTTTTCGCCCCTTCTTCTCTCTTTCTTCGTTATCGTTTTCTCTCTGGAATAATTGCTCCCTTTGTCTCTCTCAGTTGCTTCTACATTCCTTCGGTCTTTCACTTGTTGATGGCTAATGTACATCGAGTGAGTGCTGTATGTCCTTACTTTCATCATTGTGAGACAAAAGGTTATCGAATTATACTGACTGCCTCTAATATTCTCTTAGATGAGAACTCAAATTACTTTATGAAACAAATTTTGCAAGCACATTGTTTGGTTAATCACTTATGGTGTTTTTTCATGCAAATAAATTTAATTCCTGACAGATGCCCAATGCAAGTGAAGGTATTTGGCCAAATGTAAATTGCAGCGTTATATGTCCTCGAGATATGATGGGTAAGGGAAAGGCATCCAGATTGGGTTCGCTCGCAAGATATGATGAGTAAGAGAATGAAAGTGAAATGTTGACATTGTAATGAGTCGATGGAAGCGATGATCGGACTCTGTATTAGCTGAGTCTAATTGTGATGATAGCTCTTTTTTCCGTAAAAGAAAAAATCTACAAATCAAAAACATTCTCAGAGTTCGCGTTCATCACCAAGGAATGATGATCATGTTCTGAAACAACTTGAAATAATACAGGGTCATTTTAAAATAAAATCATGAAATCAAAATTCTTTGGAGATATGAGCATTTGACCAAAGTATTTGCAAGAGACATGGCGGGAGATTTTATTTTGTTCAACGATGAAGTAACTGTAGCTAACTGATAGACGTAAACTAGAGTCATGGGTAGTCGGTCGTATTAGAAATTTGCTTGGGACTGCTTCAGATTGTCGTTCGATAGAGAACAGTAGGTTGTAGAGGAGTATTAAGCCGAGACAACAGGTTATATAGTGGACATTGGCTTGTAACAAATCACTTTACAGATGACTGATGAACAAGCAGAATGCATGCAAGATTAGTTGCAGTTTAGTTTGGAAGATAAAGTTATATAATTATTTATGACACAATTTTAAATGGAATAATCATTGATGTTAGGAATAACAATCTTTATTCCATAAAATTTCCGTCTTATAGATTGGTTACAAATTGTTTCGACATGTTACAAAATCACTTCGATTAATTAGTTAAACTGTCGTAAACTTTGTAATGAAAGATTGGTTGTAGAACGGATATTTAGCATTTGTTTTACATTTTGACTACATGTTATTAACTTTAATTTCCTAATCATTTTCAAGTTTTATCGTTGGTAGTGCATAAAAACCATAGAAGAATTTTTTGCCGAGGAATTCCTGGTAACAAAAATATTTTTTTTTTCAAATTATTAATTAATTTTTCAATATGATTCTCCCTTTCGTTATTTTTTCCGGTCTCACTTCATACTATTATTTATTGTCAGTGCTTTTGCCGTTTGGTGTCTAGGACTTCTTTCACTGCATTATATAATTTTATGAAAATTAAAGTGATCTTTTAATTGGTACCTAAATATTTTAATTTGATGACGGCAGAATGCCGGCCTATCAATTGGCTGTTTTAAAATATACGCTGAAGTAGGCTATTTCAGACTTTCAGAAAGAAATATTTGTTCATATTTATAAATATTTTTGGGGTCTCTCTGAGATTTGGAATGTGCTCTCTAATCGAAAAGACCTATCAATTGGTTTAATGAAAACTATTTTATAATTTACAATAAATTGGCATATTGTGATTCATAGAATATCTTTTATAACTTGAGACGAAACGTGCAAATACACTTTCATGTATTTTCGAACTTGTTGCTTCACCCTCAGTTATCATTAATTCTAGTAAGTATTTAGCACCTTAGAAGTTTTATTTTGAATAAAAAATTTCAGAAGGTAGATGAACAGACATTTGGTTTAATGTGACAATACTTTGACCATATTACGTATTTTTTTGGTTAGAAATAAGTTACATAGATGAAACTAGATTTGAATTTTATTCTGTTGTCTAACGATAGAGTATTAAAAGAAGAGAAATATTGATTTCTTGAGTGAGTTAATTTTCCTTCAAATTATTAACTAATTTTTCTTAAATTATTAATTGATGTAGCGAAAATGTCCAAATTGTGTACCGCTTTTTGGAATGAAGATTTTTTAGATGTTGTTTTATTATGCCAAAAGCAGTTCGTCGCATTTTGGCTTTGTGGACGGAACGAATGTTTTTCTTCATATCTTTCACAATTCAGAAAAACAATAGCAATTTTGCCAAGAGTGCAATGAAGTATTCCTTTCTCTATTACTACCATATTATCACTGAAGCGTTATTGTCACCACTGTCAACACATTTTGGTCCATTAATAAGTATAGGTATAAGTATCTTCCTAGGCTTAAAATGTAAGTGTTATCCTGATCCTTTTCTATATGATATACTTAGTTGAAAATTGCATATTTTATTGGAGTGGATGCACATTTGTACTAGGTGAATACTTTTCTCTCACTTATGATTTTTTTTTTTTATATTAGCTCTTGCACAACAAATTGTTTATTTCAGTTGTTATCGTGAAAGGTTTGTCGTTTGATACTCGAATAATTGTAATACAGCAGAAAGATTAATAAATATTTTTTATTTAACGTATTATCAGTAACCTGAACAGTAGAAATAGACTTTATAAAATTGGAAGAAATTTAGATTGGTTATGAGAGATTATAGTCGACAATAATGACAATCAATTTTATTTTTTTATTAGAATTGAATTTATATGAGTGAGGATTGGGCGTGTCTAAGATAAAAAACACATGTGTGAAGAGTTAGAAGTGTTTACAAAGAAGAGATTAAAATGAAAGCTAATTTCAATTTTACATACAATTACGTGAGTAATAAATCTTAAGAAGCCAAATTTATGAAGAGATGATTTTTGAAACCGTAATATTGTTTACAATTTTAAAAGGAGAGATAATTTATGATATTATGAAATTGGTTAAAAGTTTTCGCGAAATTGAAATTCGCGACAGTTGTAAGCGCATTTTATATATTTAAACGCTCGTCTTCAAAAATTTACTGTCTATACATTCCTGTATGTTTATACATTCCTGTGATATTATGATATTATACTAAATAAAGAAAATATTATAAAATCCAATGATAAAATGAAATTATAAAATGTTCACTGCATTCTGATGCCACGAAAACGTCTGATTGCTACTCTCATGTTTGCGAAGAATGCCCAAATTGTGTCCCATTTTCTAGAATGGAAATTTTTACTTGTTTTCTTGCTTTTTTTTACTTGCTCAAAAAGAAATGATCAGAAGTTCGTCGGAGCTTGGTTTTTTGAATGGAATGGTATGCTTTTCTGCACAAATTAGAAAAACAAAGTGTTACTGTCAATATTGTCAACATCTTTTTAAGCAGTTAGTTCTTACGCCAGCTGCTGCGCATTAAGTGCGCGATATGAAATATGTCGCATCTAATGTGAGTCTAGTGAATTTTTGTATTATTATTCTGCGGTCAGAGATGTTCTGTAATATATTTCAAGTCTGATATAAATTTTGTTAACTTTGCAAAACTAACGAGGAGCTTTGGAGCACAACTTCTTGTGAGATTTCAATGTAGTCACATAGGAAAAGGATTTGCCACAGTACTCGCATTGAAGACGAGGTTGATGCGTTTTCTTGTGACGTCGTAATGATGAATCATGGTTGAATGTCCGCCCACAACCGGGCACTTTGCATTCATAAATGAAGGGTTGATCGTGTGTTTTTTTATGTGCTAAATATTCGTTATAAGTTTTCGCGATCACAGCACACCCGACATAAAGACATTCGTAGCTTTTGCCTAAAAAGCTTTGCTTAAAAAACCCTTGTGATATTTGTTTTTGCAATTGGTATTCTATTGTGGTGTATGGCAGCTAATTAATTAATCTGATAAACCATGAAAATATCACTCCTATGAAATATTCTTACCACATTACATTTCAAATAATTTAGATCACAAGAACTTGCTTAATTATTCCATTGTATTGTCACTCAGCACAATTTCATTTCACAGGCACTATTTCAAGCTGACATATCTGTTTAAAATTCCGCTAAATTTGCAAACTAACGAAGTGTTGTTGGGCAGAACTTCTTATGACAATTTAATCGCTTCCTGGTAGCGAAGAGTTTACCACAGCACTCGCACGAGTGATGAGGTTCATGAGTTTGCTTGTGATAGTAAAGTGATCCTACAATATCGTATGTCCGCCCACAACCGGGCACTTTGCATTCATAGATGAATGGTTGACCGTGTGTTTTCTTATGTATTAGATATTCGTTGTAATTTTTCGTGATCATAGCACACCCGCGATAATGACAATTATAATTTCTCTTATCTGAAAAATTCGTGTTAAGGCACTAATTTTTGCCTCTGAAAAATGAAATGAGTTTTGGTTTCTGATTTGTTATTAATTCTATCTTCAATTTCACGTTGTTGATAAAGTAAAGAACTATAAAAGATAGAACGAAAAGTCGTTATGCAATTTATCATCACCTGTTTCTGATTCTCCACCAGTATTTCCCCTGTGGTTATCGATGTTGCTCTGTTCAGCATTTCCATGTTGGCTGGATGTGTCATCCGAGGAAAAATAGATCGGAATGGGATTTTGTAAACCAGGATAATGAATATAGGCGATAACGTTGCTGGTGTTGGATTTAGGTAAATAGGAAGTATCACTTTCAGCAACTGAATACTTTTGATTTAAATTAGATTACAGAACTGTTACTTCTAATGGAAAGATTTCACGCAAATAATTATGAATTTTCCGTTGTGGTAAGATTTTTTGGTTTTCGATTCTTCATTGTTTATGTAATCAATGTCATGTTGTTGATAAAAGTAATGAACTATAAAAGATAGAACGAAAAGTCGTTATGCAATTTATCATCACCTGTTTCTGATTCTCCACCAGTATTTCCCCTGTGGTTATCGATGTTGCTCTGTTCAGCAGCTCCATGTTGACCGGATGTGTCGTCCGAGGAAAGAGTAAGTTGGTCAAAATAGATCGGAATAGCATTTTGCTGTGAATGAGGAAAGTGCATATATGTGACAATGTCATCGCTGTTGAGATTAGGTGGCGAAGAAGTTCTACTTTCAGCATCTAAATAACTTAGATTACAAGATGCTGTTTATTAGTCTTTCGCATATTTGAAGCAAAAATCTCACCTCTAATAGAAAGATGTCGCACTTTATCATCATTCGTTTTTATTTCTCCATTACCCTCTCTCCACACATTCCTGTATGAATCCATATCTGAGCCAAGTGATGACTCCGAATTAGTGTGGCCGATGAAATCATAGCTATGTGAAAAGCCAGGATAAGAAGTATCTGTGATCTGATCAGCTTCGCGTTTTGATTCTTTACTGCTTATATCCTCAATTTCACTCAACTGAGCGAAATCAATGAACTGCGAAGGATCAAACGAAAATTCTGGACCAAACAATGGCTCAAAATTGTTGTAATCAAGGGTATCGAAATTGTCTGAGATGCTAGAATAACTATTATTTGTGAAGATTTCATCACCGGTGTCGAGATTAAGTAGATGGAAAGTTTCATTTTTATCAGAAGCGATGCAATGTAGAAGATTGAGCCAAATAATGGCTATCATAGATACGGTGAAGAACATGGTGGAACACAATTTTGTAAAATGACAGAAATGCTCAAATGGAAGCTTTTTATTTCGGATTGTTGGAATTAAAAACCATAGGTTTAAACAGTTTTTAATCTGTCCATTGTTTGTCATATTTTTTCCCCTACATTTTCTCTTTCCTCACTTCCAACTGGATAGTTCATAAATATTCTTTTGAATCCCGAAGTAAGCGCCACAGTAGCGTGTTCTGTCATTTCAGTAATAATAATTAATTTATAAACCAAATAACATCATGAAAAATGAGATTCTGATTCCAATTTGGTACATTTAATAAAGTGATATGTTACATGCCTACTGATAATATTACTGATTGAAGTTCTTCATATTAACGCATCACTTGAAATTTGATAATTATTGCTTTTGACATACATCCATAGCTATCGCTGCTATTATGAAAAAGATCAACATAAGCTGAAACGATGTTTGAAAGGATGGGACAAATTTTAATAGTTGAAACAATGGAGTAATATTTGCATAAAGGAAGCTGGTGAATAGTGAAATTAAATGTCACTGCATAATGAAATATTTAATCTGTAAGTAGCAAATAATCCTGCCTGCTTTATTTAATAAAATATTGTATGGTGAGTGGTAAATAATATATTCAATGAATTATTTGTATATTGTAAAAATTTTAGATTTTAAATTTTGGTGACATCAATTAATTGACAACTGGAAATATATTGGTTTATTTCCGATGTCTATTCTTAGGTACTGCTTAACACCTTAATGACATTTCACTTCATTATATCCAATTCCACATATCTTATTTTCTTTTGCTATTCTAAATTAATTTCTTTTCTTAATAATTAATTTAATAATATTAATAATAAATGCATATGATTTGTTTTGTAACAAATAATTTCGTCGAATGATCACGACAGAATGTGAGCAGATCATGTGCAATGCAGATGAAATTGTTGATTAACTTCGATAAATATATTTTTTTGGCAGATACAATTTTTATAATCTTTTATATCGTACAATATGTCATGCACTGCCTTTCTTTCAATTATCTCCTAGATATGTTGGAATAACTATTCATTTTGTTTTCTACAAGTAAACAGTTAGTGCTCAGTTATTGTTTCATTTCATTAAAACTGCAGTTACGATAATATTAAGGCATTTCTGATAGACTCAAAGAGTATTCCGAGAGTGGAAAAAACGTGACAATTGATGCATACCATTTGAGAGACAAATTGGTTTCCTCTCTTATAAGTGGTCCCCTCTCTTGGATATTGGTTTCCTCTCTTATAAGTCGGGTAATCACTTTCTTTGGTGATGCGTCAACACGGCCTTCCCTTTTTCTTCCATATCTTTTGTATACGTTACAGTAATTATTCAGTTTATTTTCAGCAAGCAAATTGGATGGAGCGCATTTATCCTTTTGGAGAGTATGAGTAGAACGTGACACTTAATAATACTCGAAGTGCTAGTCGAACTGTTTGAGATGAAAATCATCTATTTGGGTGGATTTTTTCACTTTTTTGCTGGGTCGTTTGCTTTGATTTTCTTTTTCTTTTTTTGGAGTTAATGAATCTGTATGAATCGAATTGTTGGTTTATCTTTATTTCTTTCAAATTTTCCTGCGTTATTCAGCTTAATAACACTCGAAGTGTGTTTTAGGTCTAAGGATTAACTGCTTTCACATTTTTCCATTCCCATCCTCTTTAAATTCCAATTTTTAAAACTTCGAAGCCTGTTTTGAATAAGTTCTTTTAATCAAACATTCTTATAGCTTCCCATGCGTAATTAATATTTTCATTTTTCAGTTAAAATTTGCCATATCTTTTTTGAAATAATCGATGCGCTAAATATTCCGAACTCTACCGCCTTCCTCAGAAGTGTTTCCGTCTGCAACTGTAGTTCAGTGCGTGAGAAATCAAATTTTGCCTTGAATTGTTTGCTGTTGTTCTCATAAGAAAATTCTGCCACTCTTACTGGCTACATACTTTTCTTTTTCTAAGCTTATGTCGTGTAATTGTCGGGTAAATTATTAATATCATGACTGGGTTTAATTCACTGCAAAATTATGAATGCAACAGTTGTCTATATAATTCATTTACACGAGTGAAAAGTCTGATGGTTGCTATATATTTATTGTCATTTATTATTTCCTCCGTCATATGAGTGTTCGTTGGATTATTTTCTTTTTGTTTGTTTTGCTTCTCAGTAAATATTTGTTTCATATGTTATTTAAGCAATGTTACTTAATTTTTTGAAAGTTTTTGTAATTATGAAATAAAAGAGAAGAGACGCTTCATTTATACAAAATCTGTGAGATGATATTTGATTGGTTTTAGATTTCGGAACAATACGGTACAATAAGCTGAATTAAGGTGATGCCGCCAATGCTGTTATTGAAATTTGTCAATTTAAAAAATATCGTTCACGTTGAATGCTATTTTAAAGAGATTTTGATTGATTTTAGCAGGAAAAATGGTAAAAAAATGATAAAAATTTTCCAAAGTTCAAAATCAGAAGTTAAGGAAATAACTGAGGTTCTATCAGAGTCACTTTTCATGTGATTAATTAATGAAATGCTTGGGAAGTGTGCATACAGCAGATGGCTAATCTGTATGCTGTTGCTAAAATTTCAGGTTTCTGACCTACACTAACCTTTGAATTGAAGTTGAATTTCAAACGTATTAGTCTTTCCATGATAATTAAAAGAAATTGGTCCTTGAAATTACATGAAGTTCAGGAATAAAAAAGTAGGAGATAGGAAATTATTGAAAAATTTTCATCCTTTTTATACAAAATAATTTCATGACCATTTTACAATTCTATTTGCTGTTTTTAGCAATTTTTCCAACAAATAAAAAGAGAAAACGAATGTGTTGAATGAATGTAAGAGTTAAGCTCAGAATTCTGAAATATTATTTTTAAAAATAAACACCTACAATATAGGCTTAGTATGAAATTGCTTCATCCGTACCAGGGATTTTGTTTATTGGGTTTGTCAATTGATATCAGAAATTGATATCCGTAGCGTTTCATATCTGAAAATTTGAATTTCAATTTTAACAATTAATAATATTTATGCATTTTGGAAATTATGATTTCCATCACTAGCTATCAACAGCGCTAAAATGATGAACATTATAACACTTCACATTATTAAAATGTGAAATCAAAAATTTGAACAATACTTCTTTCTGTTATAATAAATTATATATTACTATGCTTTCTGTGAAAGAAATCATTTACGCCGTATATGACTAATTTTAGAATCGATTTAATAATCTTATTGGACGCTACTATTTTACAATACACTCTTTATTTAAGGGATTTTACACAGAAGACTGAAATTAAAGAAAATATTAGCAAAAATGTCAACGTCAAGTATAAATGCTTTAATGATGAAACATTGACATGAAATTTATTTAATAACATTTTTAAATTAAAAAATAGTTTAAATTTTGCAATCAAAATCACTTTGACAATTTAAATGATAAATTTTATAGAGCAATAATTTCGAAATGATAATGAAACTGCAAAAATTAAAGTCATATTAATTAAATGATTTTAGTCATTTCCAATTCTTCATTTAAGAAATAAAACTTATTGTAATATTTCAAATAAATTGAAAATACATAAGTCATGTCAATTGTTAATTATTTCATCCGTTCACCACATTAAAATTAATATTTTTGATAATTCGTTATGATTACTATCAAAATTACGTTGCTGAAAAATAAAAAAATACTTTATGCTTTTTAAAATTTGAACCTGATCATTTTATCAATTTGAAAAAATTTTATCTTGAAAAAAATTTGTCATTTTGATTAACAAAAAGTTTTTATTGCATTATTTCATTTGGCATGATTCTCCTTTTTCAACAACATAATTTTGATAGTTTTTTTTTGAAAAGCTGATAAAATTTCCACCGTGAAACGCAATCAAATTGATAAAATTTTAAAATAAGTGCTAATTGCTGCCGTTTTGAATGTGATTTGGCATTGAAATTAATTTTACTTATTAATTTAATCATGGATTATTATAAAAATTATGTTGTTGGCATCATTTCTTGTAATTAAAATTTAATTATATTTAAGCGCTAATAGGGCTAACATACAATGTTATATGGTTAAATTATAGCTATCAATTGATACATGAAACTGATCTTAGAAAATATTACTTTTTTTCAAATTACTTGGAAATGTTGTTGCATTTTATTTCTATTAAAAGATTTAACAAATGCAAATTAATTTTATGCCAGTAAAAAACAAAACATAAAAGCTTAAAAAAGTAAAAAATTCATTGCAAAATCTAAAGCAAACATCGTATTATGACTAATTCTAATATAAACAGAAATGAGTTTATTCGAGCTTTTTTTGCATATTTATTCTTATTAGTAAAATTTTCAACTTTACATCTTTTTTCTACAACTTTTTGTATTTAGCAGAAAAAAAAAAAAAAAAAAAAAAAAACGATGAATATTGGCAGTTTCATTTTTTTTTCTGTATAAAAATATTAAAATATTCATTTTTTCGTGCACTTCTTTTTCTTTTATGAAATCTATTTGTAATAATTTTTTCATTATTTCAATAAATTATTAGGAAATAAACAAGAAAAAAGAAAATCAATCAGTTCATTGAATAAATTTTATTAAATTTAAATTTAATCAAAAATAATTTTAAACGATCTAAATATATATAACAATGCTAGTGTATAATTGCCCATTGATAATAATAAATAGAAACTAGTTTCCAAGGTATTAATTCAAATCATTTATTCGCATTAATTAATCATTCTAACATTACGATTGATTTTATACACTTACCGTTTTATTTCTTTATAAACATTCTTGCTTTCTTTCCATTTCATTACCGATTTTGGCTTTTTCACTTCCTCTCCCTCCTCTCTCTCCTCCTTCTGCAATTTTTACATGTTTCCTTGGTTTTTCCTGCTTTTTTAAAGAATTCATTCTTACTCTAACTAAATTACACTTTATAAATGAATGAGAATCACAGCATACACAAAACTATAGTATAATTTTTTTAAGGATACCTGTTTCTCTTTCATCTCACAAATTTTTCCTTTTTTTTTTAAAAAAAAAAAAAAAAAAAAAAACATGCAATTAATTAATTAATGTGTAGTTGACTTTTATCAGTAAACATGTTAGTTTTTTTTTTTATAAATATTGAACTTTTTCCTCTTTCATTTCTCACGCTTTTCCTTTTCCGTTCCTCTTTCTCTCTCCTTTTTCTCCTTTTTATTACAATTATCTCAATTTATTTGCATCAAATTTTTTCTAATTAATTTCTAATTAATCCTTTTTTTTTTATTTTATTCTATATTGACAATTAAAATTTTATTCTCTTTGCTCGCAAATCTTAAGTTGCAATAATATTTTTTCATTCACTTTTGACTCCTTTTTTAATTTTTTGTTTTTAATTAACGTAGCTATTAGAAAAGCAAAAAATGTTAAGTAAAAACAAAAAAAAAAAAAAAGAATCAGATTGAAAAAATTTGCTGTTGTATACAAAAATTTTCAAATAAGAATTCATTTTATTATCAATATTAAATTCTCTGTATTAAAGATCTATAAATTTCAAACATAACGTTTTTTTGGTAAATGAACAATTTTAAAACAAAATGTTTCTTTCAACTATTTAATTATCTTGATCATCATAATTCTGACCAGTAAAGAAATAGTTTAACAAAAAAATAATAATTAAAATAATTAATATGGGAAATTTTGTAAGTGATAGTCATCAATTAATATTTTAAAAACCTTAAAGTTTGTTACGGTTACACGCTTATGTTTTAGGCAAGTATTTCTTTAGAGGTTGAAATTTCTTACCTGTATTTTACTTTCTTCCATTTCCAATTTATTTCATTCATGATCAATCAATTAACCAATTTCGATTACTCAATTAATCATTTCCGATTAGTCGATTTATCAGTTCTCTCTAATTACGATTCAGTTAGTTCCGGTGTCTCTTAATTGCAAAATATATGCAATACTATTGCTATTTTAGAAGTAATGAATATTAAATAAGCAGCAATAATAATTTATCCTTAATTATATCCTACTCAGAAACGGCAAATCCGGAAAATATCTTTATCATGTCATTAATATATATTATATCATTATTTCAAATTACGTATACGAGGTTTGTCATTAAAATTTTAAATTGTAAGCATTTAATGAAGTTAATCCTACTAAACAGTGATTTAGTGATTTAATTGTGATCTTCTTTTATTGAGCATTCTCGGGAAGATCAAAATAAATAATAATTTTAGGTATATTGGACCAAATTTTGATTTCAGCAAGTATCACAGTTTTGAGGAATATGAAAATTATTTAGAAAGCATTCCACAAGCTTTTCCGCATTTAGCTCAGTTACAGGTTATTGGATTTACACATGAAAAAAGGCGATTACTTTGTTTAAAGGTATTTATACATTTCAAAAAAAAAAAAGTTAAGAAACAATTGATTGTTAGTATAACTGAAATTGGATAGAAATTTGAACTTCAGCTCTTTTTCATTTCTTTTTTTTTTTCAACTTTATTTCATTTTCTTAAAAAAAAAAATTTGTCCAAGATATTTTGCAAAAAAAAGAAAAAAACCTTTGGTAAAAGAAAACGAGAAAAAGTGAAAAGGTAAAAAAAGAAAGGCTGAAAAGAAAATTTTTTGGGTAACTGATAATTTGAGTAAATAATATTAGATCAAATAAATAAAATATAGCGTAAAAAAAAAGAAAAGAAATAAAAGGTAAAGGTTAATGAAGAGTGAGGTTGAAGAAATATGTATTTTTTAAAAAAATTTGATTAAAAATTTTATCAATTTAATGTTTTTATAATTAAATTCATCTTATGATTGGTAATCCAATACGGAGAGATCAAAAGCGTATCATTTGGATTGATGGCGGTAATCATGCACGAGAATGGCCAGCATTTCACACCGCTGCATTTTTTATCAATAAGGTATTAATTCTGTTAAAAAATGCTTCTTTATCATTTCTTATCATTGGTAGTACAACAATTAACAATGATAATAATAAATATTAATAAATAATAGCAATAATAACAATAATAATTTTCTTATCAGTAAAAATAATTGTTGCTGAAATATTGATTGCAATAACAAACCCCTAACGGAGATGGAAATGAAAATGTTAAGAATAATCAGAAAAGTTTGCTATTTAAAAAAGGAAAGCAAAAAAAAAAAAACATAGTTAAATTTGTAATAATTGCAATACATATTTATATTTACAGCTTCTAACAGGATATGGGAATGATCCGGAAATTACGAGATATATTAATAACCTGAATTTTTATATACTTCCCATACTTAATCCAGATGGTTTTGTATTTTCTCGTACATCAAAATCTGACCTTGTATGATTTGTTTATTTGAAATTTTATTTTTAAAAAAAAAAAAATGTTTTTTGTTTGTTGGCATTTTAATAAATGTTAGAAAAATTTTTGACTTGAACATAAAAATTTATTAATTATAAAGCCTATTTGTTAATTAAAAAGGTTGAAAAAAATTGATGGATTCCAGGTGGAATTTTTATTTTACAAATAATTGGTACAATTTTTGTACTCGCTAAAATTGTTTGTTTAATTTGTTCCTATTAAAGATGAATGACAAATTAATTAGAATGACATTTAATTTCTTGGAAAAGCATTGACACATAGATTCATTTCTTCTTATTCATAGATCAGACAATGGAGAAAAAATCGCGCTCCAGAAAATTGTACCGGTAGTATACTCTTTCGGAAAAATCTATGTTGCGAAGGAGTTGATCTCAATCGAAATTATGATTTTGATTTTCATCAAACTTTTTATCCATTTAATAATTCATGTTCAGATGAATATCAAGGACCATTTCCATTCAGTGAACCGGAATCACGGTATATGCTATTTGCTCTTGCCTTTTTTGCTTATTTAAGATAATATTTTTTGAATAATTCTTATCTTTGCTATGATTTCCATTAATAAAGTTACGATAAAATAATAATTTGAACCTGTAAAACTTGAAATTTTAATGGTTAAACTTTTTTGAAGTTTTTATTTTGTTTTAATTATTTAGAGCGGTGCGGGATTTTATCACATCAAATGAGCTGCAAAATAAAACGGATGCAGTTATAAGTTTACATACCCATGGGCAACTTATCATTCTTCCATATAATCATCGTCGTAAAACATATCCTACCGACTATGCTGATTTGGTTTAATTTCAAACATTGAAAATTTCAAATTCTTACAAAATTGAAAATGTGTCTAAAAATAAAAAAAGAATTCATGCATTTTTTAATGGATACTTTTCCGGATTAAAATTTTACTTTAAGTTTGTGAAATTTATGTCAGAAAGATTTGTCAATAATTTTATTAATAGCTTCATTACAGATGGCTGTAGCACAAAAGGCAAAAAATGCTATAAGAAAACATAACGGAAATGAATATGACATTGGTACTGCTGCTGATATACTTGGTAACATTCATAATAATAATAATTAATTTCAAGATTTCCAATTTCAGAAATGTCCCATAGATTTCAAAATTTCTACTTATTTCTTTAAAACTTTAAAAATTTCGGAAAAAAACAAATGCACTTCTTTTCTGCACCATTGATTTATTTAATAATAATTAATAATAATAATAGTAATAATAATAAATAATTCACTTCAACAAATATAGTTATTAAGTTTTTGGTTTATAAATAATTATATATACTAAAACAACTGCTAAATCATTTTAAATAACTGTAGAAAAAACTGAAACAATAGACATTAACAGAATATTTGACATTGTCAAGTTTTAATATCAACGAATACATTCTAAAATAATTATCCATCTCATATTTTTGCCACAATATGAAAAAGTAATAATCAAATAGTCTTAAAATGCGATTAACAAAAATCTTCCGGAAATTGTGACATGAAAACAAGCAATAGAAATCATCCAAATTATCAAAAAGAAAAAAAAAAATAAGAAAGAGAAGAAGGAAATTGAAATTATAAGACTGTCTGAAAGTAGATTGAAGGTTGAACTTGGAAACTTTCAGGTCCGGCAACCGGTAGTGCAACGGATTGGATTAAGCGCAATACGAATATCAAATATGTTTATGTATTTGAATTACCACCAGCACATACATGTATTATTTTTATTTTATCAAAATTTAAATTTGAAAGAGAAGAAGAAACATTTAATAAATTACTGATAAAGTAATAAAAAAAAAATTTCATTTTTAAAAAATTTTTTGATTTATGCTAACGAAGAGATACAAAGGTGTTTTTTTTTTCATTTTTGAAGAATAATTTATTTTGTGTCCATATTAACTGATTTGATAACAATTATAAAATTGTGTTTAAAAATTTTGAGTTTTATTTAATTTTTTTTTTTTCGTTGTTGAAATAAGAATCAATAAATAATGAATTTTCAGCATGGTTTGCTTTTCAAGTAAAACCATATAAATTATTACCAATAGCAATTGAAACATGGAACGGTGTACGCGTTATTGTTGACCAAGTACTCAAAGATAATAATTTATAAATTGAAAACAATATCAGTGCAGATCAGATTACTATGAAAATTTTCTCTTTTATTTTTTTGAAAAATAAAATTTTATCATGGATGGTCATTAAAGAGACAATTAAACAATACAATATTCTAAACATATAATCATCAAAATACCATGTATGTTGCGAATTATAATTTCGCGAAACTCTAAGCAAAATAATAATATAAACAAAAACTAACTAATTATTATAAATAATCTTGTAATATCATAAATCAGAATTTTGAAAATAAATTATTCACTGTAAACAATCACACAGTGCTATTAATCACTGTCAACTTTGATTTCTTATCTAACTCATTATTTTATATTCACGTCAGAATTTGATATCATCAATCTTTTTCTTTAAATTCACCATAATATCTTATTATAGTCATACCCAATTCTCTACATATATAAATACAAAATTAATAAACAAAATTTCTGTTATTGCTATTCTTATCATAAACAACTCGTAACTTCGTTTTCTTCCAAAAACTACTGAATTTCCTCCATTTTTACTGCTTAGATTATTGATATTGTACGTTTTATAAGAATAAAGAAACGGTGATCTTCACTGCTGTATCATAAAATATTGGCGTAACTGACGTCAACTTATTTCATTTCACGGACGGTTTATTCTATAATTGAGGTAAGTCTTCCAAATTCTTGTATACCTTTAACCAACGACAATTTATTTATTTTGGTGCCATGAGCAATGTCTAGCAATATTATCGCAAGCATTCAACCGGCAAAAGAAAAATTAGTCAACCTTATTAAAGAAATAAATTTAAGAGAGATCATGTTTTCGGAATCAAATATGATACTAAAAGAAAAGGAAAATTTCTATATAACAAGGAAAAACAAACTTCAAAGAATTCAATTATGCATTACTACGCTTGAATCTATCAATAATAAGTGGTTTAAATACACTCAACAAATCGTCACAGTAAAAATAAGCAAAGAAAAGTATGCAGCAATTACAAAAAATGACCAATTATTGCATGAAGGAAAAGAAGTACAACGCTAACAATGCATAGTTGACCAAAATTTAATGCAACTCTCAAAGGGTTTAAAAAAAGAATTGGCGAAAGAAGAGGTAAAGATGATCCTTCCTTCGAATCTTACTGTGAAATTGCTTCATTTGTCCCTAGAGACCCTCAAAAAATGGCGACAATTCTGGGACATTTCCAATTTACAAGCATTCCCGGCTTATAGCATCAAAATAAATTGGCGTAGAAGGTTGTCAAATTGATTAAAGATATACAAGAATTTAAATGACTTACTCAACTGTAGAATAAACCGTCCGTGAAATAAAATAAGTTGACGTTAGTTACGCCAATATTTTATGATACAGCAGTGAAGATCACCGTTTCTTTATTCTTATAAAACGTACAATATCAATAATCTAAGCAATAAAAATGAGGGAAATTCAATAGTTTTTGGAAGAAGAGGAAGTGCGACAATACAACTTTCTACTGAGAAACAAGTTGATCGATCAATGATCAATGAACTATATGCCATGGAAATGGATGCTTTCGAGGACAGAGAGGATAAAATGGAAGATAAACCAGAAGAATTTATTGCAAGACAAACCAGAAGCACTAAGAAGCTATAAGCTTTTGCTGTATTAAAAGATAAGTGCAATTTTTTAATGAAGACTTTATTATTAATAACAGTAATGTCATTAATATCAAAACAGGTGATAGCTGTCAACAACTACAATTCGATTTCAGGATTACATTTTAATATTCCTGAAAAATGGAATTGTAAAGAAGTTATTACTGAGAAGGTCACATTTCACAAGATAAAGTATTATTTTATGGAACAGTACCGATACTATCAACCAGCGTCTAAATCGAAGAATTTGAAAGAATTCGATGTTACGAGGTATAAAAATTACTTCATCATCGATGAACCATAAGCATCACTTGTTATTAGTGAAAAACCCAACATAATAAACACGAGAAATTGTAGATTCACCTCTCTCCTCCTAATGAATGCTGATACTGTTCTTGCTGTAGATATGAACTTTACTACAAAATTCAAACGAGGAACAACAAACCAATTAATCTTAGCGGAAAATTCTTCTGATGAGAGACATTCGATTCCGAAAACGTTTAGTTTCAATATTTTTTTGATTCAATAAGACAAGAATTTTGCCAGCAACTTAAAGAAACATATCAAAGAAGTTGTCAAAACAGAAAAATCTACTATTATTGAATTAAATGGTTGTCAACTAGCAATGTGACCCTTACAGCGAGACCGATGCTACAAAGAAACGATGTAATAGCTAATAATTAAAAGAGTTGATGAAAATCTGATGGTTACATCTTGCAAGTCTAGCAATTGAAAACATCGAATTTAAAAGAAGTTTAATAAGTAGGTTCAAAATTGAAGGAATTAACTAATTTATAAGTTTGAAGTTGAAATATCATAAAACATTAGCATAACTGACATCGATTTATTTCAATTATTTCACGGATGGTTTATTCTACAATTGACTTTAAAATAATTAACTTTAGTTTAAATGCTACTGTAAATTTTTTTATTTTTTAATAATTAGCATTTGGATTTAAAAATTTGAACATTTACGTCATGTGTTTTACGTTTTACGTAGAATTTTTTCAGCACAGACAATCTTGCGAAAAAATTTTACTTCAAACAAATTTTCAATCTAATATCCTAGCTGCAATTTTCTTTTTCACGAGCTGCAGACTGACTATGTTATTATGATAGATTAATAAAATTTTTTATTTTTATATAATCTATTTTAAATTTGACCTTCCTTTATTCTACATTGACCTTCTGTAATCATTAATATTTTTAACCTTTTACCTTTAATTGCCCACAATGAGCATTTCAGACTTAAAGTTGTGTTTGCACAAATATTTTACGCTGTAAAAATAAACTCGAAAATACTAAATTAACAAAAAATTGATAATTTTTGCAAAGCAGAAAAATGTTTTACATACAAAATAAAAATGTCGCATGAATTTTTTGAATAAAAAGGTTGAAATTAAAATCAATTAAATTATAATGTGAAACTAATGGAATTTTATTAGGTCTAGAATTTTATTGTATGATTTTTTTGAAATAAAAAAAGCTTAAGAATTAGAATCAATTAAACTGAGGCGCAGAATTGATTAAATTTTATTAGACCCAGAATTTTTAAACTTCACAACAAAAATATATTTTATTTGGTATATAATTATTAAAAGTCTTTTTTGCATATAATAATTGTAATTTAAAATTTCAACAATATGAATCATTTTCTTTGTCGGATAAAAAAAAACAAATAAACTCTTTTTTTGAAAATCAGAACAATTTATAAAACTTATTTAATTACTGTTAGCAAAATTAATGTTAGCAATAACAATTTCTGGCAATTTTTCTCACCTTAAAATTATTATTTACAAAAAAAAAAAAAAGAAATGAAAATAAACTTAATTCGTTTGCTGACCTTTTCTGAAATATTTATTAAGTTATTTCTTTCTTTTCTTGCAAATAATTTGCATTAAATGGATACATTATTTTTTAAATATTTTCTTAGAATATATTATCCATTTTTTTTCTCTGAAATCAGACAACAATTTTTTCTTTTTTTTTTTTTGGGGAGGGAGGTCAGTAACAAACAATTTGACCTCACGTATTTATTGATTGCCCGCAAAAAATTTTGCTTTTCATATCAATAGATTCACAAAACCAATAAAACAACATTCATTAGCAAGGCAAATCAACATTTTTTGTTTATTGAAATGTTTTTTGCTCCTTCTTCACCTAATCGTACAACTTCAACGTCCATTTCTACTATAAATCATAGAACCGAAAATATTTGGGTAAACAATCGATTGTTTGAAAATTTTATCAAATTTTTTACAAAATTTAGAAATATTTCTCTTTTTTTTTTCTCTTTGTTTAAATTTCATTCACATTAGTTTTATTATATTTTATAGCATAAATAAAGCAATGAAAGAAGAAAGAAAAAAAAATAAATGATAATTTGAGCTTAATAAAAAAAAAAAATCATGATAATAATAATACTAAATTTGATATTTTTTTTTCAGGATATGAATGTAATAAAAGAAAGTTTAAAAGAAATTGAATGTATGAATATAGTGGAGATGACAAATAAAATTAGCGAATTAATTCAAATTTTGGAAAATGATATAAAATTAAATGGAATTTCATCTGTTAAAAATGAAAAATTTTTGATCAAAAATTTAATGCGATATTTAATGGTTAGCTTAGTTAGTATTTATATATTTTCATTTTCAATTAGTAGTAATATTTTATATTACTCTTGCTATATTATAAATATCATTTCAAATTTCCAATTAAAATTTATTGTTTAGAGTATTTTGAAAATTAAATTCAATCTTTTTAGTTATAAATTTTTTCAAAATATTTGAATCATTATTAAGCGTTATTTAGGAAATGAAAGAATTGGTAAAAGAAATTAAAAGAATTGAAAAACAAAATAAATTGGATGGAAAAAAAAAGAAATCACATACAATTTCATTTGATTCAAATGTAAGTCTCATTGTATTATTAGTTTATTTTTTTTTTTTTTTTTTTAAAAAAGGATGAAAAAATAAGCAAATAAGTAAATAAAATGAATTTAAAAAAAAGAGCAATGAATTAAAATATAAATAAATTTCAGTTTATTCGCAAAAAAAACTGTAAATGTTATATATATCATGTGAAGCGTGAACAATTCAATCGAAAATAATTTTTGGGAACTAACGAGTGATAAGCAAGTGATTATCACAGTAATTATCAGTGAAATTTTGTTTAAATTAGAAATTTTGTCAAATTTATCATTGAAGTATGAAGAAAAAAGAACTATGAAATAACAATTAAAATTTTCATTAATGTTAAATTTTTTGTAGCAAAATATCAAAATTTTTGTAAAGATTTTGCATCTATTTGTTATCGTTATTCTTTATCACTTTTACATTTCTCTCTATGTCGCTTTTTTATAGATTTAATTTAATAAATTAAAGAATTTAAATTACTTCTTGTAACTCATTACATTCTATCGTATGTCCTTGGTTATTGGATACTTCAAACAATTCTAATTAAAAATTAAAAGTGTCACATGTCATCAAAAATGAAAGAAAAATTAATAAATGAATTTATTCATACAATATACAAAATATTTTTATTTTCTTAAATTTCAAAAGAAAAATAAAAAACTCAAATATCATTTATTTCATTTAAATTTTAAATTTATGCTTTTTCTCTTTTTTTTTTTTTCATTTGCTAAAAATATGTCAATGAAAATTTATTTCTATAAACATCAATTTCAAATAAATATGTTACTTATCATTGATAAGTATTTGATTTCAAATTTAATTGATATTAATCGTCGGTATGATCAGAAGCATTGTAAAATTTAATTTGAAAGATAGAAAAGAAAGAGTTTTATAAAAAATTTTAAATTTATATATTTTTCTTTTTTTAAACTGTGCTTATTTTCGTGTTTTTCCTAATATCTAAACGTTCAGTAAATCATTTACAACTGTTTCTAATTTAATTCTTAAATTGTTTTCTAATTTGAAAAAAAAAAAAAAACCTTCAAAAATCTAATAAATAAAAGATAAAGAAAAAACGGTAGCAAATAACATTAAAATAAAAGAGGAAACATTTAAATTTGTTAAACAAAAAGTATAATTGTTATAAATTTACAATTTCAACATTTTCTTCTCGTAGTTTTAATTTCATTTATGTATTAAAATTGAATTTCAAATTTAAAAAAAATACAAAGTTTTATTTCTTTCTTTAACATTTTTATAAACTTATATACATCACAAAATGATATTTAAAAAAAAAAAAAATGATTTGAAAAATGAAATTAATCTCAAAACTTTGCTAAATGACATTTCTAAATGAATTTACAATAAATTATTTTGAAATGTTAATCAGTTAAATTAAAAAATGTAGCTTATTTGCAATATTTTTACACAAAATTTTGCAAAACTTGATGCATGTTTTAAAAAAAAAAACTAAATTATTAAAAAATAAATTTAACAATTAAAATCAAACTTTCGTCATTTTCCCATTTTATAAAATTTAGAGATTAATTTCGTTTTTAAAACATTAAATAGATAATTTCTGCAAATGCAACGTACGTGTGCATATGTGCGTGACATACACGTTTATATAAGTCTGTTCTATGCGTCTGTTGCATTTTTGTCAAGACAAACCATAAAATTTTTAGTTTAGCAAAGTTATTAATATCATAAATTAAAAAAAAAAAAAAAAAAGAAAGAAAACGAAAAACATTGCAATAATCAATGTTAGATAATTTATATATAATATATAATATGCGAAATTATATATTAGAGTATTTTAAGTCGATAATTTTTCCAAATTTAAAATATTTCAAAAGATTTTTATTTAACAAAAAAAAAAAAAAAAAAATGATCGATGTAATTTTGCTGTAATTTTCAATTTGAATTTGCTTTAAATTTTTGTTCTAAAATAGTATATTTGTTTGAATAAAGAATAACTGAATAAACTCTTTAATTTTTTTGTTTTTTTTTTAACTTTAATTTTAGTAATCAATTTTTATAATAAATTTTCCTTTTGTTCTTATAATTATATAAGTATGTATAATTAAAAGTCATACAAATTAATCAAATAATATCAGTTATAAAACATTAAAAGTAAGTCAAATAAACAGAGCAAAAAGTCTTTTTTTTTCTTTAAAAGGAAAAAATTTTTTGAAATTAATATATATATATATATATATAAATACATAATTTAAATTAGTATATGTACAACGATGAAAATAAATTTAATAAAAAAAAACTGCTAAAAGTCTTTTTTTTTTGCAGATTTATATTCATTTTTAATTTATTGCTTGTCATAATTTTGAAATTATGCAAATTTAATAAATTTTGACAATTTGATGATACATTTTACCAAATATATTACTATTGAACAATAATGATAATAATATCAATCATTAAAATAATAATTATAAATAAAAATTCATGATATCATTTTTAATAAACGAAAAATGAAAAGTATGAGTATATGTAACGAGTAAAATAGCATTAAAATAAGCTCATTATTGGTTGGCCAACAAAAAAAAAAAAGTGAAAATGAAATGAAACTTTCGATAATCTAATAAAAACTTTAAAGCATATATATATAAAATAATAATAATAAAAGATTTTTTTTTTTTTTTTCAAATATAATTTCCCATACTTTGACTTCTAGCTATTCGTCTTCGTCGTCTTATACTATCACGAAGCGGATTTGACATTGAACGTGGCGCTAATTTGCCAACCTAAAAGAAAAAGACTGTGTTGAAATTGGTTGGCCAACAAAAAAAAAAAAATGAAAATGAAATGAAACTTTTGATAATCTAATAAAAACTTTAAAGCATATATATATATAAAATAATGTGTTGAAAGAAAATTGATTAAAGATGCATTTAAAAAAAGAATTGAAGCAAAATTGAAAAAAAAAAAAAAAAAAAATCAAATTAATCGATATTACTATCTTTTAATATTCAATTTTAGAAAAAAAATTTTTCTTTCTTCTTATTACTAATATATTTATTTACTTTTTTTTTTCACACTTTTTAGTTCAATAAAAATTAAAAATTAAAAAAAGAAAACTAATAAGCATACATCTGTAAGATCAATTGTTGAAACACTGGTACCAGGTTTAATAAATTCTGCCATATAATCTTCCTTAATATCATCACCATTCTCATCCATTGTACTTTGATCTTTTTTTAATTCACGAAGTTTACGATCTAATAATTGACTGAACATACGATATAATGCTTCTGTATTTTCATTTGATGTCATATACTATAAAAAATAAAAATTAATATTCTTTAAACAATTTAAAATTTAAAATTTTGCTAGTAAAAGAAAAAAAAAACTGAAATATAAATTAAAATTCTTTTTTACATTAATGAATTGCTTAATTATTTTTAGTATCTCATAAAAAAAAGAACAAAAAAGAACGTAAATATCAAACTTAATAATTAATACTTAGAGGTAAAAAAAAAAAAAAAAACGAATAACTTTTTTTTCTTGCATTAATTCATGATAAATTTTATAAATATGAAAAAATTAAATTATATTCAAATAATTAATTCTGAAAGAAATAATCAATAATTAATTACTTTTGCAAGTTCAATCCTTAAATTTGTTGGATCATTTGGTTCAGATTTTTCATCAAATAAATATTCAAAATTGTTATAAGCTGATGAAGCTACACCAAGACCATCAGATACACTTTTCCTACAAAATAATACTTTTCTTAAATTTTACCACATCTTCCTTTTCACACAATGACCTTATCATATGACCTTTTAAAGTATCTTTTAACATTTAGCACAAAAAAAAAGAAAAATTATATACTTACAAATTTATCATAAATTTTAGACAACATAAATTTAATGTATTCTATAAAATTTTACAAATTTTAATTCTAATATTAATTATTTAGTTATTAAATATAATAATCTATTTTTGATTGTTTTTTAGAAATTTTAAAATGCAATTCAACAATTGAAATAGCCTATTAAAATATATTAAATGGTTAAAATTAAATAGTGCATTAATAATATTTAACAAATATTTCATTCATATTGTAAATATGAAAAAAAAAAAAGCTGCTCAGCATAAAATTAATTCAGAAATCCGAAAATAAATCCGGTATGAACAGAAAGTTCCGAATATTTTCCTCAGCATCAGAAATGCAAAAATACAAATATCAATCATTTATTATCTCTCATAAAAAAGAGAGAAAAAGTTAGCAGGAAAAATGTAAAAAATGTTCGTCTAGTATAAAATTAATTTCAAAAAATTTGAAAAAGAAAAACTTACGATTTTCTTGGCACATTAATATTAGGCTTAATATCACAGGCCATTTCCATGGCTTCTTTTAATGTTATTTTTGTATAGGCTCGAATGATTTTTGATGCATCAAATTGATGTGGCTTCTGATTTCGCATCAATAACGGTCGAAAGATTGTTGCATTTAACCTTTCAAAACTAAAATTTTTAATTTTTTCATCAATAGCTATTGTCTTTCTTTCTTCTCTCTCTCTCTCTCCTCTCTCTCTCTCTCTCTCTTTCTCCCTCTGTTAACCTTTCTCTGCCGTTTTTTTTCCATTTTTTCAACTAATGAATTCTTCAAATCATGAATTCTTGCTGACTATTCAATTCAAATTTATGCTTGGAATAAAAAAAAGAACAACAAAAAGTTGTGTTTTGATTAAAAAACAAAAATTTAATTTTTTTTTTATTCTTTTTTGAAATAAAAATTAAAATTTTTAAAAAATTATTCGGTGCATATATTAGCAATTGTCAAATTTTAAAAATTTAATTGCATTTACTTATTCTGATACTTCATTTTTTCTTTTTTTTTTCTTGTATTTTTCATTTATTTAATTTGAAGAATTTTGATTGTTTGTTGATAATTTTATATGAATTATTTATTAATATTTATTTCAGCGCAAAAAAAAAGAGAGAAAAAGGTGTTAGTAATTCAATTTTGTTAAATTTGAATAATTTCAAGCGAAAGTAAAAAAGAAAAAAGTAGAGAAAAATATTAATATTTAATTTATTTAAGCAAATTCAAATACTATTTAAAATTCTAGAGTTAGTAAACTTTCAATTGTTCAAAGAAAATTTGAAATAAAGTTTGAGAAACTTTTTTTTTATTTTTATGATTATAAATGAAGTAATTTTAGATTATTAAATTTTTGACAAATAGTTCCAATGAAATTTTTAAAATTTGAATTTGCTACATCTATTCTGATTAAAACTATAAAATTTGTCCAATAATTTTATATTAAAAATGATTTTGAAAAAAGGTGAATGAATTAATTAGTAAATTAAAAAAAAAGAATTAAAATTAAAAAGAAAAAAAGTAGATAAAATTTGATAAACTAACGCATCACGTATTGAATTATATCCTTTTTGTCCGGCAATATCTTCAACACCAGCCATTGTATAATCGAAATACTTAAAATTAAAATACATAAATTTTAGTTTTTTTAATTTTCCTTTTCATACAAAATTATAAATTTGAAAAATTTTATTAACTTTTTATTTTTTTCTTCTTCTTTTCAAGTACTGCAGCTAACAAATTTTTTGATTTTACTAGAATTAAGGAAAGATAAAAATAATCTTTGTTAATTTTTCGTAAGCAAAGAATTACAAAATAAATTAAACGAACAAAATTTTTTGGACTTTCACTAAAATGCTAAATTTAGTATATTTGTAATTTCTAACTTATTTTATTTGTAATTTATTTTGATAATTTTTTGTCCGTGAAAAAAAAAAATAAAAATGGAATTGTGATATTTATTAGCTTCTCTTTGTTTTATTAAAAATATAAGAATGTAAAAAATTTTCAAACTATAATTTTTAATCTCTAACTTATTTTGTTTGCAAGAAAAAAAAAAGAAAAAGAAATGAATTCAATTTTGAAATTACAAATTCATTAATTAAAACTAAAGATTATTTAATCGTACTCGCATATAAACACTTTGTATCATTGTTGGACCTTCTTCTGCTTCCCTTTCAATGTTTAAATAAGTTGCTAACGGCCGAATTGTTATTCCCTGTAAATTCAATTTACCATTTATCATAAATTTAAAAATTAAATTTTAAAATGGAATTTTTTATCCATTTTTTCAATTCTTTTCAGAAAGTTTTTTGTTTATTTTTTTCTCTAAAAAATTTTTAATATATGGAAAAAATTTTAGATATATGAAAAAAGAAAAAAAAGCTGTTATTTATAAATATGCTATATAATAAGTTATTTTTATCCTATTAAAAATTGCGTTAAATTATTTTATTTTTGAATTTTTATCATTGATTATGATGTAGGTTTGATATTAAAAATAAGAAAGAAATGATAAAAATGATAAAATGATTAAAGAACTATAAAAATAATAAAATGATTAAAAAAAAAAACGAAAAAAGGAAAATGATAAAATGATTTTAAAAAATATGAAAGCAATAAAATGATTAAAGAAATGGTAAAATGATTTAAAAAAAAAAAAAAAAAAAAAGATTATCACTAAAATTATATAAAAATATAAAATTATAACGATTGTATGCAAAAAATTCTTCCAATAAAACAAAAAGACCAATTGATTTTAATTACATTACCGGATCCGGAAATTGAAACTATCACAAACTAACTTGTAGAAAAACGGTGAAGTAGATGACAGCTATACAGGCTGTTGTGAACATACTTTTAGCATGAATATTATTCGGCATTGAAACTACTAAACCGAATGCAATTGCACCACGTAAACCACCGTAACATAAAATGAATTGATCAACACGAGTAAAACTTTGTTTCCGGAAACGATTCAGTATAGCACATTGTACAATGACACCTACAAACTTTTATTTTTTATTTCATCCGTAAAATTACCAATTTTAAGACATTTCTTAATTTAGTATTAACAAAAAAAAAAAATTAGCTAAAAAAAATACAAAAATTATAAAATTCACTTTAAAATTTTAACAAATTTTCAAATGAATACAAATTTTTATCTTTTTTTTTTTTTTTTTGATAAAAATTTTTGTTAAAAGTAAATTTAAAAAGACTAAAAAAAATTTTTTTTATCAAAATTTTGACAATTTAAAAAAAAAAAAAAGGAACAAATGTTTTTTTTTTAAAAAAAAAAATTAAAATGATAACATACCAATACTGCGATAAACCAAACAGAAAATAATTGTAAGTACAATAAATGGTAAATCCCAGTGATGTTTACTTGAAATTGTTGACAAGCCAAGAAACATAAAAATTACTGTTTCACAAATTTGTGCTAACATTTTTGTGAAATATTTTACAGATGTTGCAGCTGTTGCAGTAATATTACCTTTAACATATTGTTTCATAGCCATACCACATGCAACAATTCTAAAATTTTTTAATTTTACAACAAAAAAAAAAAAATTATTTGCAAATTTTTAAAGTTAATAATCGATTTTTTTTCTTTAATTTATGTAAATATTTGTTCTTTAACTTATATAAATTAATATCTTAAATTTCAATTTCTGCTTTTTTTCATTTTTAATTTATGAAATTATAAGAATATAAAAATTAAAATATGATTGATTTAGAAAATTTTCTAAAAGTTCTGATAATTTAATAAGCAAAAATTTTATAATTTTTTATAAGCCAAATAATTTTTATGAAATATTTTATTAAAAAAATTAAAAAAAAATGACATACGCTAAAATGGATGATAGACCAAACATTTCACCAGTTAGATATGCCATATATGGTATTAGAAATATAAAAATTGGATTCAATATTTTAACTTTATCTGTATATCTATAATTGATGAATTTTTTCTTTTTTCAATTTCAAATTTTAAACTTTTAAATTTTTCATTTTTTTTTTTAACGTTAAAGTTTTTTCCTAACATGTATGCTGTAAAGAAAAATTAATTAATTGCAAAATTTTTTTGCAAAATTAATCACAAATTTGACAAATCTTTAATCAACAAATTTTCAAAAAAAAAAATTCGCCATTTTTTGATGTGAAATATTTAAAACAAACAAAAATTTCAAATATTTTATATATTATTAAAATTTAGAATGAATAGTAAGTATATCAATTGTTTAATTTAGTCAAATTTCATCAAATTTTAGGAATTTAAAAATTTTTTAATCAAAATAAAAAATTAAAAAATGAAAAAAAAAAAACTCACTTAGTGATAAAACTAACAATAAATGCATAAAAAAGACCAATTGCTGTACCACCGAGACCAATTACAAAGAAACTTATACCACCAGAAAAATAATCAATTGGTATTAACTTATCTTTTCCAATAAGTACAAATTTACGAAACATTTGATAGAGTACCTAAATGAAAGTATAATTTTTTTTCAAAAAAAAAAAAGAATAGAATATTTTGTTGTAAGCTAAAATTCAAATTATTTAAAATTCATATCAAATAAAATTCAACAAATTTATTTAATTATATATCAAAAAAAGATAAATTACTTTGTTTTTCTTTTTTTTCATCTTTCTCAAATTATTATTTTTTTTTTTTTTTGCTATTTAAAAATAACAATTAAATACCAAAATAAAATAATATTTGGGTTTATTATCTTATTCATTTCTAATTTATTCTAAATTTGAAGTTTAAATTTAGAACAAAAATAAAATGTAGGGAAAATATAAATTTAAAATAAATAATTTTTAAAAATAAAAATAAACATACTTTTTTAATATGTATTCATAATTAAACTGCTAATACTTTGAAAATTTTTTAGAGCATTTTGCTTTTTTCCGAGTATAATTTGTAATTGAACATTTACTTTATGAGTGGTCAATCAATTCATACTTTATGATTGATCAATCAATTCATACTTTATGATTGATCAATCAATTCATACTTTATGATTGATCAATCAATTCATACTTTATGATTGATCAATCAATTCATACTTTATGATTGATCAATCAATTCATACTTTATGATTGATCAATCAATTCATACTTTATGATTGATCAACCAATTCATACTTTATGATTGATCAATCAATTCATACTTTATGATTGATCAATCAATTCATACTTTATGATTGATCAATCAATTCATACTTTATGTTTGATCAATCAATTCATACTTTATGATTGATCAATCAATTCATACTTTACGATTGATCAATCAATTCATACTTTATGATTGATCAATCAATTCATACCTTATGATTGGACAATCAATTCATATCACGATTAATCAATCAATTCATACTTTATGATTGATCAATTAATCGATTAATATTATTGATTAGTTAGGATGATTGGTTTAGAAATGACATACCACAGTGATACCATCGTTGAACAATGCTTCACCGAAAACAGTTATAAAAAGTGTTTCATTAACATGAATCTCTTCAAAAACTGCTATTACAGCTACCGGATCAACGGCGCTAATTAATGCCGAAAAGAGGAAAATTTCAAAAATGGAAAATTTAATTGAAAAAACATTTAATAAGCCAAGGCCATATAATGATGAACCTAAAATATAATAATTAATAATTTGATGATAAATAATAATTAAAATATTTGATATATAATAATATAGTAATCAAAAATTATAACTGCAATTGTTATTTAATAAATTTTTTTAAAAAAAAAAAATGATCAAAGAAAAAAAATGAATACAGTGCTATTTTTCTTTTCAGCATTAAATTTGATTGATCTAATTTACCTGGAAATTTTCAAATTATAAAAATTTTTCTAGCAAAATTTTAATCAATGATTTTCTATTCTAAATTATAAATTTTGACAATCAAATTTGATTCATAGAGTTTAGCCAGAAATTTGTTCTTTTTGATTATTAGTTACAATATATGCTTTTCTCAGTTCTAAAATAACTTGCAATATTATGAATTTAAAATTTTAAATTTTGAAGTATGTAAAATTTTAGGTAATTTTATTCAGTTGCAAAAACAAAAAAAAAAGCAAAGCTTACCAATTGCTAGACAATTCCATATGGTTCCGATAACAGCAAATACCAATATAGAGCCAAAATTTTCAAATAAAGCTCGATTTGGCATAAAATAACCTTAAAAATTGAATTATCATTTATCATATCAAATGATAATTTTATTAGGATAACCATTAAAAATATGAAGAAAAGAAATTAAACTCAGCAAAATACAGAATTTGCTATGTAATTAATCAAATAAATAATTTCAAATAATAATAAGTTATATATTACTCTTCTTAAATTGATATATTCAAAAAAAAAATTTCATTTATTTTTTCCTTTAATTCAAGTTTTAAAAAAAAAATATTTATCAAAATATACATATTCAATTACTATATTAATTAAATCATGTTTTTTTTTTTGATTAAAATTATAAAATAATGAATAAGTTTCAAAATTCTTAAATTTTAAAATTTGATCAAGTTAAAAAAAAAAAAAAGAAGTAACCAGCATCAAAAATAATCGGTGGTAGTAAATAAAGAAAGAAAACATTTGCTTCCAGATTGAATATTGAATCATTAACATTGGATAATTTAAGCAGAACACCCAATATGAGACCCACAACAATTAGTAATGATGAATCCGGAAATGTATCAGCGACCCGTTTTGATATATGAAATACTGTTTAATCGATCATACATGTAATTATTTCTTTTTATTTTTTTTAAAAAAAAAAGAATTAAGTCTTAATAAAACTAAAAATTTGAAATTTTTTTAATTTAAATAAGCAATTTGAAGTATTTTTGCATTTTTTTTGTCTAAAATTTGTTCTTAATAAAACTAAAAATTTGAAAATTTTTTAATTTAAATAAGCAATTTGAAGTATTTTTGCATTTTTTTTTCTTATAAATTTAATAATAAAATGCTTTTAAGTTTCGTTTTGCTTTTTTTTTTTTTTAAATCTAAAAACAGAATATAATTAATTAAATAAAAAAAAGAAGAAATGCAATACAAAATTTTAATAATGTTATATTATATTTGCTAATAAATACAAAGCAAAATTTCCTAATCTATTCACGCATTTCTATTGCAGTAACGTAAATCAACGTCAAAAGCTCACGTCAACTGGTCAACGTCACATGCTCACGTCAACTGCATTTAGGAATGAGCAGTTAAGCAGTAATAACCAAGCAAAAAAAAAATCATGATTAAGTTAAAGTTAAAAAGAACTTCCACCATTTTTTTTCTTCTTTAATTAGCTAATTGATTTAAAGGAGGAAGTTTTAGTTTGTAAACAAACAAATAAATAAATAAACAAACAAACCCATTTTAGCAATCCCAGCAAGTAATAGCCATATTGCAATAGTATATGGTTTTTGGACCTCTTCCCAATTGAATGAGATCACCTTGAAAAGTTTAATTCATTTCATCAATTCTTAAATTTCACATTTTCGAATTATTTCTTATTACTTAAAATTTGAATTGATTTAATTTAATTACACTTTAAATATTTTTAGTTGTTTTTTTTTTTCTCTCCTTTTTTTTTCCCCATTTATGTACATGAAAACAAACATATAATAAATAAAATTTGTTATAAATAATAAATGAGAGAGGAAAAAAAAGAGGAAAAAGCACAACAAATAAATGAAATGATAATTTTAAACTAATTAAAACTTATAATTTTTTCTTTTTTTGAAATTTAAAATTTAATTCATACTTGAAAACGTCCTGGTGCTTCTTCAACTTGAGGTGCAATTTCATAAAAATCTCTCCAATTTCCTTTCACTTCACGTTCGCTAGCTGATACCAATTTGAGAAGCAGTAATGGCCATAACAAATATAAAAATTAAATGATAATTTTTGATAAATCTATTTTATTTTTTCTCTTTTTGAAAAAAAACTTTTTTCAATTATTTTTTTCTCTTTTGTTTTCACTTTTTTTTTCTTCCACTCTTTCCTTTTTTTTTTTGTTTATTTATTTGTTTACTTTTTAATTGTAAACAAATAAACAATTTTGCAAATGTTAATTGTTATTCATACCAATTGCTATAGACATCGGATAATTTCGATTGATGAATATATCTGTTTCGATTCTTTTTCTACTTTTCACAAACTCTTTTCTTCTTCTTCTTCTTCCGTTTTTTTCTTCTTTCCTTTTCTTTTGCTTTCCTTCCGGTAAAGATAATTTCAAATTGTATTCTGTAAAAATTGAAATTTTAATTAAAATATAAAAAGTTTGAATTTGAATAATTATTTATGGGCATTTTACAATTCGCTGTATCAATAATAATCAATCAATAATGATAATAATAAATAAATGATAAAAATTATGATAATAGTAAATGATAATAATAATATGAGTGAATGCATTTTTGTCTTGTTTTCTCAGACTAATAATTTGAAAAAAAAAAAGGGATAAAAATGATAAATTAAATAAGTGCTAATAAAAATGCAAATAAAATAAAATCGTTTTTTTTTTTTTTTTTTTTTTTTTAAAAAAAGAAAACTAAAGAAATTAAATGGAAAAGTGGTTGCCATAGTAATCTCATGAAATGATAATGTAATCATTGCATTGTTAATTATCAACAAAACTTTTAAATAATAAATAGCAAAAAAGAAGTGATAAATTGATAATCGAATTGATAAAATTTCATTAATAATTGGAAATGATTAGAAATTTTTACTATTGTTTTTCTTTTCAAAATGTTGATAAAGAAGTAAAATATTTAATGTAATGAAGAAGAAAACCTGAAATAATCCTATATCAAGGATATTTTAATATTTACTATATATAAAAAGAAAGTGAAATATAACTTCCACGTTTGCATGTGCATGTGCAAATGCATGTGCAGGTGCATGCTGTGCATGTTGTGCATGCATTGTATATATGTAACTACTTAAATGTGTGTGTATTTATTTGTATGAAATGTATAAATGTTTTGTTGTATTTCTTATTTTAATAAAATCATTTTAATGATATTTTAATGTTTTCAAAAAAAAAAAAAAAAAAGAAAGAAAAACGAATGCTCAAAATAGATAATTGTTTATTTTTGTAAGCATTGCTAGTAATTAGTAAATTATATTGTATTACATATACACATATGTTATTAATTAAATAATTTGATCACAATAATTTCAATTATTTCTCATTTCAAAAATTTTGTGAGGCATTTAAAGTTATTGAAATTATTGAAAATAGCAAGAAGTTAAAATGAAAAACATATATGGAAAAAGAAATGAAAATGAAATGAAAGGACAAAAAAGAAAATAAAACTATTTCGTTTTTTTTTTATTTGTTTATTTTTTGAAAACAGCAAAAAAAAGTGGAAATATCGATGATAATGGATTGTTTTATTTTTTTTTTATTTTTTTGTATTTCTAGAAGTTATTGTTTATTTAAGTAACAGCGAAAGAAAAAAAGAAAACAAATGAGAAAAATAAGAAGAAAAAGAGAAAAATCATTTAATATAAAACTATCTTTTAGCATAAATTTTGATAGACGAAACATTGAACAACAAAAAAAAAATTTTTTTTTTCTTAAAAAAAAAACATTTTATTACTTTTTATTTTTTTCTTTTTCACTTTTTTTTTTTTTGAAAACAGAAATTTGAAATCAAACAAACAAAACAAACAAAAGAAAGAAAAAAAAAATTATTTAAGGTAATTGTATATGTTTACTGTATTACAGTAATCATTATAGCAATGACTCATTAAGTTTATTTATATAAATGTGTAAATGAAACTTTCTTGTGCTATTGTATCATTAATGTTTGGCTAAGAATGATAATAAATGATCAGTGATTAATCATTGAAAACAGGAAAAAATGAGAGAGAAAGACCAAAGATTACTGTTTACTATATTCCGGAAATGAAGAAAGAATTTTTTTCTTTCTTTTTTTTTTTTTTGAATCAATTTATATTGTCTCAAATAACTGTTGAATATATGATAAATCATATCATATCATATCACTTTGCTATTTCTTTTTTCCTATTTTTTTTTAGCGAGAAATATTTTCATTTTTTATTGTCATACAGCAAACATTTTTTTAAAAAAACAATGTTTGAAAGAATTTTATAGCAATAGTAATATCATGATAATAGTGATAATATTATGATATTGTTCATTAACATTATGTTAATGATAATGATAGTGATAATTGACGTTATGATAAAAATAATAATGATTAATGTCACAATAAAAGTGAGAAGAACGATTGAGATCATCATCGTGATAATAATCATAATAATTAATGCTGTGATAAAGATAATGGTGAACAGTGGTGATAAGGATAATTATTGAGATTGTCTAGTGATGATGAACGATGATAACAGTAATGGTGATAATTAAAGTTGTGATAAGGATGATGATGATGAATTGTTGATAATTAAACAACAGTAATAATGATAATAATTAATAATAGCAAACATTGACGAAGATAATGATTAATATTACCATAAAGATGTTAGCAAAAATGATTCATAGTTTTCCTCAACACAAATATTGTTATTGCTAAGTGAATCATGATAAATTTATAAATGAATTATAATGGTAACATTATAATGTTGATAATTAATATGTATAATGATTACTGTGATGATTAATATGATGGTGATAACATATAATTTGTCTAGAAAAAAGATTTAAAATTTCCTTTTGTCACATTTAAATAGCAAAAAAAAAATTTTTTTAATGTGATTTAATAAATTTATTAGACAAAAACTCTTAACTAAATATGAATTGAAATTCTTCTCTTAGAAATGTTTAATTTATGTTTTTGCTTTCTTTTTTTGAAACAATAAGAGAAAAGCATTTAATTAGCTGTTATTAATAATTTTTGTAAAATTAAAATTTACAATTAATTAAAATGATTAATTAATGGGCAAAAATAATGAATGGGCTAAAAACTAATTATTATTAAAAATATACAGTATTTATAGCAAATATATTGTTAAAGAAATTTTTTTGAATTTTAATCATATTTTACAGTATAACTCGAAATGATTACTGAATTCTAATTGTTTGGCTAATTAAAATTAAAAAAAAATAAACATTTATTGGTCAGAAATTAAAAATTTGAAATACAATTTTATCCTAAAATTTTATAATTTAGAATATAATTTTATAGATTATCATTTAATTCTCCTGCTACTTCGTATTTATAATATAAAAAACTAATTTCAATTAATTTATTTGAAATTAATTTCAAGCATAAGCTAACTAAAAAAACTACTCCATTTCATTTTATCTAAATTCATAAATGGGCAATTCAAATCTATTTTGATGTCATAAAATATTTCATCAAAACAATCGAAAGTAACTTTGCCCTAAAATATTATTAAAGAAAAATACTTGATATTACGGATCAATCTTATTATGTTATGATAAACAATGGTAGAATAAATTCTGCTAATCTGATGAATTTACAAACTTAGAAGTTAAACTCAAAAAAACTTTCATTTAATTATTGCTACTTGTTGACTAACAATAATTAAGTTCGGAAAAGTTTTAAAATATTTTCAAATTCAAAAAATTTTGATTATACTAATTAGTTAAATTAGACTAACTTTCATATCCACTTATACAACTCTTATAAATATACTCATAAACATGCCATTCTTCATTATCAATATTTATCAGACACAATTTTATTTATCAGTGATTTTTATCTGCTCCTATCACTTAGTATTTATCAAAAATATTTATCACTATCACTTATTAAGCTTGTTAAAAATCTAATTTTGCATATAATATTAATATTAACATTTTTGTTTATCACTTTTTCATATATTTCAATACATTCAAGTTGTAATTTCCGATACATTTACATTCGAAAATTGATCAAAATTAGGTTAATTGCTGCCATCAGCTTTTAGAAATTAGAAGTCAAATTTATTTAAATAATATGCTCTTATCAATTCATAGTAAGATTGAAAAATATAAAATATTCTAAAGAATAAACATACATTAATTAATATAATTATAGGATTTATAAACATTCAATTATCAGAAATATGTAAAATAATAAATGATATTATCATTCTTCACCGTAATTATCGATTTTACTATTTAATTTTAAATTAATTAACTTATTGTGAATGTAATTAATAGTATTATACTGCATTGATGCATATTCCTATTCAATATTGTTAAAACTAAGAAAGAATTATTAAATCAAATTAACAATTTCACAAAACAGATTAATAGCATAAAACAAGCAAGAGAAAAAACAAACAAAATAAAAAAGTAAACAAGCAAATAAACAAAGAAACAAAAAAACAAACAAACAAATTGAGCAAATAAATAAAAGTGTAAGCATGTGAAAGATTGGAAATTCTTTTTAATGCTAATAATAATAGAAATAAGTTTTCTTTGCTTTTGATATGATAATAGAATGAATGATAGGGAAAAAAATGCAAAAAATAATCTTATAAAACAATTTTTTTTTTTTTGCATCCTTTAAAAAAAAATCAATAATATTGTTTGAAAATTAAAATATTGATGATCAAAATTTGTTTGCATTATAGTAACATTAGAAATTATTCAATCAAAATTATAAATTTGACAAATATTTGAACAACTAAATATACCTTTTAAATTTATCTATCAACTATTTCAAATCATTCTGTCTTTTTTACCATTATTTAATTTAATGTTTAATTTCAAATTTTTATTATTTACTCATAAAAATTGTCTAATTTAAAGCGAAGTCAAGAAAAACAAAATAGTAAACAAAAATTGAAAGACTTTTTATTGTATTCGTTGCAAAATTTGTCATTTTCTAAAATTATATCTCTAAAATTATATTCCTAAAATTATATCTCTAAAATTATATTTCTAAAATTATATCTCTAAAATTATATTTCTAAAATTATATTTCTAAAATTATATTCCCAAAATTATATTTCTAAAATTATATTTCTAAAATCTAAAAATATTTTGCAATATTTTAATAATAATTCTTTTGATACATTGTATTATACAACAATATTTCAAAAGAAAAGAGTTTTTTTTTTTCTGATATTTTTATATGGGATAATTATTATAATTATTATTAA